GGAATTGAGGGAGAGGCAGTGGGGCTCTGGGGAGGGGTCTGCCTGCTCCCAGACTCTCAGGCTCTGACTGTCTTGGATCAGGAGGCTCAGAGACCTGCCAAGAGGAGATCGGAGTGTCCCCACTGCAAGGGGAAAAGAGGTCCTTGGACCTCAAAGCCCTCCCCTCCCTCCCTCCCCCCATACAGCCTCCCTGGGGGCCACTCACCTGCAAGGGGGCTGCTAAATGGCCTGGTTGCTCCCTGCATTGGAGAGAAAGGCACGAGGGACTTCCTGAGGGTCCTGCAGTCATGGATGGAGGGGGCTTCTCTCCCCTCCTTGAGCCCATCTGGGATTCCCTCCCTACAGACGCTGAAGGGGAGACCTGGGATCTCTGGAGGCCATCGGAATCCCTTTGGATTTGTCTCTTGAGGACAACATGGACTAGAATTGGATTTATCTATTTGAGGGGAAGCATCCATACGTGTGGGGCAGGTTCTCACCCACCTCAGGAGCCAATCCCAGCCCTGCCCCTCCCCTCTTGTAACTCTGGAAATCCCACCTGGCTGACCCCTCCCTTGAGGCTGCTCCTCCTCCTCCTTTGCTGGGCTGATCTTGTCTGGTCCCCTGGCCTGGATGGTGGGATTCCTTCTCTGGGCTCCCGTTCAGACTGACCCTGCCTGCTTTTTCCCTCTCTTTGCAGCTGGAGTAGACACTCCCAGCATGAGGAGAGAGAAGAGGGGATCGGCCTTCTTCTGAATTAAGCCGGACAGACCCCCATAACCAGGATAAACTTTGGTTCTTGCTTTTCAGATGCCTAATTTTATGCAGTGGCTCAAAAATGTGGAGACCCTTGATGGATGGGAAAGAAGTCCAACATGCTGGAACCAGGATAGATTTTGGGTCTTCCATCCTTGCTTTTATCATTAGTAATGATAGTCTAGAGAAAAGAGGGAGCTGGGGTGACATGATAGCACTATTCCAGCATTTGAGAGGCTGCCACAAAGAAGTGGGAGGTCACTTTATTCTCCAAAGCACCAGAGGGTAGGACAAGAAGCAATGGATGGAAGCTAATCAAGGAGTGAAGCAACCTGGAATTAAGGAGAAACTTCCAGACAGTGAGGACAATCAACCAGGGGAACAGCTTTGCCTTCAGACATTGTGGGGGCTTCGTTACTGGAGACTTTTTAAGAAGAGAGACTGGACAGCCACTTGTCTGGAATGGTATATAGGGTCTCCTGCTTGAGCAGGGGGCTGGACTAGAAGACCTCCAAGGTCCCTTCCAGCTCAATTCTGATTCTGATTCTAATCAATAATTTTGTATGATAATTGAGGAACAGAGGAGAAAAGAAAATCTTAACGTTTTATGATTGTGGAATCAAAAGGATTCAACCTGGGTTTAGTAGCCGTTATTTTATTTTGTATTTATTTGTATCTTGCCGAAGGTATGGAAGATATCCAACACACCTTCCTCTTCCTATTTTCCCCATAACACCAACCCTGTGAGGTGGGTTGGGCTGAGAGAGAGTGACTGGCCCAAAGTCACCCAGCTGGCTTTCATGGCTAAGGCGGGACTTGAACTCACCGTCCCTTTCTAGCCTGGTGCCTTAACCACTAGACCGGGGGGGGGGGTAGGCAAACCTTGGCTCTTTTATGACCTGTGGACTTCAACTCCCAGAATTCCTGAGCCAGCATGGCTCAGCTTGGAAACCTCTCCCTGTCGCCTCAGCATGGGTGGCTCAGGAATTCTGGGAGTTGAAGTCCACGAGTCATGAAGGGGCCATAGTTCCCCCATGCTGGCTCAGGAATTCTGGGAGTTGAAGTCCACGAGTCATAATAAAGCCAAGGTTGCCTACCCCTGCACTAGACCAAAGTGGCTTGTGTAGCTTGTAATAGTTTTGTGACAGAGCTGTAGCGTTGTTATTTCTGATGACCTTTAATGGGCTTCTGCTGATTAAGGGGTTTTGGAGAAGGGCCCGTAGCAAATGGGGTGAGGAGGAGGGTGGAGAGTTGCTGTGTTTCTGTTAAGGTAAAAAAAAAGGAATCCCCACAGATTTTACTCCACTAGTTGTGGTAGACTTTAAGGGACGCTGCTCATCTCCCTTATATTTATTTTGGGAGAGGGATGAATTCTTAACCTTCATCATACTTGCTGGAATTGAAAGGACAGGTCTCTTATTTCTCTTTGTATTAGTTGTATAATACAGTGGAAAGCATACATAATGTGTAATAGAATCTTCAGCCATTTTTTTAAAGTGTGTATTCTGAGTTTTCTGCCATTAAAGTAATTAATAATTTTAATTAAAATAAAAATTGCACAGTTAAAAAAAATGCACTTATATTTGATCCTCCAGAGTTTGACAAATATTCGATATGCTGAGCGCCGCATTCAAACACTGCATTTTTCCAGATTGCCATTTATGGGTTTTCATGGTTTAGAAAAAGGGAACATGGGATCCATTGCACAGCCGGGCTTCTTTCCCCCTCACCATTGCACACATAACTGTGAGAATTCCAACGTTGTTTGCTGAAAATAAAGGGTTTTGTTTTCTTCTCACTTGAGTTGCTGCCTGTTATTGGAAGTTGGAAATAGCAAGGATTTTACGCTCCTTGTTGATCAGAGATCCCGATTTCACTTTGAGTGGGAGGAAGGGGAGGAACCAAGGCAAAACCTGGAAGGAGCAAGAACTGGGGGGAGGGGGGGACTCCGGTGTGCTCCTTGGGGAGGAGGCAGCCATTTTGCTTCTGGGTCCGGATCTTTCTCCAGCATCTCCAGCTGACCTTCCGCAAAATGGCCGCTTGGGCTTGGCTCGGTGGGGGCAGCAACAGAGGCGGCTTTTCCCTCAGATCCACCTTTGCCTCAGGCTGAGGGCCGAGTGGCTGGTCTCTGGGCCTCATCCAGGGGCCCTTTGGGAGACGGGAGCTCAGGGACCGTCCGGAGCCCTCCTGGCCCCCTTGCAGGAGGGCAGCTTCTCTGCCTCTGAGAGGTCCTCTCTGGGCTCTTCAGGGGCCCAGCAGGATGCCCTGGCCCAAGAGGGGGGAGAGCCTCGATTGATGGGAACGATGTTCCCCCATATCACAAAGTCCTTAACGTACGACCACAATTGAGCCCAATATTTATGTTGCTAGGTGAGAAATTTGTTGTGAGTTTTGCCTCATGGTACGACTTCTCCTGCCACAGTTGTTAAGGGTATCACTGCAGTTGTTAAGACAGTAACACGGTTGTTAAATGAATCTGGGTTCCCCATTGACTTTGCTTGTCAGAAGGTCGCAAAAGGGGACCACATGACCGCGGGACTCTGCAACTGTCATAAATATGAGTCAGTTGCCAAGGGTCTGAATGTAAATCCTGTGATGATGAGGATGATGCAAAGGTCATAAGTGTGAAAAACGATCATATGTCCTTTTTTCAGTGCCGTATATTTCAACGGTCACTAAATGAACTGTTGCAAGTCGAGGACTACCTGTACAGTGGATGCTTTCTGGGCAAGGAGGAGTGAAAAGGCTGGGGGTCTTTCACCCCAATTCCTTTTGAGCTTCCCAGATGCCCTCAAGAGCTGCCATCTCTGAGAGCCTTAAAAAAGCCTAAATAGTTTAAAGCAGCCGTGTCCCACCTGCAAGGCAAGAGTCCCATGCAGCCTTGGGTAGCTTGTAATGCAGCACCACAAAACTTTTAATCTTATAATCAAAAATATAAAAATAATAGTTGAAAAATTCGCATAAAAATAATAGTATATTAACTATATTATATAATTTATGTGCAGCCCAAGAAAATTCCTTTTCATCCAAACAGTTGGAGACGGCTGGTTTAAAGCATTTTGTGAGAATTCAGTCAGTATTTGAGCGTCTTCTACCGATTCAAAAGTTTTAGAAATGAATTTATTGATTAGAGACCTGTGACTGGCCAGCTTTGTCTTGAAAATGCCACAAGAGCCTTTGAGCATTTTCATCCGGAGCGAAGATCACTCGGAGTTTCTGACCTGCGACATAGAATCGTAGGGCTGGGAGGGACCTCAGAGGTCATCCAGTCCAACCTCCGACTTAAGGCAGGAGAACTTATACCATCCTGGGCAAATGCTTGTCCAGTCTGTTTTTGAAAACCTCCAGTGATGGAGCACCCAAAACTCCAGGAGGCATCTATTCCCTTGATTAATTTAAGAAGCTTCCAGCCCGTTTCTTGTCCTGCCCTCTGGGGCTTTGAGAAGGACTGGCGGACAGTGAACTCTCAAACTTCGTCCTTCTGTTATATATGCACGATGGACAGTGTTTATTTATATGTTACGTAAATGTAGGGGGGGTAGGTCTATACATACATTGTATATAGTATGTTTAGGTGTGTGTTATATATGTGTTCACTTTGACAGCGAGCAACTAAATTTCATTTTTGGTGTGAGCTGCTGTGCCCACAGTAAAAAAATGACAATAAAGGTTATCTATCTGTCTGTCTGTCTACCTACCTACCTACCTACCTACCTACCTACCTACCTACCTACCTACCTATCTATCCTTCACTTCCATAGGCTGGACATAGATAGCTTCCTCAGTCTCTTCATTGTAAGTTTCCAGATCCTTTATCATCTTTCACGTTCTTCTCTGCACTTTCTGTGGTCTCAGCATCCTTTTTGTATCCTGGTGACCGGAACAGCACCCGGCACTCCAAGGGTGGCCTCCCTTGTGCAGGATAAACTGACATTATGACTATCCCTCTGTTGATGCAGCCCAGGACTGCAGTGCCTTTTTTGGCAGCTCCACCTGATCCCCGGTTTGGAGGCGTTCTGCGGGGTCTCCCCTCCGCCCCTCCCCCCCAGGCCCAGATAACCCTCCCTCTTTTCCCAGCCCCCCCCCATTTCTGCCCCTCCCCCCAAGAGGCGGAATCCCAGGGAGGGGATTTCCTGATAGAACTTTCGCTTTCCTTTCCCCGCCCTCTCTGGCCGGTTGCGCCTGCACGTCTGCCCAGCAACAATGATGACACGGGAATGTTTTTTTTTCCTATTGGCTGACCTCGCCCAATCGCCAGCGTGTTCTGGATTGTGGCGCACTTTACTCCCCGGGACCCCCCCCCTCTCCCTTTGCCTGGGATTTTGGGAAAGCGGGGCGCAGGTTGAGGATCGGGGCCAGGATGGCTCTGCGCTCCTCTTGCTCCTGGTGTTGGTGAAAGTGGTCCTGCGCGAGAGCTGCTTCGGTGAGTCCCTTCGGGGGCATCGGCGGTTGCGCCCCCCTTTTTCGGCTAGGTGGGAACTTGCTCTCTCTTCCCCCCCCAAAAAAAAAGTTTATTCCCAGGAAGAGAATCCAGATTCGGTCCTCTTTCTCGTCCGCTCCCCCTCCGGCCACTTTGAGATCAGACCCCCCCCCCAAGTGGTGATGGGGCTCTGCTGCCGCGCTCCCCCCCCCCAGGAGAGCCCCTCTGGGAGCAGGACAAGAGGGGGGGGCTTCCAGATGTCAGTCAAGTCTACCTGGGCGGCCCCTAAGCTCCATCCTTTCCCTCCCCCGAAGTGGAGGTTGTCGGAAAGCGGCGTTTGCACGGGATCAGGTCCAGTTCGCAAACTTCCCGGCTGCCTTGGCGCAACCCCTCCGCCTGGGTCGCCTCTCCTGCCTTTGACGGGCTTGGTGGCTCTTTCTGGCTTCTGGTGCTGGGAGGAGCCGGCTCGTCTCTCGTGTCTGTTGGCAGACAGGGCGGCTGGGGCAACGGGACTCCCGATCGGAATGAAGGCTGCCTGCCGTGTGAATGCAGCAGGAGAAGAGTCTGGAGAGAAACGATCCTTGAATAACCTTCCTCGAGATCCCTCTTTTTTTCTTTTTCACTTTCTCCTGGATCCCCTGCACCGCCCCCCCCCCACCGCCCCTGCCCCAACCCCTAATCTCCCCAGAGCTTTTTTTCTGGGACAGGCGGGGATTTGCCTCCCCCGATCTTCCTCCTTCCATTGCAGAAGCCCCCAATTTGCAGAATTAAAAATATTTAAAAGATTAACATTATTATATTATTCCTCAGTAACCAGATGGGAGGTCTTGGGGTGTCCCCAGTTGCTCCTCAGAGAAACTCTCAATGCAGCAGCTTTTCCAGAGGCATTTCCCAAACTCTCAGGATCTGAAGGATCAGAGACGCTGGGCTGGAGGCAGGAGGAGAGAAGCCCCTCTGGGTGGAGAGCCTGAAACAAAGGCCTTGCTTGGACACAGACAGGCCCCGACTGACCGGCCCTTCCTGACCTGAGGAGGATTCGTGATTGTGAGGACGCCCAACCTGCGTTACGTTCACACGTTTCTCCTCTCAGGCAGACTTCAGACTCCCTCACTGCTCAGCCCATGAGGGGAAGAAGCGGGTTCTGGATCACGGAGGGTCCGATCCCCCCTCCTTCTGTCAAAGAAAAGCCCTAATCCCTTTAGATGCTGAAATCTCCCCAGAGCAGGAAGTGGATCTGGGGATCCCTCTCCCCAAAAGCTCTGAGAAGCCGCTGGGATTGTGGGGAGGAGCAGAAAGAAGGAGGCCGAGGCCTTTGCCTTGGGAGACTGGGAAGGACTGGGAGACCATACTGGAGGGACTGGGCAGTGGGACTACAGGTAGTCCTTGACTTAACAACAGTCCATTTAGTGACCGTTCAAAGTTACAACATCATTGAAGAAAGTGAATTATGAACATTTTTCACACTTACGACCATTTCAGAGTCCTCCTGGTCACGTGACCAGGATTTGGTATACTTGGCAACTGATTCATATTTATGACGGTCACAGTGTCCCCATATCCTGTTAACCTTTTTTGCAACCTTCTGACATACAAAGTCAATGGAGAAGCCAGGTTTACTTAATAACGGGGTTATTAATTTAACAACTGCAACGATTCACTTAACAACTGTGGCAAGAAAATTTTTAAAATGGAGAAAAACTCACTTAACAAATATCTCAGCAACAAAAATGTGGGCTTGATTTGGTCGTAAGTCGAGGACTGCCTGTCTTTACTTCTCTGGGGGGCTCTGGAGGTCCTGTCCTTTTCCATGCAGACCCAGGTTTTGCCCAAATAAATCCCGTGAAGGATCCTGAAAATGATCTTTCAACTCTTTGGTGCCCCGGAAGAATTTCTGACCTGAAGAGCTTTCAGAATGGAGACCCAGAAGGGGTCTTGGGGATTTCCATCAGCTTAATTGATTTCCCAGCAGCCTTTTATTCATTTATTTTTATTATTTTAATCCACTTACAAGCTGTTGTTTTTCTGTTCCTTGGGCAGCCTCAGCGTCTCTTCCGTGTTTGAATTTTGACTATGAAAACTAAACAGTGACTTAACAGTGATTTTTTTTTTGTCACTATTAGTCAAGTTTACCATAGTTTTTACGATATTTTTTACTGAGTTTTATTAGGTTAGGAGAGGGATAAGATCAATCTAGGGCAGCGGTTCTCAACCTATGGGTCGCGACCCCATTTGGGGTCGATCGACCATTTCTCGGGGGTCGCCAAACAAGGCGATCCGCCATTTTTCCCCCTCAGGGGGCGGCGCCGCGCATGTGCGGCACGTTTGTGTGACGGCGGTCACCGTCACACAAACGTTGAGAAGCACTGATCTAGGGATTGGGGTTCAGGGTAGGAATCAGGGTTGGGGTTGGGATAGGGGTAGGTACCCCCGTTAACATTTCCAAGCTTTAGCAAACAGACTATTGTCCCAGTACATATATTCAATAGCAGTAATTAATATAATAGTAAATAGCTGTAGTAAATAAGAAAAAGAGTAATCATAAAAAATATCAGTTAATCAATACGTATCATTCATCTTATTAAGTGTCACAATCACTTGTTCGTTTTGCTAACCATTGGTAAAAATTATCCCATGTTTCAGAATAGACTGAGTCTTCTTTCTCTTTGATTTCTAAGGTTAATCTGTCCATTTCTGCACATGCTAGAATTTTCTTAATTGTAATCTCTTCAGATGGTAAATTTTCATTTTTCCAATATTGGGCAAATGCTATTCTCGCTGCTGTCAATATATGCAATATTAGATACTCCTTCTCCTTCTCATATTTGGCTCCTAATATTCCGAACAAAAACAGTTCTGATTTAAATTCTATCTGTATTTTAGTCATCTTTTCCAACCATGTATGAATCTTAAGCCAAGTTTAGGATAGTTTTACGTCTTGTGAATTTAGTCTCTCCTCCAATCCAAGGAAGGGCTGAAAAAACTTTGATGCTGTTCAGTCAGGAGTTTGCATGATACAAACTGAAATCACGTTGTATGTTTATCTCGGATTCCCCAGAGGGGCTTTAAAGGTGATAAGACCCTCCACACGGAGGCTGGGGAGAGGACCCCAGCAGAGCTCCCCCCCACCCCACCCAATACGGGAGTTGGCAGCAGGAACTCAGTGGGGGCAGGGGGTGGGGCCAGGGTGGAGAAGCCCCATGGGTTTCTTCCGGGTGAGGGGAATTGTGGGAGTTGAAGTCCAAGTGGCTGAGTCTGAGAAACACTTAATTTAGGCCTTTAGTTTGAGAGTCAGTGATCGTGTAAAGATTTGGATAGCCACAATCAATTCTCCTCCCAAGCTGGCTGGGGGGCATTTCTGCCTTTCTTTCTGCTGAGAAAGGGCAGGGTCAGAACCAGAGGAGGGGAAGTTTCAGAGCAGCTTCTCTGGAAAGCGAAGGGTGAGATTCCGAGTAAATCTGGTGCATTGGAAGAGTCCGTGAATGACGGTTTCGATGCCCTAACTGGGTTGCTGAAATGAAGAAAGGTTTGGATAACCACAGTGGGGTTTTCTGTGGAATGAGGGCGAGCCAGCCGTGGGATTCAGCCGGTTCGCACCACTTCAGCAGAACCGATAGCTAATTTTTGGTTGCCCAGGCCCAGAATGGACTTCCGGAAGCGGCATCCACACAGAGAACTGGTGGTTCACACATTTCAATCCCACCACTGGGGGGAGCCCCCCTCTGAGTCCCGGGTTCCAAGCCAATTCCTGCTCAGATGGCTAAACTCCGGGACAGGAGAGGGAATTTTCTAGCGGGGGGGGGGGAATAGGAGGAAGATGGGGGGGCTACTTAGCTTTATTGCTGCACCCTTCCCTCCCCCCTTTGCCTTTCCATATTTGGGTTTCCCCCAAGGGTCCCATGGCCTCTGGTCTCACCCGGCTTCCCCCTTTCCCTCCCCTGTTTTATGAAAGCCCCCCCTGAAATCTGCAGCTATTAACAATCCACTTTGGCCCTCAGTGAAGTCAGAATAGTTTTTTTTTTTTCTGTCAATGGAAAGTTGGGGGACCAGGTGGGGTGTCTTGCTGCCTTTGAGCTTCTGGGGGTGGAAACCCCCCTTTTGCCTGTATGGCGACTGCAGCGTCTTTGGGGCAGAAAGTGAGCAATCCAGAAGAGGCTTTGTGGAAGGCCTTGAGGGAAGGGGGGAAGGGCACAATTGGGGCAGGTAAAGTTTGGGGGAACCGACCTTCCCCTCCTCTCTCACCCCACCTTCCCTCCAACCCTCCAGGCCCTCCAAAAAGCTGCTTCTTTTCCTCTCAGTCGCTCCCTCCTTCCACCTCCTGCCTCCCCTTCCATCCTCTCCCCCTTCCTTTCCTCCTTTCTCCTCCCCCCCAGCTCTCTTCTTCTTCTTCTTCTTCTTCTTCTTCTTCTTCTTCTTCTTCTTCTTCTTCTTCTTCTTCTTCTTCTTCTTCTTCTTCTTCTTCTTCTTCTTCTTCTTCTTCTTCTGCTTCTTCTTCTTCTTCTTCTTCTTCTTCTTCTTCTCCTCCTCCTCCTCCTCCTCCTCCTCCTCCTCCTCCTCCTCCTCCTCCTCCTCCTTCTTCTTCTTCCCCCCCAGAGCCCCAGATTGGAGCCTCCATAGGATGAGGGTCCTTGACTGGAGCCCCCTAACTCTGCCCCTCTGGGTCCCTTCCAGGCAACTCCTCGCATTCCCTGAAGTATTTCTACACCTCCATCTCGGAGCCCAGTCAGGGGCTGCCCCATTTTGTCACTGTGGGATATGTGGACGGGCACGTCTTTGTTCACTACGACAGCAACAGCCGGAGGATGCAGCCTCGAGTCTCCTGGATGGAGAAGGTGGGGATGGAGGACCCCCAATACTGGGACAGAGAGACCCAGAGAGAACGTGGCACTGAGGAGACGTCCAGAGAAAACCTGGAGATTGCGAGGACTCGCTACAATCAGAGCGAAGGTGAGTGATGGGTCGGGTGGCTCCTCCTGCCCCATAATCCCCCTCCCCGGGAAGCAAAGGGGGGGGAAAGGGGTGGTCCCTTCAAAGGGAAAGGCTGCTTCCCCACATTTAAAAAGGGTTTTAATATGTTTATTCTGTTTTTTAAAATCAGTATAAGCTTGTTGCCTCCATAGCTGATGTTTTCTGCCAGTTGCAGTTAATAAAAACATTATTTTAAAGTTATCCCTCCATCTCTCCATATATTGATAGGATGTGGATCTGGATATAAACTGAGTTAAAAGAGACCAAAATCTCCCCTCCCCCCATGAAAGTCGGAGGGTCCTGGCCTTGGTGGATCCCCTGCTGTGGGGGAGGGAGGGGATCCCAGATCTCTCCCCTCCTAGAAAAGAAGCAGGTGGATTCTAAGGAGATCCTGGGGGAAGCAGGTCTCTGTTTTTCTGTCTGTTTCCACCCCAGAGAAGTGAGGGATCAACTGCAGATTCATCTGGGCTGACTAGATCCCTCTCTTTCACCTTTTTTTGGAGGGATGAGTGGAGGAACCGATTTTCTAGACCTCGGGGAACTCCTGCACATCCTGGCTCAGAGATGGGGCAGAATTGTTTCCTGCCTGGATGCATTAACAGCCTTCTTACACTAATAATAAAAACTTGCCTTTTCAGTGTGATCCCTGTGCTTTTTTTTTTGGAGCACAAATATTAAATTCTGTGCCAAACTTGCAATGGACGCAAACAGATTTCATCTTCAACTGAAATAAGACGGTTTCTGCCTTAGCTTTTTTTTCCATGGGCAGATCAGGGAATCTCCTCTGGAGGGCAGGATCAGACTCAGCTCAGGAGGATCTCCCTCTCCCTCCAAAGGGAAGGTCTCAGGCTGAGCAGAAGCTGCAGAGAAAGGATCCCCTCACCCGGTCACTCATGAGAGTGGAAAGGGAGGGAAAGAACTGTCAGTTTAGTTCAACTGTACTTACAAGTGATTTTCCCTCAGACTGGAGAGTTTCTGGCATCCTTCCTCACTCTCAACATGTAGAAACATTTCAACATTTCCTTTTGATTTTCCAAACATTCAGTTTCCTTTTAAATCCCAGAATCTGGTCACTTAAAGTCAAAATACTTTCTCCAGGACCTTTTGCAAAAACTGTAAACTTCAAACCTCATTTCAAAGGTCAACAACCCTTTGGGGGTGCAGATCAGATTGGGCCACTTGCTGCTGATTAATAAGGGGTGTAGTTGATTTTAAAATATTCCTTTGTGGCCCTTCAAGGCTTCATTCCCACAATGCACAAAGCCATGGTTTGTTTCTGGTTAGCCCAGAAAGGGAGCCAGCCTTGTGACGCTGATATTTGTGAACATACATAGATCAAGATTTATGGTCACAGGGACCCTTGCAAGCTTCTTTGCAGATCGACCAGATTCTCTCTGAGGAGACAAGATTCTCAGTCCCTCTTTGGAACTGCAGATTCCTGCAAATGTTCCCTCTCTGGGATCCCTTCCTTTCCCCCCAAGAGTCTCCCCAAGAGAGGGACTGCAGAAGGAAAGATGGAGGAGGCTCCCTCCCTCCGTTTCTTCTGCGACTCCTTCTTTTCTCGGTCTCCCTCGGGATCCTCCGCTGGCTTTTCCAGCTTTATTTTTCCTGGGGAGGTTCAGGGGCTCCATCCTGGGGGGGAGAAATGGAGGGAGCAGGTCGAGGGATGGGAGAAGGGCAGGTAGTGATGGGGGCTTTCTTTCCCTTGAATGCTAGGGAGGAAATGGGGGTGTCAGTGCCTCTGTCTAAGTCCCTGCAGGGAAGAGGATCTGTGACTTTCTTGCGGACACCCCAAACCATCATTCTGTCCCTATTTCAGGCTTTCACATCATACAGGTAATGTGTGGCTGTGAGCTCCAGGCTGAGGGGAGAAAAGGAGGATTTTGGCAATATGGCTACGATGGGAGGACCTTCCTCACCTTCGACAAGGAGAGACTCACCTGGGTGGCTCCCCAACCCCAGGCCCAGATCACCCAGAGGAAATTGAACGCTATTGCAGGATATAATCAGAGACGGAAGGCCTACCTGGAGGAAATCTGCATTGAGTGGCTGGAGAAGTACCTGTCCTACGGGAAGGAGACGCTGCTGAGGACAGGTGAGCCTCTGGATGCAGGCTGGACTTTCCTCCTTTATCGCTGGATTTCTTGTCCACATCCGGCCTCTTTGGGTTCCTGGTCTGCCGTCTGGCTGCCCAGGAAGGAATCCTCCCATTCCAGCCCCTCTCCATGATGCGGGAAGCCCTGATTGGTTCCCCTTGCCAGGCCGCCATTCAGTGGACCAGGAAACGCAGCCTCTGCCTGGCGGGTGTCTGGGTGGATCAGGCAGCAAAAGCATTGGGGGTGTCCTGTTCACAGCCCACAATGGGGCAATAGGAACAGTTGGGGTTCTTCAGTGAAACCCCCATTAGCTGAACTGTAGTCAAGTGTGAGGGGCTCCCTTAATTTCCCCCCATTACAGTAGTGGCCAAAGTTGTGGAAACCTTTTGGGTTTCCTTCCCCCGACATCCCACAGGGGGCTCTCTCCCTGCTGTGCACCTGATGGTGCATCTCCTACGCCCACCACTAGAGGGCTCCCCTTCTACCATTAATAACACATCCTCAAGGCTCCACTTGGGCAAAAAAGGCCAAGGTTCTTTCCACAGTTTCTGTGGATTTTTCTCTTAAATCCCAAACAGGGTCCCTCCATTCTGACTTAGTCTTTCCTCAAAAGAGCCCCCTCCCCACCTTCAGGAACACCCCCTCGCCCCAGAAGGGGGGCTCAAAGTATAATAGTTTCCTGTGATTTGTTATTATGTTCCCATCTAGACAATCTCTCCCCACTGGGTCGATTTCTTCTCCTCTGGGCTCCTTGATACCCCCCTCTAGTATAAGCTGGGTGAGATCAGGGTCCACAGGGGAATCCCTCCCCCCCATACACACACAATTGCCAGCAGAGGATTCTCTGTCTCTCTCTCTCTCTCTCTCTCTCTTCCACTGGCCTCACCTCTCTCTTTCCCCTTTGAGGGATAATATCTCTTCTCCAAATTAATCGGTCAGAAATTGCAAAAGCCCTGAGCCCCTTTTTGCTTTGATTCTGGCTCTCCTCTTCTTGACACTGGGGTCGTGTCCCTCGGAAAGAGGCCTGGAGCAGCCTCAGATTCAGGGGTGCAGAAGGAAACCACAAAAGTAGGGAGAAACTTCTGTGTTGTTGTTCTCTTGAAAGGGAACATAAAAGAGCAGCTCCACTTTCCCTCCCCTGAAGGAAACAATCCAAGATCACTCAGAGTTCAAAGCAGCCAGAGAGGAATTTCCTTGGACCCTCAATTTGCTGCTGGAGGTTTTTCAGGCTGAGTCCCTGGGAAGGACTCAGCATCCGGAGTTCTTGTGGTTGAGCATTTTCCAGCTTTTCCCAAAACTCTTGGAGATGCTGCAGGTGTGGAATGGGAAGTAGTGGGAGACTTTCCTGCCCCTCCAAGTTTCTTACCCACCTTCCAGCCTCTGGAGGGGCTCAGAGTTAATTCCAGGGGTGCCGTTTCTGCAGAGCCCCCAGAGGTGACCATGAGCAGCAAGATGGAGGTGGAGGATGGGATGGAGATGCACATCTGCCGCCTGGATGGCTTCTACCCCAGGGAGATTGATGCCTTCTGGACGAGGGACGGGGAGGTCTGGCTGCCGGACACCCTCCGTGGCTCCGTGGCCCCCAACGCGGATGGAACCTATCACCGCTGGCTCAGCATCCAGATCGATCCCAAAGAGAGGGGCCGCTATCGATGCCACGTGGAGCATGACGGCTTGCAGGAGCCTCTGGACGTAGCCCTGGAGGGTGAGAGGCTGCAGGGAGGGAAAGGCTGACAGGGTGGAAAGCTGTGGGATGGAAATCTGACCCCAGCTGTGTCCAGATGTGAGCATACCTGACCTTTAGGCCACTGGTTTTTCCAATGTTTGAGGTTGGTGAAGCTGCAGGGACCAGACCATAGAACTGGCTTCAGGGAAACTCCAGAATCCCATCACAAGAGTTGGCAGATCCTGATGAAATCCTCTTAGATCCTCTCTTAGCCTCTGTCCCTCCCCTCTTTCTGGCCTCCAGCCGTGGAGCAGCAGTTATACTGAGCACCCAAAAAAGATTTTATTTTCTTTAGAATTCCTGTAGTACAAAAGTCAGGAGGAGAGTCTGAGTCCCTTTTTAAAGGCTAAATTTAATTAAAATTGATGAACTGCATCTGACTTCAGGAAATGCACAGAGTACCTGGACTGATGCATCAGGAGTCAGAAAAGGGACTACCAATCTGAGTTTTCACCATCAGAGACTTTTCCTGCTGTAAAGAATGAAATGTCTTTGTCTTTGTGTGTTGCTGCTCCAAGAAAGAAGTTGCACATTATTTTATGATATGGGATTTTCTGAGGCTCAGCATAGCTATTCAATAGGAGTCCTGAGTTTTGTGCAAGAGAAAATTAAATTTAAAGTTCCCCTCCTCAGAACTGACTCCCAAAGCAATACCACTTTATAATGCTTTGGTAAGACCCTACTTTGAATATTGCATCCGGTTTTGGTCGCCACGATACAAAAAAGATGTTGAAACTCTAGAAAGAGTGCAGAGTAAAACAAAAAAGATAATTTGGAGCCTGGAGGCTAAGATATATGAAGAAAGGTTGCTGGAATTGGGTATATCTAGTTTAATGAAAAGAAGGACTAGGGGTGACATGATAGCAGTCTTCCAATATCTCAAGGGCTGCCCCAAGGATAAGATAAGGTAAGATAACCTTTATTGTCATTTTTATACTGTGGGCACAATGGCACACATCAAAAATGAAATTTAATTGCCTGCTCTCAAAGTGAAACACATACATGACACACACCTAAACATACAATGAACAACATATGTATAGAGGGAGTCAAGCTATTCTCCAAAGCACCTGAGGGCAGTACAAGAAGCAACGGATGGAAACTAATCAAGGAGAGAAGCAAACTAGAACTAAGGAGAAATTTCCTGACAATGAGAACAATAAACCAAAGTGTTACCTTCAGAAGTTGTGGGTGCTCCATCACTGGAGGCATCTAAGAAGAGACTGGACAGCCACTTGTCTGGAAGGCTTGAGCAGGAGGTTGAGCTAGAAGACCTCCAAGGTCCCTTCAAAATCTGCTATTCTGTTTCTGCCATTTCTGGGACCATCCAGAAGTTGAATGTCACCATATTCCATTTTTCATGGTGAAGTTCTGGAAGCACAAAATATAATTTTATGCCTTTTGTGGACTAGTCAAAGAAATGGAAGTGTATACTTAAAAAAATGACAGGTGATATGAACTGTTTTACTTTAAATAATAAAATGCAAACGTTCAAACTGAAGACAAAAGCCCATTCCACTCAGAGTCATGATATGACATATTGGGGCTGCCTGTAAAAAGAACAAAAGTATTTTTGTTTACATTGGTTGTTCATAGTGTGTTTAGGTGTGTGTCATGTATGTGTTTCACTTTGAGAGCGGGCAACTAAATTTCATTTCTGAAGTGCGCCATTGCGCCCACAGTTAAAAAAACGACAATACAGGTTATCTTATCTGATTGTGTTGGTGAAGTTTTTCTTTTGTAAGTTGCTGAGAGTCACAAAGTTGCCAACGGCTGTTTTTGAGCTGAAGAGCTAAAGAGGAATTCAGTTGCCTTCATGCTGGGCTGGTGTGAGAAGAAGGCAGCGACATGAGGTCACGTCCTAACAATGGTTAGCAAGGCGCCTTCATGCTTCCCTTAGCAGTGTTTCTCAACCTTGACAATTTTAAGGCATGTGGACTTCAACTCCCAGAATTCCACAGCCAGCATTGCTGGTTGTGGAATTCTGGGAGTTGAAGTCCACATGCCTTAAAATTGTCAAGGTTGAGAAACACTGCCTTAGAGGGATGTGAAGAGGAACCCATGGAGGTTTTAATTTGGGGAATTTCCAGCTTTGGCTGCTTTAGGTCTCTCCCGTAATTGGGATGATTGTTTTGGGCTGTCCTTCCATTTTCTGCTCTTCCTCCCAATTCAGAGCCAAAATCCAACGTGGGGATCATCATCGGCTGCATTGTGGCTGGCCTTGTCTCAGTGTGCACGATTGTTGGGATCTTGGCTTGTATTTACATTCTCAGTAAGTATTCTTTTTTGGGTTCTGGGGGAAGATAGGAACATCACTCCCAAGTCTCTCTTTTTGGGGAGCTTCTTCCGGTCTTCCTTCTGTCCTGTTTTCCCAGCCCACTTGGGGGGCATCTGAGACTCAGCCTCTTGCTGGGACTCCAGTCTCGATTCAGCTGAGTCTGAGGTTGGGACAGTCCCGTCTTCTTCTGACTTGGGAAGAGGCATCCCAGTTCTCTCCCTTTCCATGAAAACCTTCCTCCCCTCCCAACTGCTGCTGCTGCTTCCCCCAATTCCCCTCCATCCCTCTCAGAAGCAACAAGTCTCCCTTGGGACAAATCGGGTGGTGAAGTCTGAAGATCTTCCTCTGGCTGTCAATAAGAGTGGCCAGGAGAGGTTGTGGTGAGACAAGTGTGAGAACCTCTCCTGGGGCTCTTCTGCATACAGAGAGAGAGACTGGATGATCTCTGGTGGGCTCTTTCAAGCTTTCACTGGTTTTTTGTCCTTGCAGACAAGCGTCAAGAAGGCTACAGAGTAGCATCAAGAGAATGATTTGTCCTCATTACATGTGAGCTCCAATTCAGAGCGAGAATCAGAGGCAACGTCAGTTGAGATGTGTGCATGTGTGTCCAAGCACAAAAGAAGCTCATGAAGAGTTGTGCTATCTTCCTCTTCCTCTCAAGAACTAAGCTGTGGAAGGAGGGCCCCCTTTTCATGACAACCAGGCTATTCTTGGGAGTGGAGACTCCAAGGAGAAACATCTGGGACAAGGAACCCTCAAGAGGATGAGAAGACCCAGCTGGGTGGACAATCCCTCTGACTGAGATGCTGTTTCCAAGAAGGTGGAAAGGAAAAGTTTGGGCCACCACATGATCAGGAGGAGGCAATTTTGAGAGAAAAGAAGGTTTGGAAGGTGCCAGCTGGATCTCCTCTTGGTCTCCCACCACAAAGGCTCTCCAAGTATGAACGGATTGGAACAAGAGACTTTGGGGCCATCTGTATGTTGTGCTCCTTCTGGTTCTGGTGAAAGCAGAATTTCTTTGGGACAATTTTGCTAGGGAACCTGAGGAGCTAATCATTCAGAGAGAGAAGAGACCTGGGGGGGGTCAGGAGGGGGTGGCTGAGATTTTGTCTTCCCAGGAGACGTGGGTTGAATTTGGTCCGGGGCCTCCTGAGGGAGCGGATGGGGCCCTTTGCAGCAGAAGCTCTGCCAGGTTTCCTCTGCACTTCCTGCCCTTCCTGGCCGGGGAAAACCTCTGCAGTGGACAGGGAACAAAGTGGGGCAACAGCAAAGATTTCCTGGGTTTCCTTTCACACAATCACACACACACACCCCTCTGTCTTCCTTCCCCTCCCTATAAAGATGCCTTATGGATCCGAATAGCCCCACAGTGCTACCAACTCATTTCCTCCCAGTTGAGGTGAAGGTCTCTTTTTGCTCCATGGACACAACTAGGAAGCTTTCTTGGCACCGAGACAGAAACGGCAAATTACACCCATGTCCTGTGGTCTGGGGATTCCCATTTGGGGCTTTCCCAGCCAGCTTCCCTCAAGGAAAGTCGAGGGGGAAGCCTGCAAGGAAAGTCGCAGTCGTGTGATGTCTTGCTTAATGACCAGTGGTCACGTGATGCCTCACTGCTTAATTTTCAAAGGCTTGTGTGGTCATAAGTCAAGGAGCCCCTGGACGAAGAGCTTGGGATGCAAACAAAGTTTTCATAAGAGGATAGTTTAACGTAACGGTCACTTTAAGGAGAAAAAGGCAAGAGAGAATACAATTTATTTGGGATGAGATTTTTAAAAAAGGGAAGAAGTTTTAAATAGTTCCTAGAGAGGGCATCTATTATGCACCAAATGAAGCTTCCACAGAGACAATTAATTGTGCTAAGTAATAACAATAATTAAATAATAGTATTATCAATGAGCGAGATGGAAATAAAGATCAATTAATAAGAGGAAATTTTGAATTTCCAAATACTGGGACAATGGTTGGCGTATAAGTTAGACAAAGAGAAAGAAAATTAAGTAAAATTAAATTACTCTTGAAAAGGACAATGGAACACAGGTCCTATTGGTCATTGCCTAGCAACAGTAAACACTCGGATGAGTGGCAGTTGGCTGCAGCCTATATAAAGATTGGGCTAATTCTGGTCTCTGCTGGGAACAGCCTTTTGCTCAGATGGGTATAAATTTCATTCTTGAACCTTGGACCTGCTGATCACCTTGAATTGGACCTTGGACAACTCTTTTATATGCTCTTTTTTTTAAAAAAAACACAATTTGAAGGCAAGGCTTTTCTTTGATTGACGTTCCTGGGACATTGATAACTGTGTGATCTGAAAACAAAACTGATATTCTCTCCTAGGATTAAAATTAAATAGAGGCAGTCTTGCCTGGGATTTTAGGCTTCACTATTAGCATTTTAAAAGGCAATATTAGCACTTTTAATTCAGCAACCTGGACCTCTTTTTTAAATTCAAAAAAGCAGATTTTTCTATTTTAGCCAACGCCATTTTTTTCTTTTGATATGTGAGAACTTGCTTTTTCAGCAATTACACAACAGAACGTGGATCCTGGAAAGCCTTGGATGCGCTTGCAGGAATTAAGTAAGATAAAAATTTCTCTGGGAAAGGGAGTATATAAGCCATAAGTTTTCTAGAGTCAATCTTTTCTATTGAAATCCATCTCTGACTGTTTGATCTCTTCTTTTCTGCCCTATCAGATACACCAAAGGTTTGTATTTGTTTCTGAACCCTATAAAAAGACTTATCCACCTGCCCTGTCATAGGCTCTGTTAACCAGGCCCAGTTTGGTGGGATCAAGACACATAAGAGCCAGCAACAACACAGGTTCCTAGACAATACACACACACTCACTGTTACTACTCACTCTTCTCCACAACTATTCCCACCTGTCTTACTCCTTGTGAGGACTGCTAGGGAAAAACATCCCTTTCTAGGAGCTTCAGGCTGCTTTACTTCCACACACAAATACGCACCTTCTTTCCCCACACCCTCAGTTGTTTCACAGCACAGCTATTCCAGGCAACTCTGCTGTGCTGTCCCTGGGGAGAGGCCTTGAAGAGATGGGACAGAAATAGCACAGGTGGTGTCAACTTTCTGGGCAGATTGCTCCTTCACACACACACACACAGCCCTTAATGGAGGCTGTTTGCTTTGCCTGAATTACTGGCTGTTTCCTATTTTCGGGTGGGCAAAGAAGCCCCTTTGCAAAGGGAAAAGCGTCTCTTTTGAATTCAGGGCTCAAGTTCTTACCAGCTCCAGGCCAAAGTCAGGGTTTCTGAGTTGGGAGGTAACAGCAGTATCTGAATAAAGAATCTCTTAACGGACGATGCAGAGTTCAAAAGGGGCTGCCTGCAGTCCCTAAAATGGCGGAAGGCTGCTACAGTCTACTTAAAATGGCGGTTGGCTGACTGCCAATGGGATCCAACTCCATGTGGCAGATGGTTTTTCCTCCCCCATCTGGAGTTGGCAAACTGCCAGTCTCTCAATGCCTCCAGGAGTGTCCCAGAGTCGCACGTGCATTTGCAGCCTGTTTTCAGCGGTTCGTGAAAGAATTGTGCTGCTTCTGCAGGTTGTTGGCTTGAAGAAGGAGAAAGCCATCCCGCATGTTGAGTCTTGTCCTGTTCCCATTGTTTTCTTTTTACATTAACTCCAAAGTGAAAATTCAGAAAAAAGAAACATGTAATCTTAAAATCAACTACACCCCTTGTTAATCAGCAGTGATCTTTGGAAAGTGGAAGGAAGGTAGCAGCAGATAAATATGGGGCTGGAGACAATAATATCCTTCCTGGCTATCAAAGCAATGCTAGTTCTTTGTTAATCACCTCCCAAGTAATAAAATTGTGTGTTTGTTTCAACACAGTTGAATAAAAATAACGCCACCATCTCAGCTTTTTATTTTTGCAAACTTAATATGCACGGCTATTTTTATAACAAGAAATCTATGTCACTTCTTTCATACAATTAGTGTTACACGTCATCCATTACATTTATCATTTTTGGTACGTTTGTTGTACTTAGTCCAAGAGAGGGAGACCTTCCTAATCATTGTCGAGAGTTTCCTGCTGCAGGTCTGTAGTTTGTCAGTCTCGCTAGGAAGCCGAAAAAGTAAAGGGGAGTTTAGATAGACTGGGAGGGAATTGAATCAGTTCTGACTGTTGCTGGCTTAGTTCAAGATAGTTCGATTAACGTCTGGCTGGTTTGGCTCTTAAAGAGGATTTGAGCCTTTTCTTCTGATGGGATTCCTGTTGCTTCCCCCCTTTGCTAGTTGAGAGGAGAAACTGCAAAGCTGCAAACCACCAGGGGGCGCCAATCTCCAGCTCATCCGTGTTTCCGAAACTTCTTAGGGCCCGCCTTGCTGAGACTCTCCGGATCTGAAAGATTTTCAAAGATTTATATTCTTTTATGTTCTATATTTTATATCCCTGAGCAATCAAGCTATCCCCTCTTCTTCCCCACAGACGGGCCTTATTTCCACTTTGTACATGCTCAGAGGAATGGTGACTGCAGAAGAAAGCGGATGATTCAAACCTTGAAAAGACCACTGAATGTTTCTCATACTTTGTTCATTACAGGAAATGTGAAATCAACTGAATTTGTTCAATCCTAATAAGAAACCAGGATTTATTCTTTTAGTCTGAGGATTCCCCAGAAGAAGCGCCAAGGCAGAGAGCAGCCATCTTAGTCTATTGTGGGGAAAACCAAAGACTTTGAAGCTTCCTAAAGATTCACAGCTTCCCCAGAGAAGAAAACACCTCTGACATTTTCCCCTAGAAAGACAAATCTTTCCCTTGAAGAGGCCACGAGAGCCTCTGAGCGTTTTTCTCCAGAGCGAAGATCACTCGGGATGTCATGACCTAAACACAGACCTCAGAGGTCTTCTAATCCAACCCTCAGATCCAGCCAACCCAGTCTAACAGTTCTCCAGTTGATTTTTGAAAACTTCTAGCGATGGAGCGCTCACAATTCCAGGATGAAAATTATTCCAGTGATTAATTATTCTCAGTGTTAGAAAATTTCTCCTTCTGGGTTGGGTCCCTCTTTAACAAGCCCCCACCTGTTATTTCTTCTCCTGCCCTCTGGGGTTTGGAGAATAAGTCCCTCCCCTTTTCTCTGGGACAGCCCCTCAAGTAAAGACAGACTTATTATGACACACAGACACACACACACACACACCCCAAATTCTTCTGTGCGATAGACTGGGCATACTTTGCTTTCTCAATGCTTCCTCATACCCTTTATCCTTCCTTTATCTCCTTTGTGGCTCCTCTCTGACTCTTTCTGGGCTCCCAGCATCTTTTTTGAGTCGTGGGGACCAGAAATGGACCCGGCATTCCAAGGGTGGCCTCACTAGTGCAGGATAAACCGACATTGTCATTTCTCTCGTTCTCTTGATGTCGCCCCTCGGTTGACGCAGCCCAAGACTGCCCTGGCTTTTTTGGCAGCTCCACCTGTTTCCCCCCCCCTCCACTGCCAGGGTCTCTGCGGGGTCTCCCCTCCCCCTCGCCTGCGCCCCTCCCCCCAGGCCCAGATAACCCTCCCGCTTTTCCCAGCCCCCCCATTTCTGCCCCTCCCCCCAAGAGGCGGAAGGCCTGGAAGGGGATTTCCTGACGGGACTTTCGCTTTCCTTTCCCCGCCTGTCCAGCCGGTTGCGCCTGGACGTCTGCCTAGCAACTATGACGACACGGGCGTACCTTTTTTCTACTGGTTGAGTTTGACCAATCACCCGCTTCTACTCTGGGTTGTTGCGTTGCTGATCACCCGGAGCGCGTCTTTCTCTGCTTGCGACTTCTGGAGAGCGGATCGCAGTTCGAGAATCGCGGCCAGGATGGCGCTCCGCTCTCTGCCGCTCCTGGTGTTGGTGGCGGTCGCCCTGCGGGAGAGCTGCCTCGGTGAGTCCCTTTATTTCCTGGTGGGGATCCATTCAGGGAATCTCTCTGTCTTTCGCCTCCCCCAAAGATTATTGCCAGGAAGAGAATCCCGATTCGGTCCTCTTTCGAGTCCGCTCCCCCTCTGGCCCCTCTCAGAAGGGACCCCAAAGCGTGGATGGGACTTGGCTGCCTCTCCCCCCAGGAGAGCCCCTCTGGGAACGGGACAAGGGGGGGCCCTCCAGAGGTCAATCAAGTCTACCTGGGCGCCCCCGAGCGCAGTTCTGTCCCTCCCCCAAAGTGGAGGTTGTGGGAAAGCGGCGTTTGCGGGGACCGGGTCAGTTCCCAAACTTCCTGGCTGCCTTCGCACAACCCCTCCGCCCGGCTCCTCTTTCCTGCCTTTGGCGGGGCTGGGTGGCTCTTTGTGGCTTCTGGTGCTGGGAGGAGCCGGCTCGGTTCTCCACTCGCTTCCGCGTATTGGCAGACAAGGAGGCTGGAGCCCTGGAGGGATCGGGTTAAGGCTGTCCTGGGAATGCAGCAGGAGAAGAGTCTGGAGAGAAGCCTTCCTTGAATTGTCTTCCCAAAGATCCCCCCTGATTGATTGATTGATTGATTGATTGTCACTTTCCCCTGGATCCCCACCCCCCACCCCGTCCCAAACCCCAATATCCCCAGAGCTGTTTTCTAGGACAGGCAGGAATTTTTCCACCCCAAATCCTCCTCCTCCCATTTCAGGAGCCCCCAGCAGGGGAGAGTTTGCAGAATCAGAAATATTTAAAGTTTACTCTTATTCCTCAGTAACCAGATGGGAGGTCTTGGGGTGTCCCTAGTTGCTCCTCAGAGAAACTTTCAATGCAGCAGCTTTTCCAAAGGCATTTCCCAAACTCTCAGGATCTGAAGGGTCAGAGAGGCTGGGTGGAGGCAGGAGGAGAGAAGCCCCTCTGGGTGGGGAGCCTGGAATGAAGGCCTTGCTTGGACACAGACAGGCCCCGACTGACCGGCCCTTCCTGACCTGAGGAGGATTCATGATTGTGAGGACGCCCAACCTGCGTTACATTCACACCTGTCTCCTCTCAGGCAGACTTCAGACTCCCTCACTGCTCAGCCCCACGAGGGGAAGAAGCGGGTTCTGGATCACGGAGGATCCGATCCCCCCTCCTTCTGTTGGAGAAGAACTCTGATCTGTTTGAATTCTGAAATCTCCCCAGAGCAGGATGTGGATCTGGGGATCCCTCTCCCCAAAAGCTTTGAGAAGCTGCTGGGGTTGTGGGGAGGAGCAGGAAGAAGGAGGCCTTTGCCTTTGCCTTGGGAGACTGGGAAGGGCTGGGAGACCATACTGGAGAGACTGGGCAGTGGGACTACAGGTAGTCCTCAACTTACAACAGTTCATTTAGGGACCGTTCAAAGTTACAACGTCATTGAAAAAAGTGAATTATGACCATTTTTCACACTTATGACCATTTTAGCGTCCTCATGGTCACGTGACCAGGATTTGGATGCTTGGCCACTGGTTCATATTTAGGACAGTTGCAGTGATCCCGTTTTGCGACCTTCTGACAAGCAAAAGTCAATGGAGAAGCCAGATTCACTTAACAACGGGGTTAGTAATTTAGCATCTGCAACGATTCGCTTAACAACTGTGGCAAAAATCATAAAATGGAGCAAAGTTCACTTAACAAATGTCTCACTTAGCAGGAAAAAGTGTGGGGTCGATTATGGTTGAACGTCGAGGACTGCCCGTATTTATTTCTCTGGGGGGTTTTGGAGGTCCTGCCCAAATAAGTCCTGTGAAGGACCCTGAAAATGATCTTTAAACTCTTTGGTGCCCCAGCTTTGTGGAAGGCCTTGCTGGAAGGGGGAAAGGGCACAGCTGGGGCAGGTAAAATTTGGGGGACCAGACTTTCTCCTCCTCTCTCACACCCCACCTTCCCTGCCCTCCAACCCTTCAGGCCCTCCAAAAAGCTGCTTTTCTCCCTCTCAGTCGCTCCCTCCTTCCACCTCCTGCCTCCCCTTCCATCCTCTCCCCTTCCTTTTCCTTTTCTCCTCTCCCCCAGCTCTGTCCTCCTCCTCCTCTTCTTCTTCTCCTCCTTCTTTCCCCCCCCCCGGAGCCTCAGATTGGGGCCTCCATAGGATGAGGGTCCTTGACTGGAGCCCCCTAACTCTGCCCCTCTGGGTCCCTTCCAGCCGCCTCCTCCCACACCCTGAAGAATTTCTACTCCTCCATCTGGGACCCCAGTCAGGGGCAGCCCCACTTTGTCGCTCTGGGGTACGTGGACGGTCAGGTCTTTGTTCACTACGACAGCAGCACCCGGAGGGAGCAGCCTCGAGTCTCCTGGATAAAGAAGGTGGAGAAAGAAGACCCCCAATATTGGGACACTCAGACGCAGATATTACGTTACAATGAGGATTCGTTCAGACAAAGCCTGGAGAATCTGAGGCTTCGCTACAATCAGAGTGAAGGTGAGTGATGGGTCGGGTGGCTCCTTCTGCCCCATAATCCCCTCCCCAGGAACCAGAGAGGGGAGAAAGGGGGGTCCCTTCAAAGGGAAAGGCTGCATCCCCACCTTTAAAAAAAACATTTTAGTATGTTTATTCTTTTTTTAAAATCAGTATAAGCTTGTCGTTGCCTCCATAGCTGATGGTTTCTGCCAATTGCAGTTAATAAAAACATTTTTTTTCAGTTCTCCCTCTATCTCTCTGTATATCGATAGGATGTGGATATGGATATAAACTGAGTTAAAAGAGACCAAAATCTCCCCTCCCCCCATGAAAGTCAGAGGGTCCTGGCCTTGGTGGATCCCCTGCTGTGGGGGAGGGAGGGGATCCCAGGTTTCTCCCTCCCAGAAAAGAAGCAGGTGGATCCTAAGGAAATGCTGAAGGAAGCAGGTCCTTGGTTTTCTGTTTCCACTCCAGAGAAATGAGGGATCAACTGCAGATCCATCTGGGCTGACTAGATCCCTCTCTTTCACCTCTTTTTGGAGGGAGGCCCAAAATGGCAGGAATTTCTTCTCACCCTCCAGGTGGAAGGAGAGGCCAGGAGGCCAAATGGGGTGGGGGGGCTGTTGGGGGGGGCACAGTGTTACTTCCAGGATCCCCCCAATCTTGAGGGGGAAAAGGACAGAGAAGAAAGAACATTTGGGGCCCTTCCTGAGTCGCTCAGAGCGCTGATGGCTTCCCATCCTTGGTCCCTCCGGCTGGACTCCTGCGCTGCCCTCTTGGTGGGGCTGCCCTGGAGGGGGTAGGTCTTCTTCAGCAGCCCCCCCTTTCTGCCATCTTTGGGGGAGAAGATTCACCTCCAAGGAACCTGATTTAGGGGAGAGATTGGAAGCAAATATCTGTGTCACCAGAGGCTGCTTTGGGCTGAGGTAAACCTTCTCCACAAACATCAGCCATTTTCTGATGTTTATCCCAAGGAGGGGCAGCCCCCCTTCTTCTGCCTTTCCTTGCCCATCCCCCCCCAGGCAGACACCCCAGAGATCTCCCTGTTCTGCCCCTGATCCCCAGGATCCCCCCAGATCCCTCCAGGCCCCCTGCTGGCCTCTCAGGGGAGCAGAGCTGGACCCAGAGGGCTCCCCCTGGTGGAGAAAGGGGGAAGGAGAGCGGCCAGAGTGGAGGGGAGCCTCCTTCCCAGGCCAAACAGCCCCAAATGTCCCAACCTTTCCTCCAAAGGAGGCTGTTTCCACCCTCCCATCCTCTGGGTCGCCCCCTCTGGACCTTCCCCACCTCCCTCCTGCCCTTTTTGAGGTCTGGGGACCAGAACTTCACCCAATATTCCAGATGTGGTCCCACCCTTGATTTACGCAAAGGCTTTTATGACATTAGCCTCCGTGTTTTCAGTACCATTTTAATGATCTCTGATATCCTGTTCGCCTTTTAAAATTTTTAATATAATTTGTATTGAACCTTTTCAACAAAAGTTAAAAACTAATAGAAGGTAACATAAAGGAGATAAAAGAAAGAAATCAAAGAAAAATCAAAAACTATATAAGAAAAGAAAACAAGTTGAAGAAAGAAAAGAAAAAAGACATAAAGAAGTGGCTTCTGATATTCTTCACAGCAGTTACAAATATAAATATATTTTAGCCTCCCTAAAGCAGCCTTTCTTAACCTTCTGACCCTGGAGGAACCCTTGAACTATTTTTCAGGCCTCGGGGAATCCCTGAACATCCAGGCTCAGAGATGGGGCAGAACTGTTTCCTGCACAGACCTGTAGAGATGCATTAACAGCCTTCTTACACTAAGAATAAAAACTTGCCTTTTCAGTCTGATCCCTGTGCTTTTTTTTTTGCAGCACAAATATTAAATTCTGTGTCAAACTTGCAATGAACACACACAGATTTCATCTTCAACTGAAATAAGATGGTTTCTGTCTTAGCTTTTGATGCTTCTGAAATAAGACAGAGCTGGTTCTCAGAAGTTGAAAACTGCAGCCAAATATATTCACTGCCTTCCTGTGGATGGCAGGAGACTCTTCTTGGGCAGAAATCCAGAATCTTTTTTTTTTCTCCTGGGCAGATCAGGGAATCTCCTCTGGAGGGCAGGATCAGACTCAGCTCAGGAGGATCTCCCTCTCCCTCCAAAGGGAAGGTCTCAGGCTGAGCAGAAGCTGCAGAGAAAGGATCCCCTCACCTGGTCACTCATGGGAGTGGAAAGGGAGGGAAAGGACTGGTCAGTTTAGTTCAACTGTACTTACAAGTGGTTTTCCCTCAGATTTGAGAGTTTCTGGCGTCCTTCCTCCCTCTCAAGCCCAATCAGAAGTAGAAACATTGCAACATTTACTTTTGCTTTTTTCCAAACATTCAATTTGATTCTGGGATTTAAAAGTCAAAATATTTTCTCCAGGGCCTTTTGCAAAGACTGCAAACTTCAAACTTCATTTCAAAGGTCAAAAAACCCTTTGGGGGTGCAGATCAGATTGGGCCACTTGCTGCTGTTGCTCATGCAAATATTCCTTTGTGGCCCTTCAAGTCTTCATTCCCACAATGTACAAAGCCATGGTTTGTTTCTGGTTAGCCAAGATGGGAACCAGCTTGGTGATATTTGTGAACATAGATCAAGATTTATGGTCACAGGGATCCTTGCAAGCTTCTTTGCAGATCGACCAGATCCTCTCTGAGGCCAGGAGATTCTCAGTCCCTCTTTGCAGCTGCAGATTCCTGTTATTGTTCCCTCTCTGGGATCCCTTCCTTTCCCCCCAAGAGTCTCCCCAACAGAGGAACTGCAAAAGGAAAGATGGAGGAGGCTCTGTCCCTCCGTTTCTTCTGCTCCTTTTCTGGTCTCCCTCGGGATCCTCCGCTGGCTTTTCCAACTTCCCTTTTCCTGGGGAGGTTCAGGGGCTCCATCCTGGGGGGGGGGATGCAGGGAGGCAGGTCGAGGGAGGGGAGAAGGGCAGGAAGTGATGGGGGCTTTCTTTCCCTTGATTGCTAGGGAGGAAAGGGGGGTGTCAGTGCCTGTGTCAAAGTCCCTTCAGGGAAGGGGGTCTGTGCCTATCTTGAGGACTCCCCAAACCATCACCTTGTTCCTATTTCAGGCCTTCACACATTGCAGTGGATGGTTGGCTGTGAGCTCCAGGTTGACCAGAGCAAAAAAGGATCTTGGCAATTTGGCTACGATGGGAGGACCTTCCTCACCTTCGACAAGGAGAGACTCACTTGGGTGGCTCCTGACCCCCAGGCCCAGATCACCCAAAGGAAATGGGACGCTGATCCAGGATATAATCAGAGAAGGAAGGCCTACCTGGAGGAGGAATGCATTGAGTGGCTGGAGAAGTACCTGTCCTACGGGAAGGAGACGCTGCTGAGGACAGGTGAGTCTCTGGATGCAGGCTGGACTTTCCTCCTTTATGGCTGGATTTCTGGTGCACATTCGGCCCCTTTGGGTTCCTGGTCTGCCGTCTGGCTGCCCAGGAGGGAATCCTCCCCCTCCCCTCCCAGCCCCTCTCCATGACGCGGGAAGCCCTGATTGGTTCCCCTTTCCAGGCCGCCATTCCATGGACCGGGAAACGCAGCCTCTGCCTGGCGGGAGTCTGGGTGGATCAGGCAGGAGAAGCACTTGGGGGTGTCCTTTTCATTGCCCACAGTGAGGCAACAAGGGCATTTGGGGTTCTTCAGTGAAATCCCCATTAGTCAAACGGTAGTCAAGTGTGAGGCACCTTTAAAATCCCCCCATTAACTCTCTTTTCCCCCCACATCCCACAGGGGGCTCCTTCCCTGCCTTGCACCTGTTGGTGCACCTCCCATGCCCACCACTAGGGGGCTCCACTTCTACCATTAATAATACCTTCTCAGGGCCCCCCCTTGGGGAAAAAAGGCCAAGGTTGCAGGATCTTTTTCTTCCCAAAGTTTCTGTGGATCTTTCTGTTAAACCCCAGACAGGTTCCCTCCATTCTGACCTAGTGAGTCTTTCCTCAAAACAGCCCCCTCCCCACCTTCAGGAACCCCCCTCACCCTATAAGGGGGGCTCAAAGTATAATCGTTTCCTGTGATTTGTTATTATGTTCCCATCTAGACAACCTCTTCCCACTGGGTCAACTCCTGCCCCTCTGGGCTCCTTGATACCCCCCTCTAGTATAAGCTGGGTGAGATCAGGGTCCACAGGGGAATTCCCCCCCCCCATACACACACACAATTGCCAGCAGAGGACTCTCTGTCTCTCTGTCTCTCTCTCTTCCACTGGCCTCACCTCTCTCTTTCCCCTTTGAGGGATAATATCTCTTCTCTAAATTAATCAGTCAGAAAATGCAAAAGCCCTGAGCCCCTTTTTGCTTTGATTCTGCCTCTCCTCTTCTTGAAACTGGGGTCGTGTCCCTTGGAAAGAGGCCTGGAGCAGCCTCAGATTCAGGGGTGCAGAAGGAAACCACAAAAGTAGGGAGAAACTTCTGTGTTGTTGTTGTCTTGAAAGGGAATTTAAAAGGGCAGCTCCACTTTCCCTCCCCTGAAGGAAACAATCCACGATCACTCAGAGTTCAAAGCAGCCAGAGACGAATTTCCTTGGACCCTCAATTTGCTGCTGGAGGCTTTTCAGGCTGAGTCCCTGGGAAGGACTCAGAATCCGGAGTTCTTGAGGTTGAGCATTTTCCAGATCTGGAGCATCTCCCAAAACTCTTGGAGACACTGCAGGTGTGGAGTGGGAAGTAGTGGGAGATTTTCCTGCCCCTCCAAGTTTCTTACCCACCTTCCAGTCTTTGGAGGGGCTCAGAGTTAATTCCAGGGGTGCCGTTTCTGCAGAGCCCCCAGAGGTGACCATGAGTAGAAAGACGGAGATGGAGGATGGGATGGAGATGCACATCTGCCGCCTGGATGGCTTCTACCCCAGGGAGATCGAGGCCTCCTGGACGAGGGATGGGGAGGTCTGGCTGCAGGACACCCTATGTGGCTCCGTGGCCCCCAACGCGGATGGGACCTTCCATGCCTGGCTCAGCATCCGGATCGATCCCAAAGAGAGGGGCCGCTATCGCTGCCACGTGGAGCACGACAGCCTACCGAAGTCTCTGGACGTGGCCCTGAAGGGTGAGAGGCTGCAGGGAGGGAAAGGCTGGGCTCTTTGGAAGGCTGGAGGGTTGAGGGAGGGAAATCTCACCCCAGCTGTGTCCAGATGTGAGCATACCGGAGCTTTAAGCCATTGGTTTTTCCAGTGTTTGAGGTTGATGAAGCTGCAGGGATCAGACCATAGATCTGTCTTCAGGGGATGTAAAGGAAACTCCAGAATCCCATCACAAGAGCTGGCAGATCCTGATGAAATCCTCTTAGATCCTCTCGTAGACTCTGTCCCTTTCCTCTTTCTGGCCTCCAGCCGTGGAGCAGCAGTTATACTGAGCACCCAAAAAAGATTTTATTTTCTTTAGAATTCCTGAAGTAGAAAAGTCAGGAGGAGAGTCTGGGTCCCTTTTTTAAGGCCAAATTTAATTAAAATTGATGAACTGCAGCTGACTTCAGGAAATGCACAGAGCATCTAGATTCTAGACCACAGGTCGGCAACCTGCGGCTCCGGAGCCGCATGTGTCTCTTTGAGCCTTCCCCTGTGGCTCCCAGCATCCTCTGCCATTTGCAGAGAGAGACAGAGACAGAGAGAGGCATTTGCGCTTCCCTGCTTCTCTCTCTCTCTCTCTCTCTCTCTCTCTCTCTCTCTGTGTGTGTGTGTGTGTGTGTAAAAAAGAGAGTGGACTCACAGTGTTCTCTGAGGAGCTGCAAAGCTTTTTGGGCAGAGCTCCTGCCTTTGCTGCATCTCTGCAGGAAACAGGAAGCAGGAAGGAGAGGAGAGAGCTAGCTAGCCCAGCTATGCTGACTCAGGAATTCTGGGAGTTGAAGTCCATGAGTCATAAAAGAGCCGAGGTTGCCTACCCCTGAGCTTGTTGGAGAACAGCTTGAAGCCAGCTTGCCAGGTGAGCAGCAGATCGGAGAGAGGGAAGGGGGGAGAGAGAGAGAGGGAGAGAAAAAAGAGAGGGAGAGAAAGAGAGACACACACAGAGAGAGAGACAGAGACCCTTCTGACATCTAAAATGAAGATAATACTGCATATATCCTTTTTTACCTTTATTTTACACACACACACACACACACACACACACGCACTTATAATAAAGGTAAAAAAGGATATATGCAGTGTTAGCTTCATTTTAGATATCAGAAGGGTTTTGCGGCTCCCAATGTTTTGTTTTTGGTGGGAAACGGGTCCAAGTGGTTCTTTGAGTGTTTTGGGTTGCCTACACCTGTTCTAGATTGATGCATCAGGAATCAGAAAACTCAATCTGAGTTTTTACCATCAGAGACTTTTCCTGCTGTAAAGAACGAAATGTCTTTGTGTTTTGCTGCTCTAAGAAAGAATTTGCACATTATTTTATGATACGATATGGGAATTCCTGAGGCTCAGCATAAAACCCAAGAAAAAAAGCTCTCTAAGAACTCTGCATATGTTCATAACTGCCCCTAACATTTTTTACACTGGATTTCCAAAATTGCAGAATTCAAGTTTAAATCTTTTATTAACGATTGTCACCACAATATAAAAAAACCCCGTTCAAATTTAATTTTTATGCTGATGCCCCGGGCAAAATAAAATATTTGTTTTTGTTCTTTTTAGCAAGCATCAATTCACAAATGGCATGACAGCTATTCAGTAGGAGTCCTGAGTTTTGTGGAAGAGAAAATTAAATTTAAAGTTTCCCTCCTCAGAACTGACTGCCAAAGCAATACCACTTTATAATGCTTTGGTAAGACCCTACTTTGAATATTGCATCCAATTTTGGTCGCCACAATATAAAAAAGATGTTGAGACTCTAGAAAGAGTGCAGAGAAGAGTAACAAAGATGATTAGGGGACTGGAGGCTAAAGCATATAAGGAACGGCTGCTGGAATTGGGTATGTCTAGTTTAACGAAGAGAAGGACGAGGGGGGACATGATAGCAGTATTCCAATATCTCAGGGGCTGCCACAAAGAAGAGGGAGTCAAGCTATTTTCCAAAGCGCCTGAAGGCAGGCCAAGAAGCAACGGATGGAAACGAAACAAGGAGAGAAGCAAACTAGAACTAAGGAGAAATGTCCTGACAGTGAGAACAATAAACCACTGGAGCACCCACAACAAAGTGCAACTTGGAGGCAGTTTTGGTCACCGCATTACAAAAAAGATGCTGAGACTTTGGGGGAAAAGTGCAAAAAAGAGCAACTAAGATGATTAAAGGCCAGGAGACCAAAATATATGAAGAACAGTTGCAGGTTTTGGGTTTGGCCAGTCTAGAGAGAAGAAGGACTGGGGAGGGGGACATGATAGGAGTATTCCAGTATTTGAGAGGCTGCCACAGAGAACGGGGGGGGGGGCGGTGTCAATTTAATTTCCAAAGCGCCAGAGAGCAGGACAAGAAACGATGGATGGAAATTAAACAAGGAGAGAAGCAATCTGGAATTAAGGAGAAAGTTCCTAACCGTGAGAACAATAAACCAAATGGAACAATTTGCCTTCAGACGTTGTGGGGGCTCCATCACTGGAGGCATCTAAGAAGAGACTGGACAGCCACTTGTCTGGAAGGCTTGAGCAGGGGGTTGAGCTAGAAGACCTCCAAGGTCCCTTCAAAATCTGTTCTTCTGTTTCTGCCATTTCTGGGACCGTCCAGAAGTTGGATGTCACCATATTCCATTTTCATGGTGAAGTTCTGGAAGCACAAAATATAATTTTATGCCTTTTGTGGACTGGTCAAAGAAATGGAAGTGCATACTTAAAAAAATGACAGGCGATATGAACTGTTTTACTTTAAATAATAAAATGCAAACATTCAAACTGAAGACAAAAGCCCATTCCACTTAGAGTCATGATATGACATATTGGGGCTGCCTATAAAAAGAGCAAAAATATTTTTGTTTACGTTATTGTGTTGGTGAAGTTTTTGTTTTGTAAGTTGCTGAGAGTCACAAAGTTCCCAACGGCTGTTTTTGAGTTGAAGAACTAAAGATGAATTCAGCTGCCTTCATGCTGGGCTGGTGGGAGAAGAAGGCAGCGACATGAGGTCACGTCCTAACAATGGTTAGCAAGGCGCCTTCATGCTTCCCTCAGAGGGACATGAAGAGGAGCCCATGGAGTTTTTTAATTTGGGGAATTTCCAGCTTTGGCTGCTTTAGGTCTCTCCCCTAATTGGGATGATTGTTTGGGAATCTCCTCCTTCAATTTTCTGCTCTTCCTCCCAATTCAGAACTAAATCTGGGGCTCATCAGCGGCTGCATTGTGGCTGGCCTTGTCTCGGTGTTTGCGATTGTTGGGATCTTGGCTTATATTTACATTCCCAGTAAGTATTCTTTTTGGGTTCTGGGGGAAGATAGGAACATCGCTCCCAAGTCTCCCCCTTTGTGGAGCTTCTTCCAGTCTTCCTTCTGTCCTGTTTTCCCAGCCCTCTTGGGGAGCATCTGGGACTCAGCCTTTTGCTGGGACTCCATTCTCGATTCAGCTGAGTCTGAAGTGGGGACAGTCCCATCTTCTTCTGAGCTGGGAAGAGGCATCCCAATTCTCTCCCTTTCCAAGGTTTTGGTCGAAGAGCAGCAGAGAAGGATTTCCATGAAAATCTTCCTCCCCTCCCAGCTGCTGCTGTTGCTTCCCCCAATTCCCCTCCATCCATTTCGGAGGCAGCAGGTCTCCCTTGGGGCAAATCAGGAGATACATTTGCATTTCGAAGATCTTTCTGTCTTTGTTGATGGGTCAAAGGAACTGTGAAATATCTCCTGGGGTTCTTCCTCCTAAAGAGGTGAAATTGGATGATCTCTGGTGGGTTCTTTTGAGCTTTCACTGATTTTTATCCTTGCAGAGAGACGTCAAGGTGACCACAATGCAACACCGAGTGAATTGTCCTCTTTACAAGTAATCTCCAACTTAGAGCAGGGACCAGAGGCTCCATCATTTGAGAGGTGTGTGTCTGTGTGTGTCTGTGTGCTATCTTCCTCTTCCTCCTAAAAATCTGACTGGGGAAGATGGACCCCCTTTTCATTACAGCCAGGCTGTTCTTTTAAGTGGGGTCCTCAAAGAGAAACCTTTGGGACAAGGAACCTTCCAGAAGATGAGAAGACCCAGCTGGTGGAAGGTCCCTCTGACTGAGGACATGCTCTGTTTCCCAAGTGGGCGGAAAGGAAAGGTTCGGTGAAATGAGAGTCAGAAGCTCCATCAAATTAGGGATCAAAAGGGGGCATTTTGAGAGACAAGGAGCTTTGGGGGATGCCAGCTGGATCTCCTCTTGGTCTCCCATCACAAGGCTCTCTAAGTACGAACTGATTGGAAAAAGAAACTTTGGATCCCTCTGTATCTTTTTAAGTCAGCTCTGCCTTCTGGCTTTGTGTGATAGAAATATAAATTTGAAGAATTCTTTCCTACGTCTTTAAGCCAAAGCGGTTTGGTTCAAACTCTCTCCCTGTATTTGTGGGTCTTTGATTGTGTACAAGAGAGAAAGGGAGGGAGGGAGATGGAGTCAGAAAGAGCTGAGTTTTTCCATCTGTAAGCCAAGAGAGCAACTTTCTCCCCCGCCTTTCTTTCTTTCTTTTTCAGGAAGTGAGGAAGGATCCAGCAGTTCCAGCCAGGGTGAGTTGGAGGGAGCTGCTGCTGCACAAGCCATTCTGTCCCTTTGCCAGACTTTGGGCAGATGGGGGGGGGGTGAAAAGAGAGAAAGCCCCCCCCCTTTTTAAAGGCCCTCCTAATAACTCCTCCCCGTGTTCCCTCTGTGTCCAGTTCTGGTGAAATAATTAGAATAATTAGAGACAGTTTCATTTCGGGTTGAGGGCACCAAGTGAGACTAACTGGGAGATGGTGAGTTGTTTTTTTTAAGAAAATTTTATTGATTTTCTAATTTTACATTTAAATATTTGAAAAGCACGTGGCGGCTGAGTTGGTCAATAATTCAATAACGTACAAATATCTTTAGTGCAGATCTCAAACTATTACATTAACTATTTCCTCTCTTTTCCCTTTGGTATTTCATGTCTCATATTTAAATTAATACAATTCTTATTATACCGATTAAATAAAAAAAACCTTTCCCCTCCTCTTTGTAGCACGAGTGGACACTCTCAGCATCAGGAAGGGGGAATGAACAGGGGATCGGCCTTCTTCTGAATTAGGACCGACTCTCAGGTGGAGCCCTTCAGACCCTTCCAGCCTGCTGGAACCAGGATGGATTTTGGGTCTTGCTTTTCAGGTGCCTCATTTCATGCAGTCGCCCAAGAATGCAGAGACGCTTGATTGACGGGAAAGAAGTCCCCATATTACGACGGATGCTTTCTGAGCAAAGGAGTGAAAGGATTGAAAGTGAACAGTGAAATTGAAAAAGGGTGGGGTCTTACACCCAAACTTCTTTTGCGATTCCCAGATGCCTTCAAGAGCTGGCCATCTTTGAGAGCCTATAAAGGAGACTATTTAAAGCAGCCACATCCATCCCGGCCCCTGTGGGCCACATGTGGCCTTGGATAGGTAGTAAAGCAGTCCTGCAGAAGTTTTAATGCTATAATAAAAATGTAAAGGAAGTTATTTAAATACATTAACTATATTATAGATTTTATATGTGGCCCAAGACCATTTCTCCTCACTCCATGCAGCCAAGACAAGCCGAAAGGTCGGACACGGCTGCTTTAAAGCATTTTGTGAGAATTCAATCAGTATTTGAGTGTCTTCCCCTGATTCAAAAGTTTTAGAACTGTATTTATTTCTTAGACACCTAAACAACTTTAGGCAGCTCACAAAAATAGTCAAACTACGAAGGACACAAAAAACGTATGACAAAAACTAAAAACTTGAGCCCTCCATCTTCCTTTTAGGAGCCCCAACACCCATCTGCAGGATGGTGCAAGGCGCTAAGCATATAGATTCAGTGTCCACATCAAACATTGTTGCGCTCCCAGGTCCCTTGGCCAGCAATGATCCTCCTTAGCCAAGAGGTAGGAAAGTTCCCCCTCTCCAGTCATCACCCCCCCCCATCTTCCGTACCGGAATATGGCATTGACCACCTTTCTTGAAGCCAGGACATGGATACAAAGCCAGGTTTTGATGCCATTGTGGAAGGCTAAGAGGAGTGGGATCTACTTGAGGGTCTTCCAAAAGCCATAGGAAAGGGACACTTCCAAGAGTTACTGACAGGGAGATGTTTTTCACTGAGGTAGTTCTTCTCAGGTATAGACTACTTGGATTCCTCCAGATACTTTAGACTTCAACTCCCATCATGCCTTGCTGCCAGGCAGCTCTCTAGATATAATTGACCTACGCTGGTTGCAAATAAAGCAACTCAGAAAGAAGTGAATTTGGTAATCCAGGAGCGAGTACCTTCCTTTCAGAGAAATTGGGCAAGAGGAAATCATCTTGTCGTTCCCCCCCCCCCCGGAGAAAACAAGAAGTTACAATGGCCTTTTGATGGGTGTGGAGTTGTGGGGGAAGGAGTGGCAGAACCTGAGGGGGGAGTTAAAGGAGGGATCAGCCTAGAATCTCTTTGTAGCTACAAGCAAGCTAAGTCCAGACCTCCTTCAGTTCCATTGACCTTTTTTTAAACTGCTATGAGGTGCTAACCATTAGCTGAGAAGGTTCCTGTGCATAGGTGTAACAATAAATCGGTTTAATTGGACCCTCGTGTGGATCTGATCTTATAGGAGCTTTGCTAAATGAACACATTGTCCTCCTTCCTTTTGAAGATGGGTACCTGGAAACATTGACAAATGTACCATCAGTCAATGGTGAAAGAAAATGAAGAAACTAAATTGCTCTGGGAGTTTAGAATCCCGACAGACCGGCATCTGCCACATAACACACACCAGACTTAACAATTGTCGATAGGAAAGAGAACAAAGTCTGGATAGTGGACGTGGCAGTACCTGGAGGTAGCAGAATAGCAGAAAAGAGCTGGAGGAGATTATAAAATACAAAGACCTGCAAATAGAAATAGAATGACTATGGCAAAAGCAAGCAAAGGTAGCACCCATAGCCAAATGCACCTTGGGCTCAATCCCAAAACAACTGGAGCACTGCTTGAACCCCATCGGCATTGACAAATGCACCATCGGTCAATTGCGAAAGGCAGCTTTACTCAGAACAGCTGATACGAAACCTTTAAACACCATCAAACATCCACATTAGCCTTTCCCTGGTCCTTGGGAAGGACTCAACAGGTGGATAAAAATGCCAAATCCAGCCTGAACATCTGGCTGGTTGTGTGAGGAACAAATAATAACATAAAAAACAGAAAATAATTAAAAATACGAAATAAATTAAAAGCAAAACACTCTGAAGGGTAATTTAGAGGCACCTCTGGGTCTTTTTCTGCCATCAGTTTTGTATGTTTCTGTGTCAACATGCTCAGCGGGGGCCTTGCTCAGATTGGACAGAGTCCATGTGTTCCAGTGTCCATGCGGGTCTATGCAGTGGTTTGTGTGTGAATCCCCATTTGCACAAGAGGCTGCACCTCAAACCAACCAGCCAGTTAAAACAGACGAGACTGTGCCTGCTGTGAACCCCAGACAGAGAGGGAGGATCTGAAGGTGAGGCTCATCCTGCAGGCGGCCAATTTCCAGAGGCTCAAAACCAACTGGAAAGTTCTTCTGATGGCCTCGGCCTTCTTTGTCTTTATAAATGCAGGCCCATGAAAGGGAGGCAGAAGATCCTTCTTCCCTACAGGAACAGCTTCATTTCCATTCTGTACATGCTCAGGGGAAGTCTTCTGACTACAGAAAAGGGCAGGAGATGGTTCAAGCTGTGAAAAAAATAATTGCATCTTACTCATACAGGTAGTCCTCAACTTACAATCACAATTGAGCCTAAAATGTATGTTGTTAAGTGAAACATTTGTTCAGTGAATTTTACCCCTTAACAACATTGCTTGCCATAGCAGATGCACAGTGCTGGAAAAATGAGAATATACCATCAGAGGAAGAAATGATAAGAAAAATCCTGGACTGTGCTGAGATGGACAAATTAACAAAAGAGATAAAAGAAAAGGAAGACACAGAGTACTATCTAATATGGAACAAGTGGTATGACTGGTTGGAGACTAGAAATAATAGAGGAGAATAAATGTGGAAAGGTCAAAAGTGAAAATATGTGTATAATAATGTATAATAATAATAATATGAATTATTCTTAGTAAGAAGAATATGAAGGAAGAAAAATGCAAATAAGAAACAACGGGGCAATAAAGACAAATATTCTAAAGAAGAATAAGGGGGGAAATGTAAATAATAGAAGATTACCGTTACGTAATCGCTGTTAAAAAAAGGAGAGGAGTATATACTGTGTGTGTGTGTGTGTGTTATGTTTTGTTTTGTTGGTTAAAAATAAATTTTAAAAAAAACCTTTCTTGCCACAGTTGTTAAGTGAATCACTACAGCTGATAAGTTGGTAACCTGGTTGTTAAGTGAATCTGGCTTCTCCATTGACTTTGTCAGAAGGTCACAAAAGATGATCACATAAACCCGGGACGCTGCAACGGTCATGTGAAAAATGGTCATAGGTCACTTCTTTCAGTGCCGTTATAACTTTGGTCACTAAATGAGGACTACCTGTACATTCCTCATCGTGGAGAGCAGGAGTTTCAGTTCATTACTGATCATCGTAATAACAACGATCCTAATCCGAAGGCTGATTTATTCAGTTCCAGGATTCCCCAGAAGAACCAGCAAAGGAGAGAGCGGCCATCTCAGTTTATTGCGGAGAGAACTGAAGCGTTTGAAGCTTCCCAAAGATTCGTTGTCTTCACTGGAAAATAAAAGGAAATGGGGAATTTATGTTCTATGTTTCAGCCCTCTGATCTTTCGCCTAGAAAGACGGGTCTTCACCTTGAAGATGCAACACAAGCGTTTTCATCCAGAGGGAAGATCACTTGGGATTTCTGACCTAGAATTTTGAATCATTGGGCTGGAAGGGACCTCAGAGATCTTCTAGTCCACCCCTCAGCTCAAGGCAAGAGATCTTGTATCATCCTGGTCAAATGGTGGTCCGGTCTATTTTTCAAAATCCCCTCTGATGGAAGCACTCTCAACTCCAGGAGGAAAACTATTCCATTAATTTATTGTTCTCAATGTCAAGACAATTTCTCCTTCCTTCTAGCTTGGATCTCTCTTTCTTTAACAAGATTCCACCCCTTGTTCCTTCTTCTGCCCCCTGGGGCTTTTGAGAGTAAATCCATCCTCTCTTCTCTGTGACAGCCCCTCAAGGGCTGGAAGACAGTCATCATGAGCCGAGGTGGTGCAGCAGTTAGAATGCAGTACTGCAGGCCACTTTAGCTGACTGTGTTCAGCAGGTCAGCGGTTCAAATCTCACCGGCTCAAGGTTGACTCAGCCTTCCATCCTTCCAGGTGATATACATCAATATGATAAATCTTCAGTCAGTTAAAAATACAGATGGTGAGAGTCAGAAAGAGATAACATTAAGGAAGTAAGATAACCATATAGGTAAAAATAGTTGGGGTCTGAGAAAGGAAGAGGGAAGTCATAAAATGGATAAATAGTTGTTTTTTTAGGAAATGGCTAGCCAGAAAGTATAGGAAAGCAGGAAACCATGCCAAATAAGATAAGAAGAGAGACACAATGAATAGAAAAGCAGGAAAAGAGCTTATTGTGGAGACATAAATAAATATATTGAGTTTAAAAATAACCATAAGAAAATAATATTTCTTATTCTTATTGTATAAGTGAATATGATTTAGTATGTTATCAGGAAATGTGTATAGGCGGACGGAAAGAGTGTAACCTCATACTACCTCAGCCAATGGGGAAAGAGGAGGGCTGTAGCGGCCGGTGATAGGGATGAATAAAAGAAGGAGATATTTTGGTTTAAAACTTTGGAGAGAACCAAGCTTTGAAAGCTTCTCTCTCCGCTTATTGCGATAAACGAAACAAAAGGCCTTCACTGTGTCTTGGCTGGTTATTGGTCAGGCGAGCTTGCCTCTGGTCACGAAGGAAAGTAGCCAGGAGCACATAACACAGGGTGAGGACCCAGATTGTTGGGGGCAATGTAAATATATATATATATATATATATATATATACATTGCTTACTGGTGTACACCTCTTAGAGAGTGCTTGCACTTAAAGCGGTATATAAGTCTCATAAATAAATAAATCATGTTCCCCCCCCCCCCCTAAGCCTTCTCTTCCAAAGGCTGGACACGCTTGGCTCCCTTAACCCTTCATCCTAGCATTTATTCTCCAGGCCCTTAGTCACCTTTGTTGCTCTTCTCTGCACATTTTCTAGGGTCTCAGGCTATGGTTTTTTTCCCCTTTTTTATCCTGGTGACCAGAATTGTGGCCAGTTTTCCAAGTGTGTCTTCACTACTGCAAGATAAAGCGATGCTCTCGCTTCTCCTGATCTTGATGTTGTCCCTCTGTGGATGCAGCCCAGGACTGCCCTGGCTTTCTTGGCAGATCCACCTGATCCCCCACTGCGAGGGGATCTGTGGGGTCTCCCCTCCCCCTCCCCCTCCCCCCCCAGGCCCAGATAACCCTCCGGCTTTTCCCAGCCTCGCATTTCCTGAGGAGATAACTTTCGCTTTCCTTTTTCCTCTTCGACGGCCGGCTGCGCCTGGAGGTCCGCCTAGCAACAATGACGACACGGGGACGCCATTTTGCTACTGGTTGAGATTGGCCAATCACCAGCTTCTGCTCTGGGTTGTTCCGTGGTTGGTCGTCCGGAGCGCGTCTTTCCCCTGCCTGAGCGCAGGTGGAGGATCGCGGCCAGGATGGCTCTGCGCTCCTTGTCCCTCCTGGCGTTGGTGGTTGCTGTACGGGAGAGCTGCTTCGGTGAGTCCCTTCGGGGTCCTCGGGGGGGGGGGGTTCCGGCCCCTTTTTTCTGCTGTTGGGAATCCACCCTGGGAAACTCTCTCTGTCTCTCTCCTCCCAAAAGGTTATTCCCAGGAAGAGACTCCAGACTCGGTCCTCTTTCTAGTCCGCTCCTCCTCTGGCCGCTAAGAAGGGATCCCAAAGCGCAGATGAGACTTTTCTGCTGCTCCCCCCCCCCAGGAGAGCCCCTCTGGGGACAGGACAAGGGCGGCCCCTCCAGAGGTCAGTCAAGTCTACCTGGGCGCCCCCGAGCGCGGTTCTTTCCCTCCCCCAAAGTGGAGGTTGTGGGGAAGCGGCGTTTGCACGTGATCAGGTCAGTTCCCAAACTTCCTGGCTGTCTTCGCCCAACCCTCCTCCCGGGTCTCCTTTCCTGCCTTTGGCGGGGCTTTGGTGGGTCTTTCTAGTTTCTGGACCCGGCTTGTTTCTGGAATCGTTTCCGTGCATTGGCCGAGGGAGAGGCTGGTGCCGTTGGGTTAAGGCTGTCCTGGGAATGCAGCAGGAGAAGAGTCTGGAGAGAAGCCCTCCTTGAATTGTCTCCTCAAAGATCCCCCCCCCGATATATTGATTGTCACTTTCCCCTGGATCCCCACCCCCCACCCCGTCCTAAACCCCAATATCCCCAGAGTGTTTTCTAGGACAGGCAGGAATTTTTCCACCCAAAATCCTCCTCCTCCCATTTCAGGAGCCCCCAGCAGGGGAGAGTTTTCAGAATCAGAAATATTTAAAGTTTACTCTTATTCCTCAGTAACCAGACGGGAGGTCTTGGGGTGTCCCCAGTTGCTCCTCAGAGAAACTCTCAGTGCAGCAGCTTTTCCAGAGGCATTTCCCAAACTCTCAGGATCTGAAGGGTCAGAGAGGCTGGGCTGGAGGCCGGAGGAGAGAAGCCCCTCTGGGTGGAGAGCCTGGAATGAAGGCCTTGCTTGGACACAGACAGGCCCCGACTGACCGGCCCTTCCTGACCGGAGGAGGATTCGGGATTGTGAGGATACCCAACCTGCGTTACGTCCACACGTTTCTCCTCTCAGACAGACTTCAGACTCCCTCACTGCTCAGCCCCAGGAGGGGAAGAAGTGGGTTCTGGATCACGGAGGATCCGATCCCCCCTCCTTCTGTCGGAGAAAAACTCTGATCCGTTTGAAATCTCCACAGAGCAGGATGTGGATCTGGGGATCCCCCTCCCCAAAAGCTCTGAGAAGCCGCTGGGATTGTGGGGAGGAGCAAGAAGAAGGAGGCCGAGGCCTTTGCCTTGGGAGACTGGGAGGGACTGGGAGACCATACTGGAGGGACTGGGCAGTGAGACTACAGGTAGTCCTTGACTTACAACAGTTCATTTAGTGACCCTTCAAATTACATCATTGAAAAAAGTGACTGACCATTTTTCACACTTATGACCATTTTAGCGTCCTCATGCTCACTGACCAGGATTTGGATGCTTGGCCATTGGTTCATATTTATGACGGTTGCAGTGATCCCATTTTGCGACCTTCTGACAAACAAAGTCAATGGAAAAGCCAGATTCCCTTAACAACAGGGTTATTAATTTAACATCTGCAATGATATACTTAACAACTATGGCAAAACAAAATCGTAAAATGGAGCAAAGCTCACTTAACAAATGTCTCACAGCAGCAAAAAATCTGGGCTCGATTATGGTCGTAAGTCGAGGACTGCCTGTCTTTATTTCTCTGGGGGGCTTTGGAGGTGCTGCCCTTTTCCAGGCAGACCCAGGTTCTGCCCAAATAAATCCCGTGAAGGATCCTGAAAATGATCTTTAAACTCTTTGGTGCCCCGGAAGAATTTCTGACCTGAGGAGCTTTCAGAATGGAGACCCAGAAGGGGCCTTGGGGGTTTCCATCAGCTGAATCTATTTCCCAGGAGCATTTTATTCATTTTACTTTCTTTTGATTCTTTTAACCCACTTATAAGCTGTTTTTTTTTTTCTGTTGATTGGGCAGCCTCAGAGTCTCTTCTGTGTTTGTGTTTTCACAATGAAAACTAAACAATGATTTAATGTGATTTTCTTTTGTCCATTTTAGTCAAGTTTAGCATAGTTAATGTCTTGTGACTTTAGTCTGTCCTCCAATCTAAGGAAGGGCTGAAGAAACTTTGATGCCCAAATAAGTCCCGTGAAGGACGCTGAAAATGATCTTTAACCTCTTTGGTTCCCCAGCTTTGTGGAAGGCCCTGCTGGAAGGGGGAAAGGGCACAATTGAGGCAGGTAAAATTTGGGGGACCCGACTTTCTCCTCCTCTCTTACACCCCACCTTCTCTGTCCTCCAACCCTTCAGGCCTTCCAAAAAGCTGCTTCTTTCCCTCTCAGTCGCTCCCTCCTTCCACCTCCTGCCTCCTCTTCCATCCTCTCCCCCTTCCTTTCCCCCTTCCTCCCCCCCAGCTCTGTCCTCTTCCTCCTTGTTATGTCCCGAGCCTTTGCAAACGGCTCGGGCGTTTGCAGGCAGTCCCGGGCAGGTGCAAAGCTGCCCGGGACCAGACAGGCTGTCGCCAGCGCCGTGCGCATGCGCGGGTGCTGGCGCGGGAAAAGTAACCCATTTACCCGGGAGTTGCCTATATAAGAGGCTGCGAGGCGTTTGGGCGAGGCTGACGCCATCTTCCTGTAAGCTGAACGCTGAATAAAAGAAACTGAGAACTCCAGCTGCTTCTCGTGTCTGTTTCCCGCCAAGGACGCAACACTGGCGACGAGGATGGGATGCCTTGCACTACCTGGAAAGGAAGAAGTGTAAGCTTACCCGAGGAGTCCTGAGCGGCGGAAGAGGAACGGCGTCGACTCGGCAGCTACCCGCCAATCCGGTGCGCATTCGGGGGTAGGCTGGCTGATAGACCCGTCTCCTGAAGATCCGAAGATGGCGAAACTCGGAAGGCTTTCGGAATTCGACGTCTCACATCCAGAGCGGTGGGAGTCCTACGTATCCAGACTGGAGAACTACTTCAAGGCAAACCAAGTGAGGGAAGATAGCTTGAAGGCCGCCACCCTGCTTTGCGTTTGCGGCCAAGACGCCTTCGAAATCGCAGAAAATCTTGTAGCACCTGTTCCAGTAGAGTCTGTAAGCTACGCAGACCTGAAGAAGCTGCGGAAAGAGCACTTCCACCCCAAGGTGTCCGTTATCTCATGGCGCCACACCTTCGAGCAGAGGGATCAACGGTCCGGTGAAACAGCCAAGGAATACATCGCCTCGCTACGGAAGGCCGCCAAGCCCTGCGAGTTCAAGGACCTCGAGGAACGACTGAGGGACCGATTCGTGTGCGGGCTAAGGCATCGAGAGCTACAACAGAGACTTTTCGCCAAGGAAGAATTATCCTTCCAAGACGCCTTAAGGGAAGTCACCGCAGAAGAAGCAGCAGGCGGCGCCATCAAAAACATGCGGCCGATCAGAAACAGTGCAGAGGGTGCGACCGTGCACCAGGAAGACGTCCGACGAAACTCCGAGGAGGATCCGGACGAGGAAGTCGACCGTCTACACCCTGCGAAGGAAGAGAACCAGAAGGGAAGCTCTTCGGCTCCGCTCAAGTGCATCGGCTGTGGAGGTCGCCACAGGAGAACCGACTGCAAGTTCCGCTCCGCTACCTGCCGGGCATGCGGCAAACAAGGGCACATCGCAGTTGTGTGTCTGGGCCGACGAAAGGCACAACCCCAAGAAGAACGCCTGAAGGGTACCAGATTCCCCAGCCAGAATAGGGTAGGTTTTTGCGCTTCGCGAAGAAGCATCTGTAGAACAGGCACACACAAGCCCAGGAAGAAAAAGCTGTCACTCAACGTGAAGCTACAAGGGGTTCCATTATCTATGGAACTAGACACAGGGTCTGCCCTGTCCATCATTTCATTGCATACATTTAGGAAGATTTGTTCCAGAAGTGGGTCTAAGGCCAAGTTAAGGCCTTCTGATATTGTATTAACAGATTTTCAGAACTCAAGAGTGTGTGTTAAGGGGGAGGCCACCCTTAACGTGCAATACAAGAGTTTTGAAGGTCCACTAGACGTATTAGTAGTAGGGGGTGAACGAACGAGTCTCATAGGACTCGATTGGTTTGAGGCCCTGGGGATACACGTCACAGGACTCAACAGCTTACAAACACTCGACCTACAGGAAGTCTGCAAAGAATTTGCAGATGTTTTCAGCCCCCAGCTGGGCACATTCAAAGGACCACCTGTGTCCTTAAAGCTAGACCCACTGTCACTCCCATTAGGATTAAAGCAAGAAGGGTCCCTTTTGCTTTAAAAAGTAAGATTGACACTGAACTAGACAAACTAATCCAACAGGGAATCCTAGAACCTGTTGATTCCAGCCCGTGGGAGACCCCCATTGTCACGCCTCTAAAGGCAAATGGGGACATTCGCATTTGTGCTGATTACAAATGCACACTCAATAAGGCATTGCAGCAACATGCCTATCCTGTTCCTGTGGTCAGTCACATCCTGGCCTCTCTCAAGGGGGGCGTGTTTTTGCAAGCTTGACCTAGCTCAAGCATATCAACAGCTGCCTGTTGATGATGATGCTGCCATAGCTCAGACCATTGTGACCCACAGGGGAGCCTTTAAAGTAAAAAGGCTACAGTTTGGAGTAAATGTCGCTCCTGGGATTTTCCAAAGCGTAATGGAAAACACACTACGAGGTATACCAGGGGTCTGCCCCTACTTTGACGATGTCTTGATTGCAGGAGACTCCACACACATTCTAGCTGAAAGACTTAGGGCTGTCCTGTTAAGATTCAGGGAATCAGGCCTCAAGCTCAGAAAAGACAAATGCAAGATTGGGGTGCCTTCTACTGAATTTCTGGGATTCAAAATTGATGCTGCTGGGATTCATCCTGCTGAATCCAAACTAACTGCTATTTTAGAAGCACCCAGGCCAAAGTCTAAGGCCGAACTTCAGGCCTTCCTAGGCCTCCTGAATTTCTACAATTCTTTTCTTCCACATAAAGCTAGTGTAGCTGAGCCTCTTCACAGGCTACTAGACAAACAAGCTGTGTGGCTGTGGTCACAAGCACATGAGGCTTGCTTTAAAGAAGTCAAGGCCTTACTCACTTCTAACAGTGTTCTTGCACATTTCAACGAGTCTCTCCCTGTGTGCATCGCTTGTGATGCGTCCCCCTACGGGGTTGGAGCTGTCCTGAGTCACCTCAGGTCTGATGGAACTCAGGTTCCTATTGCATACTACTCCAGAACACTGTCTTCTGCCGAGCGCAACTACGCTCAGATAGACAGGGAGGCTCTGGCTGTTGTTGCTGGAATTAAAAAATTCCACGATTTTCTATATGGCAGGCATTTCACGGTCTTCACTGACCATAAGCCTCTGCTGGGACTGTTTACCACACGTAAGCAGACTCCCCACATCATTTCCCCTAGAATGCTTAGGTGGTCTATTTTCTTGTCTGCATATGATTTTTCATTACTCCACAAGCCTGGGAAAGAAATGGGCCATGCTGATGGCCTCAGTAGGATTGCCTCTGCCAGTAGTAGAAGCTGACCCCGCGCCAGCTGTCAACATTCTATCAATCCAAGCATTGCCCGAGCTCCCTCTTAGTGCCAGGGATGTTACCGCTGAAACAGGTACAGATCACACACTTTCACGTGTCCGCTCCTGGGTCCTGTCCGGGTGGCCTGAGCACTGCCCTAGTCCTGAGTTTCAGAGTTTCTGGTCCAAAAGGAACGAACTGTCCCTTTCTCAGGGTTGTCTGCTTTGGGGAAACAGAGTTGTCATTCCCACCTCAATGAGGACTAGGGTCTTAGAATCCCTCCACGAGGGTCATCCTGGCATTGTTCGTATGAAGGCTCTTGCACGAAGCCACTTGTGGTGGCCTGGTTTAGATAAAGATATTGAGGCTAAGGTACACGCATGCCACTTGTGCCAACGATCTCGCCCAGAGATGCCCCAAGCTCCTGTGCATAGATGGGAGGAAACACAGTCCCCATGGTCTAGGGTGCACATTGACTACGCTGGGCCCTTTCAGGGCCAGTTCTTCTTGGTCCTTGTTGACAGCCATTCAAAATGGCTTGAGGTTGTGCCTGTCTCATCCACCACCACTGCAAAGACTATTCAGGTACTGAGGGGGATTTTTGCTGCACACGGGCTGCCAGATGTCATTGTGTCCGACAACGGCCCTCAATTCACTCCTCCGAATTCCAAGCTTTCTTACAGGCAAACCTGATTCGTCATGCCACGTCTGCGCCTTTTCACCCGTCCACCAACGGTATGGCTGAACGCATGGTGCGCATCGCAAAGGACGCCTTGAAGAGACTCACCTACGGGGACTGGCATCACAGGTTGGCTGACTTTCTCCTTTCTTATCGCACCACACCGTCCACTTCTACAGGGAGAAGTCCAGCTGAACTTCGTTGGGGGCGCCAACTTACTACTAGACTTGACCGGTTGCATCCGGACAGACTGCCTTCATCTACCTCACATCCTAGGGCACCTAGACAACTACTTGTGGGTGCCCCGGTTTGGGCTCGCAATTACGGGCCTGGTCATACATGGGTCCCCACTTCTGTGTCCAGGATCACAGGTCCTCTCTCCTACGAGGTTGCCCTGGACAACGGTCGTGTCCTGCGTCGGCACATCGACCAACTTCGCTCCAGGCGAGACTTTTCTGATGAGACTCCTGGGTCTTTTCCAGGGGGGGAGGGGGACCCTTTGGAGCAAAGGGAAGGGCAAGAGTTACTGCCCATCTCCACTGAGGGAGCCACAAACGGCCCGTCCCAAGATTCGCAATTGCTCCGAAAAGGAAGTCATGGAGCTTACCCACACAACAGGCACTCACGCCTACTCCAGCCAGGGAGTCACCCCGGGGGCATACTCACTTTCCACACACATCACACAGCACTCCAGTCACGGAGGATACCCGGGGGCATCCCAACAAATCATTCCCCGCAAGAGAGCTGGCACACAATTCCCAAGGTTGGCCTGACCTTACCCCAAATCCTACAGGGGTCAAACATACACAGAGCTAGTCGAGGAACCAAGTCCCGACTACAACAACCCTAGCACAAATCAGGGAACACCTGAGTTTTGGGAAAGTACAGAAACCCACACGAGCCCGAACACAGAATGGGGTTCAGGGAATGGACAGCCTCCTGACAGGTCTTGGACTGACCTAGGAGGTTCTACAGAGACGCCCAGCAGTGGCTATCACTTCAAGGGGCCTGAGGGTCTACAGCTAGGTAGGACAACCAGGTCACAAAGCAACAGAAGCCCTGGCCTGACGAGCCCGGTGGGCAAGCAAGCAGGCCAGGCATCGGGGCACAGTCCTTGGAAGACACCAGGGCACAATAGAGAGAACAGGCTCACGCCTCCCTCCAGTCAGGGGACTTATGCCAGTAACCCAGAGCTAAGAAGGTCACAGAGAGCAAAGAAATCTCCTAAGTACCTAGAAGATTACATAACATTGCTGGCAAGGCAAAAGCCAGTAAACAGTGGGAGCACTGGGGAGCAAATTGTCGTATAAAATAAATGTTGTATGTTGGTAGTAGTTTTAGCCCGGGGGAAAGGGGTGTTATGTCCCGAGCCTTTGCAAACGGCTCGGGCGTTTGCAGGCAGTCCCGGGCAGGTGCAAAGCTGCCCGGGACCAGACAGGCTGTCGCCAGCGCCGTGCGCATGCGCGGGTGCTGGCGCGGGAAAAGTAACCCATTTACCCGGGAGTTGCCTATATAAGAGGCTGCGAGGCGTTTGGGCGAGGCTGAAGCCATCTTCCTGTAAGCTGAACGCTGAATAAAAGAAACTGAGAACTCCAGCTGCTTCTCGTGTCTGTTTTCCCGCCAAGGACGCAACACTCCTCTTCTTCTTCCTCTTCTTCTTTCCCCCCAGAGCCTCAGACTGGAGCCTCCATAGGATGAGGGTCCTTGTCTGGAGCCCCCTAACTCTGCCCCTCTGGGTCCCTTCCAGGCGCCTCCTCGCATTCCCTGAAGAATTTCTACTCCTCCATCTCGGAGCCCAGTCAGGGGCAGCCCCACTTTGTCGCTCTGGGGTACGTGGACGGTCAGGTCTTTGTTCACTACGACAGCAACAGCCGGAGGGTGCAGCCTCGAGTCTCCTGGATAAAGAAGGTGGAGAAAGAAGACCCCCAATATTGGGACACTCAGACCCAGATATTACGTAATATTGAGGAGGCCTTCAGAGGAAACCTGGAGACTCTGAGGCTTCGCTACAATCAGAGCGAAGGTGAGCGATGGGTCAGGTGGCTCCTCCGGCCCCATAATCCCCTTCCCAACAACAGAAAGCGGGGGGAGAAAGGGATAGGGTCCCTTCAAAGGGAAAGGCTGCTTCCCCACGTTTTAAAAAAAACTTTTTTAACATGTTTATTCTTTTTTAAAAAAATCAGTGTAAGCTTGTCGTTGCCTTCATAGCTGATGTTTTCTGCCAATTGCAGTTAATAAAAACATTTTTTTCAAGTTTTCCCTCCATCTCCCTGTATATTGATAGGATGTGGATCTGGATAGAAACTGAGTTAAAAGAGACCGAAATCTCCCCTCCCCCCATGAAAGTCAGAGGGTCCTGGCCTCGGTGGATCCCCTGCTGTGAGGGAGGGAGGGGATCCCAGGTCTCTCCCCTCCAGGAAAAGAAGCAGGCGGATCCTAAGGAGATCCTGGGGGAAGAAGGTCCCTGTTTTTCTGTCTGTTTCCACCCCAGAGAAATGAGGGATCAACTGCAGATCCCACAATGTACAAAGCCATGGTTTGTTTCTGGGCTGACTAGATCTCCCTCTTTCACCTCTTTTTGGAGGGATGAGTGGGACCCAAAATGGCAGGAATTTCTTCTCACCCTCCAGGTGGAAGGAGAGGCCAGGAAGCCAAATGGGGGTGGGGGGGGGCTCTTGGAGGGGGGCACAGGATTACTTCCAGGATCCTTCCAATCTTGAGGGGAAAAAGGACAGAAAAGAAAGAAACCCCCATTTGGGGCCCTTCCTGAGTCGCTCAGAGCGCTGATGGCTTCCCATCCTTGGTCCCTCAGGCTGGACTCCTGCGCTGCCCTCTTGGTGGGGCTGCCCTGGAGGGGGGAGGCCTTCTTCAGCAGCCCCCCCTTCTGTCATCTTTGGGGCACAAGATTCACCTTCAAGGAACCTGATTTAGGGGAGAGATTGCAAGTAAATATCTGTGTCACCAGAGGCTGCTTTGGTCTGAGGTAAATTTTCTCCACAAACTTCAGCCATTTTCCCTCCTTTTATCCCAAGGAGGGGCAGCCCCCCTTCTTCTGCCCTTTCCTTCCCCATCCCCCCCCCCCCCGGCAGACACCCAGAGATCTGCCAGTTCTGCCCCTGATCCCCAAGGATCCCCCCAGATCCCTCCAGGCCCTCTGCTGGCCTCTCAGGGAGCAGAGCTGGACCCAGTTTCCTTTTAAATCCCAGAATCTGGTCAGTTATAGTCAAAATATTTTATCCAGGGCCTTGCAAAGACTGTAAACTTCAAACTTCATTTCAAAGGTCAATAACATTTTGAGTTTTCAGATCAGATTGGGCCACTTGCTGCTGTTGCTAAGGCAAATATTCCTTTGTGGCCCTTCAAGGCTTCATTCCCACAATGTACAAAGCCATGGTTTGTTTCTGGTTAACCTAAAAAGGGAGCCAGCCTTGTGACTTGGGATATTTGTGAACATAGATCAAGATTTATGGTCACAGGGATCCTTGCAAGCTTCTTTGCAGATCGACCAGATCCTCTCTGAGGCCAGGAGATTCTCAGTCCCTCTTTGCAGCTGCAGATTCCTGCAACTGTTCCCTCTCTGGGATCCCTTCCTTCCCCCCCAAGAGTCTCCCCAAGAGAGGAACTGCAGAAGGAAAGATGGAGGAGGCTCCCTCCCTCCGTTTCTTCTGTGACTCCTTCTTTTCTCGGTCTCCCTCGGGATCCTCCGCTGGCTTTTCCAGCTTCCCTTTTCCTGGGGAGGTTCAGGGGCTCCATCCTGGGGGAGGGGGGGGAATGGAGGGAGGCAGGTCGAGGGAGGGGAGAAGGGCAGGTAGTGATGGGGGCTTTCTTTCCCTTGATTGCTAGGGAGGAAACGGGGGTGTCAGTGCCTGTGTCAAAGTCCCTTCAGGGAAGGGGGTCTGTGCCTATCTTGAGGACTCCCCGAACCATTATCCTCTTCCTATTACAGGCTTTCACACATTGCAGTTGATGTGTGGCTGTGAGCTCCAGGCTGATGGGAGAAAAGGAGGATTTTGGCAGTATGGCTACGAAGGGAGGACCTTCATCACCTTTGACAAGGAGAGACTCACCTGGGTGGCTCCCATCCCCCAGGCCCAGATCACCCAGAGGAAATTGAACGCTATTCCAGGATTGAATCAGAGACATAAGTTGTACCTGGAGAAGGAATGCATTGGGGGTCTGGAGAAGTACCTGTCCTACGGGAAGGAGACGCTGCTGAGGACAGGTGAGCCTCTGGATGCAGGCTGGACTTTCCTCCTTTGTGGCTGGATTTCTGGTGCACATTCAGCCCCTTTGGGTTCCTGGTCTGCCGTCTGACTGCCCAGGAGGGAATCCTCCCCTCCCCTTCCAGCCCCTCTCCATGACGCGGGAAGCCCTGATTGGTTCCCCTTGCCAGGCCCCCATTCCATGGACCGGGAAACGCAGCCTCTGCCTGGCGGGTGTCTGGGTGGATCAGGCAGGAGAAGCACTTGGGGTGTCCTGTTCACTGCCCACAATGAGGCAACAAGGGCATCTGGGGTTCTTCAGTGAAATCCCCATTAGTCAAACTGTAGTCAAGTGTGAGGGGCTCCCTTAATTTCCCCCCATTAACTCTCCTTCCCCCCACATCCCACAGGGGGCTCCTTCCCTGCCTTGCACCTAATGGTGCACCTCCCATGCCCACCACTAGGGGGCTCCACTTCTACCATTAATAAGACATTCTCAGGGCCCCCCCCTTGGGGAAAAAAGGCCAAGGTTGCGGGATCTTTTTCTTCCCAAAGTTTCTGTGGATCTTTCTGTTAAACCCGAGACAGGTTCCCTCCATTCTGACCTAGTGAGTCTTTCCTCAAAACAGCCCCCTCCCCACCTTCAGGAACCCCCCTCACCCCATAAGGGGGGCTCAAAGTATAATCGTTTCCTGTGATTTGTTATTATGTTCCCATCTAGACAACCTCTCCCCACTGGATTGACCCCTTTCCCTCTGGGCTCCTTGATACCCCCCTCTAGTATAAGCTGGGTGAGATTAGCGTTCTCAGTGGAATTTCCCCCCCCCCCATACACACACACACACAATTGCCAGCAGAGGACTCTTTGTCTCTCTGTCTCTCTCTCTTCCACTGGCCTCACCTCTCTCTGTCCCCTTTGAGGGATAATATCTCTTCTCCAAATTAATCGGTCAGAAAATGCAAAAGCCCTGAGCCCCTTTTTGCTTTGATTCTGGCTCTCCTCTTCTTGAAACTGGGGTCATGTCTCTTGGAAAGAGGCCTGGAGCAGCCTCAGATTCAGGGGTGCAGAAGGAAACCCCCAAAGTAGGGAGAAACTTCTGTGTTGTTGTTGTCTTGAAAGGGAATTTAAAAGGGCAGCTCCACTTTCCCTCCCCTGAAGGAAACAATCCACGATCACTCAGAGTTCAAAGCAGCCAGAGAGGAATTTCCTTGGACCCTCAATTTGCTGCTGGAGGTTTTTCAGGCTGAGTCCCTGGGAAGGACTCAGAATCCGGAGTTCTTGAGGTTGAGCATTTTCCAGATCTGGAGCATCTCCCAAAACTCTTGGAGACACTGCAGGTGTGGAGTGGGAAGTAGTGGGAAATTTTCCTGCCCCTCCATGTTTCTTACCCACCTTCCAGTCTTTGGAGGGGCTCAGAGTTAATTCCAGGGGTGCCATTTCTGCAGAGCCCCCAGAGGTGACCATGAGCAGCAAGACGGAGGTGGAGGATGGGATGGAGACGCACGTCTGCCGCTTGGATGGCTTCTACCCCAGGGAGATCGAGGCCTCCTGGACGAGGGATGGGGAGGTCTGGCTGCAGGACACCCTACGTGGCTCCGTGGCCCCCAACGCGGATGGGACCTTCCATGTCACTCTCTGCATCCAGATCGATCCCAAAGAGAGGGGCCGCTATCGCTGCCACGTGGAGCACGACGGCCTGCAGGAGCCTCTGGACGTGGCCCTGGAGGGTGAGAGGATGGAGGGAGGGAAAGGCTGGGCTCTTGGGCAGGCTGGAGGGTTGAGGGAGGGAAATCTCACCCCAGCTGTGTCCAGATGTGAGCATATCTGAGCTTTAGGCCGTTGGTTTTTCCAGTGTTTGAGGTTGGTGAAGCTGCAGGGATCAGACCATAGAACTGGCTTCAGGGGATGTAAAGGAAACTCCAGAATCCCATCACAAGAGCTGGCCGATCCTGATGAAATCCTCTTAGATCCTCTCGTAGACTCTGTCCCTTTCCTCTTTCTGGCCTCCAGCCATGGAGCAGCAGTTATACTGAGCACCCAAAAAATATTTTATTTTCTTTAGAATTCCTGAAGTAGAAAAGTCAGGAGGAGAGTCTGAGTCCCTTTTTTAAGGCCAAATTTAATTAAAATTGAAGAACTGCAGCTGACTTCAGGAAATGCACAGAGCATCTAGATTCTAGTTCACAGGTCGGCAACCTGCGGCTCCGGAGCTGCATGTGTCTCTTTGAGCCTTGCCCTGCGGCTCCCAGCATCCTCTGCCATTTGCAGAGAGAGACAGAGACAGAGAGAGGCATTTGCGCTTCCCTGCTTCTCTCTCTCTCTGTCTGTCTCTCTCTCTCTCTCTCTCTCTCTCTCTCTCTGTGTGTGTGTGTGTGTGTGTGTGTCTCTCTCTGTGTGTGTGTGTGTGTGTAAAAAAGAGAGTGGACTCACAATGTTCTCTGAGGAGCTGAAAAGCTTTTTGGGCGGAGCTGCATCTCTGCAGGAAACAGGAAGCAGGAAGGGCAGGAGAGAGCTAGCTAGCCCAGCTATGCTGACTCAGGAATTCTGGGAGTTGAAGTCCATGAGTCATAAAAGAGCCGAGGTTGCCTACCCCTGAGCTTGTTGGAGAACAGCTTGAAGCCAGCTTGCCAGGTGAGCAGCAGATCGGAGAGAGGGAGGGGGGGAGAGAGAGAGAGGGAGAGAAAAAAAGAGAGAGAGGGAGAGAAAGAGACACACAGAGAGAGAGACAGAGACCCTTCTGACATCTAAAATGAAGGTAATACTGCATATATCCTTTTTTACCTTTATTTTACACACACACACACACACACACACACACACTTATAATAAAGGTAAAAAGGATATATGCAGTGTTAGCTTCATTTTAGATATCAGAAGGGTTTTGCAGCTCCCAATGTTTTGTTTTTGGTGGGAAACGGGTCCAAGTGGTTCCTTGAGTGTTTTGGGTTGCCTACCCCTGTTCTAGATTGATGCATCAGGAATCAGAAAACTCAATCTGAGTTTTTACCATCAGAGACTTTTCCTGCTGTAAAGAACGAAATGTCTTTGTGTTTTGCTGCTCTAAGAAAGAATTTGCACATTATTTTATGATACGATATGGGAATTCCTGAGGCTCAGCATAAAACCCAAGAAAAAAAGCCCTCTAAGAACTCTGCATATGTTCATAAGTGCCCCTAACATTTTTTACACTGGATTTCCAAAATTGCAGAATTCAAGTTTAAATCTTTTATTAATGATTGTCACCACAATACAAAAAAAAAACGTTCAAATTTAATTTTTATGCTGATGCCCCGGGCAAAATAAAATATTTGTTTTTGTTCTTTTTAGCAAGCATCAATTCACAAATGGCATGACAGCTATTCAGTAGGAGTCCTGAGTTTTGTGGAAGAGAAAATTAAATTTAAAGTTCCCCCCCTCAGAACTGACTGCCAAAGCAATACCACTTTATAATGCTTTGGTAAGACCCTACTTTGAATATTGCATCCAGTTTTGGTCGCCACGATATAAAAAAGATGTTGAGACTCTAGAAAGAGTGCAGAGAAGAGTAACAAAGATGATTAGGGGACTGGAGGCTAAAGCATATAAGGAACGGCTGCTGGAATTGGGTATGTCTAGTTTAATGAAGAGAAGGATGAGGGGGGACATGATAGCATGTTCCAGTATCTCAGGGGCTGCCACAAAGAAGAGGGAGTCAAGCTATTCTCCAAAGTGCCTGAAGGCAGGACAAGAAGCAACGGATGGAAACGAAACAAGGAGAGAAGCAAACTAGAACTAAGGAGAAATGTCCTGACAGTGAGAACAATAAACCACTGGAGCACCCACAACAAAGTGCAACTTGGAGGCAGTTTTGGTCACTGCATTACAAAAAAGATGCTGAGACTTTGGGGGGAAAGTGCAAAAAAGAGCAACTAAGATGATTAAAGGCCAGGAGACCAAAATATATGAAGAACAGTTGCAGGTTTTGGGTTTGGCCAGTCTAGAGAGAAGAAGGACTGGGGGGGGGGACATGATAGGAGTATTCCAGTATTTGAGAGGCTGCCACAAAGAACAGGGGGGGGGGTCAGTTTAATTTCCAAAGCACCAGAGAGCAGGACAAGAAATGATGGATGGAAATTGTTGAGTCCGTGGCGGGAAACAGACACGAGAAGCAGCTGGAGTTCTCAGTTTCTTTTTATTCAGCGTTCAGCTTACAGAAGATGGCTTCAGCCTCGCCCAAACGCCTCGCAACCTCTTAAGTAGGCAACTCCCGGGTAAATGGGTTACTTTTCCCGCGCCAGCACCCGCGCATGCGCACGGCGCTGGCGACAGCCTGTCTGGTCCCGGGCAGCCTTGCACCTGCCCGGGACTGCCTGCAAACGCCCGAGCCGTTTGCAAAGGCTCGGGACATAACACCCCTTTCCCCCGGGCTAAAACTACTATCAACATACAACATTTATTTTATACGACAATTTGCTCCCCAGTACTCCCACTGTTTACTGGCTTTTGCCTTGCCAGCAATGTTATGTAATCTTCTAGGTACTTAGGAGATTTCTTTGCTCTCTGTGACCTTCTTAGCTCTGGGTTACTGGCATAAGTCCCCTGACTGGAGGGAGGCGTGAGCCTGTTCTCTCTATTGTGCCCTGGTGTCTTCCAAGGACTGTGCCCCGATGCCTGGCCTGCTTGCTTGCCCACCGGGCTCGTCAGGCCAGGGCTTCTGTTGCTTTGTGACCTGGTTGACCTGCCTAGCTGTAGACCCTCGGGCCCCTTGAAGTGATAGCCGCTGCTGGGCGTCTCTGTAGAACCTCCTAGGTCAGTCCAAGACCTGTCAGGAGGCTGTCCATTCCCTGAACCCCATTCTGTGTTCGGGCTCGTGTGGGTTTCTGTACTTTCCCAAAACTCAGGTGTTCCCTGATTTGTGCTAGGGTTGTTGTAGTCGGGACTTGGTTCCTCGACTAGCTCTGTGTATGTTTGACCCTCTGTAGGATTTGGGGTAAGGTCAGGCCAACTTTGGGGATTGTGTGCCAGCTCTCTTGCGGGGAATGATTTGTTGGGATGCCCCCGGGTATCCTCCGTGACTGGAGTGCTGTGTGACGTGTGTGGAAAGTGAGTATGCCCCCGGGGTGACTCCCTGGCTGGAGTAGGCGTGAGTGCCTGTTGTGTGGGTAAGCTCCATGACTTCCTTTTCGGAGCAATTGCGGAATCTTGGGACGGCCGTTTGTGGCTCCCTCAGTGGAGATGGGCAGTAGCTCTTGCCCTTCCCTTTGCTCCAAAGGGTCCCCCTCCCCCCCTGGAAAAGACCCAGGAGTCTCAGCAGAAAAGTCTCGCCTAGAGCGAAGTTGGTCGATGTGCCGACGTAGGACACGACCGTTGTCCAGGGCAACCTCGTAGGAGAGAGGACCTGTGATCCTGGACACAGAAGCGGGGACCCATGTATGACCAGGCCCGTAATTTCGAGCCCAAACCGGGGCACCCACAAGTAGTTGTCTAGGTGCCCTAGGATGTGAGGTAGATGAAGGCAGTCTGTCCGGATGCAACCGGTCAAGTCTAGTAGTAAGTTGGCGCCCCCAACGAAGTTCAGCTGGACTTCTCCCTGTAGAAGTGGACGGTGTGGTGCGATAAGAAAGGAGAAAGTCAGCCAACCTGTGATGCCAGTCCCCGTAGGTGAGTCTCTTCAAGGCGTCCTTTGCGATGCGCACCATGCGTTCAGCCATACCGTTGGTGGACGGGTGAAAAGGCGCAGACGTGGCATGACGAATCAGGTTTGCCTGTAAGAAAGCCTATTCTGGCTGGGGAATCTGGTACCCTTCAGGCGTTCTTCTTGGGGTTGTGTCTTTCGTCGACCCAGACACACAGCTGCGATGTGCCCTTGTTTGCCGCATGCCCGGCAGGTAGCGGAGCGGAACTTGCAGTCGGTTCTCCTGTGGCGACCTCCACAGCCGATGCACTTGAGCGGAGCCGAAGAGCTTCCCTTCTGGTTCTCTTCCTTCGCGGGGTGTAGACGGTCGACTTCCTCGTCCGGATCCTCCTCGGAGTTTCGTCGGACGTCTTCCTGGTGCACGGACGCACCCTCTGCACTGTTTCTGATCGGCCGCATGTTTTTGATGGCGCCGCCTGCTGCTTCTTCTGCGGTGACTTCCCTTAAGGCGTCTTGGAAGGATAATTCTTCCTTAGCGAAAAGTCTCTGTTGTAGCTCTCGATGCCTTAGCCCGCACACGAATCGATCTCTCAGTCGTTCCTCGAGGTCCTTGAACTCGCAGGGCTTGGCGGCCTTCCGTAGCGCGGCGATGTATTCCTTGGCTGTTTCACCGGACCGTTGATCCCTCTGCTCGAAGGTGTGGCGCCATGAGATAACGGACACCTTGGGGTGGAAGTGCTCCTTCAGCAGCTTCTTCAGGTCTGCGTAGCTTACAGACTCTACTGGAACAGGTGCTGCAAGGTTTTCTGCGATTTCGAAGGCGTCTTGGCCGCAAACGCAAAGCAGGGTGGCGGCCTTCAAGCTATCTTCCCTCACTTGTTTTGCCTTGAAGTAGTTCTCCATTCTGGATACGTAGGACTCCCACCGCTCTGGATGTGAGACGTCGAATTCCGAAAGCCTTCCGATTTTCGCCATCTTCGGATCTTCAGGAGACGGTTCTATCAGCCAGCCTACCCCCGAATGCGCACCGGATTGGCGGGCAGCTGCCGAGTCGACGCCGTTCCTCTTCCGCCGCTCAGGACTCCTTGGGTAAGCTTACACTTCTTCCTTTCCAGATAGTGCAAGGCATCCCACCTTCGTCGCCAGTGTTGAGTCCGTGGCGGGAAACAGACACGAGAAGCAGCTGGAGTTCTCAGTTTCTTTTTATTCAGCGTTCAGCTTACAGAAGATGGCTTCAGCCTCGCCCAAACGCCTCGCAGCCTCTTAAGTAGGCAACTCCCGGGTAAATGGGTTACTTTTCCCGCGCCAGCACCCGCGCATGCGCACGGCGCTGGCGACAGCCTGTCTGGTCCCGGGCAGCCTTGCACCTGCCCGGGACTGCCTGCAAACGCCCGAGCCGTTTGCAAAGGCTCGGGACATAACAGAAATTAAACAAGGAAAGAAGCAATCTGGAATTAAGGAGAAAATTCCTAACCTTGAGAGCAATTAACCAGTGGAACAATTTGCCTTCAGAAGTTGTGGGGGCTCCATCACTGGAGGCATCTAAGAAGAGACTGGACAGCCACTTGTCTGGAAGGCTTGAGCAGGGGGTTGAGCTAGAAGACCTCCAAGGTCCCTTCAAAATCTGTTCTTCTGTTTCTGCCATTTCTGGGACTGTCCAGAAGTTGGATGTCACCATATTCCGTTTTCATGGTGAAGTTCTGGAAGCACAAAATATAATTTTATGCCTTTTGTGGACTGGTCAAAGAAATGGAAGTGCATACTTAAAAAAATGACAGGCGATATGAACTGTTTTACTTTAAATAATAAAATGCAAACGTTCAAACTGAAGACAAAAGCCCATTCCACTCAGAGTCATGATATGACATATTGGGGCTGCCTATAAAAAGAGCAAAAATATTTTTGTTTACATTAGTGTGTTGGTGAAGTTTTTGTTTTGTAATGTTGCTGAGAATCACAAAGTTCCCAACGGCTGTTTTTGAGCTGAAGAGCTAAAGATGAATTCAGTTTCCTTCATGCTGGGCTGGTGGGAGAAGAAGGTAGCGACATGAGGTCACGTTCTAACAATGGTTAGCAAGGCGCCTTCATGCTTCCCTCAGAGGGACATGAAGAGGAGCCCATGGAGGTTTTTAATTGGGGGAATTTCCAGCTTTGGCTGCTTTAGGTCTCTCCCCTAATTGGGATGATTGTTTGGGAATCTCCTCCTTCAATTTTCTGCTCTTCCTCCCAATTCAGAACTAAATCTGGGGCTCATCATTGGCTGTGTTGTGGCTGGCCTTGTCTCAGTGTGCACGATTGTTGGGATCTTGGCTTGTATTTACATTCCCAGTAAGTATTCTTTTTTGGGTTCTTGGGGGAAGATAGGAACATCACTCCCAAGTCTCTCTTTTTGGGGAGCTTCTTCCGGGCTTCCTTCTGTCCTGTTTTCCCAGCCCTCTTGGGGAGCATCTGAGACTCAGCCTTTTGCTGGGACTCCATTCTCGATTCAGCTGAGTCTGAAGTGGGGACAGTCCCATCTTCTTCTGAGCTGGGAAGAGGCATCCCAATTCTCTCCCTTTCCAAGGTTTTGGTCGAAGAGCAGCAGAGAAGGATTTCCATGAAAATCTTCCTCCCCTCCCAGCTGCTGCTGTTGCTTCCCCCAATTCCCCTCCATCCATTTCGGAGGCAGCAGGTCTCCCTTGGGGCAAATCAGGAGATACATTTGCATTTCGAAGATCTTTCTGTCTTTGTTGATGGGTCAAAGGAACTGTGAAATATCTCCTGGGGTTCTTCCTCCTAAAGAGGTGAAATTGGATGATCTCTGGTGGGTTCTTTTGAGCTTTCACTGATTTTTATCCTTGCAGAGAGACGTCAAGGTGACCACAATGCAACACCGAGTGAATTGTCCTCTTTACAAGTAATCTCCAACTTAGAGCAGGGACCAGAGGCTCCATCATTTGAGAGGTGTGTGTCTGTGTGTGTCTGTGTGCTATCTTCCTCTTCCTCCTAAAAATCTGACTGGGGAAGATGGACCCCCTTTTCATTACAGCCAGGCTGTTCTTTTAAGTGGGGTCCTCAAAGAGAAACCTTTGGGACAAGGAACCTTCCAGAAGATGAGAAGACCCAGCTGGTGGAAGGTCCCTCTGACTGAGGACATGCTCTGTTTCCCAAGTGGGCGGAAAGGAAAGGTTCGGTGAAATGAGAGTCAGAAGCTCCATCAAATTAGGGATCAAAAGGGGGCATTTTGAGAGACAAGGAGCTTTGGGGGATGCCAGCTGGATCTCCTCTTGGTCTCCCATCACAAGGCTCTCTAAGTACGAACTGATTGGAAAAAGAAACTTTGGATCCCTCTGTATCTTTTTAAGTCAGCTCTGCCTTCTGGCTTTGTGTGATAGAAATATAAATTTGAAGAATTCTTTCCTACGTCTTTAAGCCAAAGCGGTTTGGTTCAAACTCTCTCCCTGTATTTGTGGGTCTTTGATTGTGTACAAGAGAGAAAGGGAGGGAGGGAGATGGAGTCAGAAAGAGCTGAGTTTTTCCATCTGTAAGCCAAGAGAGCAACTTTCTCCCCCGCCTTTCTTTCTTTCTTTTTCAGGAAGTGAGGAAGGATCCAGCAGTTCCAGCCAGGGTGAGTTGGAGGGAGCTGCTGCTGCACAAGCCATTCTGTCCCTTTGCCAGACTTTGGGCAGATGGGGGGGGGGTGAAAAGAGAGAAAGCCCCCCCCCTTTTTAAAGGCCCTCCTAATAACTCCTCCCCGTGTTCCCTCTGTGTCCAGTTCTGGTGAAATAATTAGAATAATTAGAGACAGTTTCATTTCGGGTTGAGGGCACCAAGTGAGACTAACTGGGAGATGGTGAGTTGTTTTTTTTAAGAAAATTTTATTGATTTTCTAATTTTACATTTAAATATTTGAAAAGCACGTGGCGGCTGAGTTGGTCAATAATTCAATAACGTACAAATATCTTTAGTACAGATCTCAAACTATTACATTGAATATTTCCTCTCTTTTCCCTATTTAATGTCTCATATTTAAATTAATACAATTCTTATTATACCGATTAAATAAAAAAAACTTTTTCCCTCCTCTTTGCAGCATGAGTGGACCCTCCCAGCATGAGGAGAGAGGAGAGAAGAGGGGAATTGGACTTCTTTCGAATTAGGCCGGACTCTCAGGAGGAGCCCTTCAGACCCTTCCAGCATGCTGGAACCAGGATGTATTTGGGGTCTTTCATCACTGCTTTTGTCGCTACCTCAGTATTATATTGTATTTTATTGTGACCGAGGGACGGAGGAGAAAAGAAAATCTTACGTGTTTACAGTTGTGGAATCAAAAGGGTTCAAACTGGGATTAGTAGATATTATTTTTTACTTGTGTTGAAGATATCAAACACACCTTCCTCCTCCTATTTTCCTCACAACAACAACCCTGTGAAGTGGGTTGGGCTGAGAGAGAGTGACTGGCCCAAGGTCAGCCAACTGGCTTTCATGGCTAAGGCGGGACTTGAACTCACCGTCACTTGTAGCCTGGTGCCTTAACCACTAGACCAAACTGCCTTGTGTAGCTTGTAATAGCTTTGTAACAGAGCTCCCTCTGTTGTTATTTCTGATGACCTTTAATAGGTTTGTGCTGATTAGGCGGTTTTGGAGAAGATTGGGGGGCGAGGAAGAGGGTGGAGAGTTGCTGGTTTTACTTTAAGGGAGAGAGATAAACTGTTAATCTTCCTCATACTTGCTGGGATTGAAAGGGGAAGGGTTTTCTCTTGTAATGATGCTAAGAAAAAGACTCAGGCATTTCTTGAGCAGAGGTTTGAAGCTGCAGGACACAGCTTGACAAACTCTGAGTTTATTATTTCTTATATACTTTTTACATACATAGGCTTTACCATTAACTGCTGACATTTTACATTTAGAAGTTTAACCTTTAGCTGTTGACATAAAGTAATTGAAAAATTCCTTCATATAAGCAATTATTTTCTAGTAACACATTACCTGTTGAGAGCAGGTAAAAACAAATACAGGTAAATTAAAAAAGGAGAAAGAACTGATAAAGACAGGAAGAGATAAGGGGGAACTTAAAGCATATTATTTATTTAGGTAGGTAAGGTATTAAGTCAAAAGGGGGTGATCTTTTGGCTGCTTCCTTGGGACAAAGGGTATCAAAAGGTTATGAGGTTTGTGGGGGGGAAAGCATGGCAGTTTGCTGCGCGTGCAGTTTTCCCCACATTCTCTCTTTTTTGGAATTAGTTGTATAAAAATACTATGTATAATATGTAATAGAATTTTCAAAAAAATATTTCTTTTAAAAAAGAGATTTACAATATACTATTAAAGTAATTAATGTATTTGTATTTTTTTTTTAAAAAATAAGAATTGTATTAGGTTGACCATATATTTTTATCATCCAGAGTTAGACAAATAATGAATATACCAAAGGTAGCGTTCAAGCACTACAGATGGCCAATTATGGATTTTCCCGCTTTAGGAAAATGGAACATGAGATCGATTGGACAGCCAAACTGCTACCTCCTTAATAATTGCACATATATTGCAACAATTTAGTCTTTGCTGAAAATAAATGGTTTTGGTTTCTTCTCAGCTGAGTTGATGGACAAATATAGCCAATAATGAACAACAACAACAACAACAGTAATAGTAAAGTTGGAAGGGATCTTGGAGATCATTTAGTCCAACCCCCTTCTCAGGCAAGAAACCCTATACCATTTCAGACAAATGGCTATCCTGTCTCTTCTTAAAAACTTCTTTATACTTCCTGTGATGAGCAAAGTATGAGTAAGATGCAGTGATTTTTTTCAGGGCTTGAACCATATTCTGCTCTCTTCTGTAGTCAAAGTGAAGTTGATCTCTCTGAGCAGCAAGGAGGGTAAAATCCCTCCTATTTTCAACCTCCTCAAACAGGCAGCGTAACAACAATGATCATAACTGGAAGAGAGATTTATTATTTTAGTCTAATATTTCCCCAGAAGAAGCGTCAAAGGAGAGAGCAGCCATCTTAGTTTATTGAAAGAGAAAACTGAAGAGTTTGAAGCTTCCCAAAGATTCGTGTCTTCCCCAGAGAATAAAAGAAAATAGGGAATTTATGTACTATATTTGAAACCTCTGACCTTCTCCCTTAGAAAGACGAGTCTTTGCCTTGAGGATACAACAGAAGCTTTTCACCCAGAGTGAAGATCACTTGAGGTTTTTCACCTGGAACGTAGAGCCACTGGGCTGGGAGGGACCTCAGAGGTCTTCTAGTCCAACCCTCAGCTCAAGGCAGGAGACCTTATATACCACCGTGGTCAAAAGGTTGTCCAGTCTATTTCTGAACACGTCCAGTGATGGAACACCCACAACTCTGGGAGGCAAGCTATTCCATCGATTAAACGTTCTCACTATTAGAAAATGTCTGCTTACTTCTAGCTTGGAGCTCTCTTTAACAAGCTCCCATCCACCCATGGCTTTTTCTCCTGCCCTCTGGAGCTTTGGAGAAGAAGTCAATCCCCTCTTCTCTGTGATAGCCCATCTGTCAATGCTGCTAACATCAGATGTTCTTGCTTGACAATATATGAAGATGCAGACATTTTCTATTTAACCTGTGTATTGCTTTTAGAGTAGAAATTAGATGGTGCTGGAAGGGAGGTGGGGGGGAAGAATGTGCTTGGGGACTAGTTAGCCATAACAATAATTCAGTAGCTATTCTTCAAGGCTAGTTGTAATAAGAGGACATAAGTGCTGGGGGTTATGGAACGGGAGGGAAAGGTCATACTTCAAACCAATTGGAGAATGTGATTAATGACTGTTAAATGAAGGAGTGAGTTGTGCCTAGATCAGGGGTGGGCAACCTCGGCTCTTTTATGACTCGTGGACTTCAACTCCCAGAATTCCTGAGCCAGCCATGCTGAGGGGAAAGGGAGAGGTTTCCAAGCTGAGCCATGCTGGCTAGGAATTCTGGGAGTTGAAGTCCACAGTCATGAAAGAGCCGAGATTGCCTACCCCTGGCCTAGATACTGTATGTTGGGGGAGGAGAATTCCAGATTTTGGCTTCACTATGTATGGTGCCGAAGCTATGTTGCAAATTAAAAGATTCTTTAAGGTAAACTGTTAGAAGTAAGTCTTCATCCTGGTTCATCCAAGCCAGGAATAAATAAGCAAACATGGCGACTGCTTTGGGAAGAAGGTTACAGTTTATTGCAGAAAGATGGTTCTTCAGGAAAGAGCAGAGGAGAGAAGGGCTGAGCACATGGTGTTGTAGGTTTTTATACCCCCTCTAGCCTTTTGTTTGGAATAGTTTCCTGTTCCTGTGGCATGAACTTTGAGGCTATTTCCTGTGTCAGATATTCTGACCTGAGTTTAGGTGTGCCTCTATGGTATACTTGATGGTAATGGGTTAGTCCTATTAGAGTTTCTTTGTCTTGAATTCCCTGGCTCCAACCGTCCTGATGGTTTTACATTTGCATTTATATGAAGCTAGCTCTTGCTTGGGACAAAGAAATTTGGGGCCAGGTTTGGTTTCTGCTTTTCAAAAAATCCTTTTGGTGAAAAATATATTTTCCTTTTTAATATTTCCTTTGGGGGGGGAGGGGGCTAACTTCCCTCAATAAACAATGCCTCAAAGTTCTTTGAAGAGCTTCATCTTTCGGAACCATGACGCCATCAAATACTGACAGTTATCCTGTCCCCCCTTCTTCCTTCTCCGCCATAGGCTGGGCATGCTTCGCTCCCTCAACCCTTCATCGTAGGATTAAGCCTCCAGGCCCTTTGTTGCTCTTCTCTGCCCACTTCCTAGGCTGGGCTCTCTCTCTTTTTTCATCCTGGTGACCAAAGTTGTATCCCAGTGTGGCCTCACAAGTGCAGGATTAAAGCGGTGCCCCCAATTCTCCTCATCTTGACCTTGTCCCTCTGTTGATTCAGCCCAGGAGTGCATTGGCCCTTTTGGCCCCTCCCCCTGATCCCCGGCTGGGAGGGGCTGTGCGGGGTCTCCTCTCCCCCGGAGAACCCTCCCGCTTTTCCCAGCCCCGCAGCCCCGCCCCTCCCCCAAGAGGCGGAGTCCCCGGAAGGGGATTTCCCGATGGAACTTTAGATGCCCTTTCTACGACCCTCTCCCCGGTTGGGCCTGGACGTCTGCCTAGCAACAATGACGACAGGAGAATGCTTTTTCTTTTCCTACTGGTTGGAATTGGCCAATCACCAGCTTGTTCTGGATCGTTGCGTTGTTGATCACCGAGAGCGCCTCTTTCTTCGCTTTGTCACTTCAGGGGCGCGGGTTGGGGGTCGCGGCCTTTCTACGCCCTGGACGTCTGCCTAGCAACAATGACGACACGAGAATGCTTTTTTTCCTACTGGTTGGGATTGGCCAATCACCAGCCTGTTCTGGATAGTTGCGTGGTTGATCGCCTCGTTCTTCGGGGCGCAGGTTGGGGATCGCGGCCAGGATGGCTCTGCGCTCTGCGCCCCTCTTGCTCCTGGTGCTGGTGGCGGTCGCCCTCCGGGAGGGCTACTTTGGTGAGTCCCTTTGGGGCCTTTGGGGGGTTTCGGCCGCTTTTTCTTCCAGGGAATCTTTCTCTTTCCTTCCCCCCAAACGTTTATTCCCAGAAAGAGAACCCTGATTCGGTCCTCTTTCTAGTCCGCACCCCCTCCCCCCCTCTGACCACTTTGAGATCAGGCCCTAAAGCGTGAATGCGACTCTGCTGCTTCCTCTCCCCTCCCCCCCCTCCCTCCGAGATCCCTTTTGGGAACAGGACAAGGGTGGCTCCTCCAGAGGTCAATCAAGTCTATCTGGACGCCCCCAAGCGCAGTTCTTTCCCACTTGCAAAGTGGAGGTTGTCGGAAAGCGGCGTTTGCACAGGACCAGGTCAATTCACAACCTCCTGGCTGCCTTCGCACAACCTCTTGGGTCGTCTTCCCTGCCTTTGGAGAGTCTCCGTGGCTCTTTGTGGCTTCTGGTGCTGGGAAGACCCGGCTTGTTTCTTGACTGGGTTCCGTGTATTAACAGACACGGAGGCTGGTTCGATGAGAGCAAAGGGGTTAAGGCTGCCCTGTGAATGCAGCCGGAGAAGAAACTCTCAGAGCTCTTCCAGCTTCACCGATTTCCTAGGAATGCTTACGTTTTTCTCTTTTATTCTTTTAACCCACTTGCAAGCTGTTGCTTTTCTGTTCATTGGGCAGCCTTAGTGTGTTTTCCATGTTTATAGTTTGACAATTAAAATTCAACAGTGACTTAATGTGATTTTTTTTTTTGTCCTTGTTAGTAAAATTTGGCGTAGTTTTATGTCTTGCAAATTTAGTCTCTTCTCCAAGGAAGGGCTGTAAAAACTTTGATGCTCCTCAGTCAGGAGTTTGCATGATAGAAACTGAAATAATGGTTTATTTTTATCTTGGATTCACCAGGGGGGCTTTAAAAGGTGACAAGACCCTCCACACAGAGGCTGAGTTTCTGGAGAGGACTCCAGCTAAGCCCCCCCTCCCCAACATGGATGTCCCAAGCACCATCAGCGGGGGGCGGGGCAAGGTGTGGGGCCAGGGTAGAGAGGGGAATTCTGGGAGTTGAAGTCCAAGTGGCTGAGTCTGAGAAACTCTGATTTAGGCCTTTACGTTGAAGAGACACTGATCATTTGAAGAGTTGGATCTTCTTCTTCTTGTGCCATATCCATTATCGGACGTGGGCGATCATGTTGGTGATCCTGTTTTTATCAGCAGCCACATAAAAAAGTGCTGCTGAGTTTTGTCTAAACCAGTCCCTTAGATTTTGAAGCCACGATGTTCTTCTTCTGCTTGGACCTCGTTTGCCTTCAATTTTTCCCTGGAGGATTAAATGGAGTACGCCGTATTTTTCTGGGTGTCGCATCACATGTCGGAAATATTCTAATTTTCGTTTTTTAATGGTTTTGATGATTTCCCTTGGCTTTCCCAGGCGGCTTATCACCTCCTCACTTCTGATCTTGTCAACCCAGCTTATATGTAAGAGCCGCCCTGTAAATCCACATTTCAAATGCTTCTAGTCTCTTCAGGTGGCCTTCTGTCAGAGACCAGCTCTCTACTCCATAGAGCAGGATAGAAAAAATATAGCCTCTGACAAGCCTGATTTTCAGTCTTAGGCTTAGGTCGTGAAAGAGTTGGATAGCCACGATCAACCCCCTCCCAAGCTGGCAGAAAGGAATTTCTGCCTTTCTTTCTGCTGATAAAGTGCAGGATCAGAACCAAAGGAGGACAAGTTTTAAAGCAGCGGTTCTCAACCTGTGGGTCGCGACCCCATTTGGGGTCGAACGACCATTTCACGGGGGTCGCCAAACAACGCGATCCGCCATTTTTTTTGTCAGCTGGCGGCACCGCGTCCTTATGACCGGGGTCGCCAGAAAAAAAAGGTTGAGAACCACTGTTTTAGAGGATCTTCTGCAGAAAGTGAAGAGTGGGATTCAGAGTAACCTGGTGCATTGCAAATGTCTGTGAATGCCCTAACCGGGTTGCTGAAATGAAGAAATCTTGTGATAATCACAGGGAGATATTCTGTGGAATGAGGGTGAGCCCCCCTCTGAGTCCCGGGTTCAAAGCTGATTCCTGCTTAGATGGCTGAACTCTGGGAGGCAAGGGGGAATTTTACAGCCGGGGGGGGGGATGTGGAGGAAGATTTGGGGGGCTACGTGGCTTCATTGCTGCTCCCTTCCCTCCCCCTTTTCCTTTCATATTTCGGTTTCCCTTAAGATACCCATGGCCTCCTGGTCTCAGTTGGATTCCCCCAGAAAGGGCAGAAGTGAGCAATCCAGAAGAGGTTCATGAGGGAGCCTTTGGATGGAGGGGGGAAGGGCACAATTGAGGAAGGTAAAGTTGGGGGCCCTTGGCTTCCCCTCCTCTCTCACCCCAACTTCCTTGCCCTCAACCCTTCAGCCCTCCAAAAGCTGCTTCTTTCCCTCTTAGGTCGCTTCCCTATTCCAACTCCTGCCTCCCCTTCCATCCTCTCCTCCTTCCTTTCCTCCCTTTCGCCCCTCCAGTTCTTCTTCTTTCTTCGGCTTCTCTTCTTCTTCTTCTTCTTCTTCTTCTTCTTCTTCTTCTTCTTCTTCTTCTTCTTCTTCTTCTTCTTCTTCTTCTTCTTCTTCTTCTTCTTCTTCTTCTTCTTCTTCTTCTTCTTCTTCTTCTTCTTCTTCTTCTTCCTTCTCCTCCTTCTTCCTTCTTTCTCCCCAGAGCCTCAGACTGGAGCCTCCATAGGATGAGGGTCCTTGACTGGAGCCCCCTAACTCTGCCCCTCTGGGTCCCTTCCAGGCACCTCCTCGCACTCCCTGATGTTTTTCTCCACCGTCATCTCGGAGCCCAGTCAGGGGCTGCCCCAATTTGTCTCTGTGGGGTCTGTGGACGGTCAGGTCTTTGCTTACTATGACAGCAACACCCGAAGGGTGCAGCCTCGAGTCTCCTGGATAGAGAAGGTGGGGAAGGAGGACCCCCAATACTGGGACAGGAACACCCAGAGAGTACGTTACAGTGAGGTGGCCTTCAGAGATATCCTGGAGACTGTGAGGAGACTCTACAATCAGAGCGAAGGTGAGTGATGGGTCGGATGGCTCCTCCTGCCCCATAATCCCCTCCCCAGGAATCAGAGGGCGGAGAAAGGCCTTCCCCACATTGCAAAACGGATTGTAAGTATGTTTATTTTATTTTTTTTAGAAAAAAATCAATATAAGCTTGTCCGTGCCTCCATAGCTGACCTTTTCTGCCAATTGCAGTTAATAAACTCATGTTTAAAGTGATCCATCTGTCTATCTCTATATTGATAGGATGTGGATATGGATATAAACTGAGTTAAAAGAGACCGAAATCTCCCCTCCCCCCCATGAAAGTTGGAGGGTCCTGGCCTTGGTGGACCCCCTGCTGTGGGGGAGGGAGGGGATCCCAGGTCTTTCCCGGAAAAGAAGGAGGTGGATCCTAAGGAGATCCTAGGGGAAGCAGGTCCTGCTCCTTCTGTCTGTTTCCACCCCAGAGAAATGAGAGATCAACTGCAGATCCATCTGGGCTGATTAGATCCCTCTCTTTCACCTCTTTTTGGAGGGATGAGGGGGGCCAAAATGGCAGGAGCTTCTGCTCACCCTCCAGGTGGAAGGAGAGGCCAGGAAGCCAAATGGGGGTGGGGGGGCTCTTCGGGGGGGAACAGGATCACTTCCAGGATCCTCCCAACCTTGAGGGGAAAAAGGACAGAGAAGAAAGAAACCCCCATTTGGGGCCCTTCCTGAGTCGCTCAGAGCGCTGATGGCTTCCCATCCTTGGTCCCTCCAGCTGGACTCCTGCGCTGCCCTCTTGGTGGGGCTGCCCTGGAGGGGGGAGGCCTTCTTCAGCAGCCCCCCCCACTTCTGCCATGTTTGGGGGAGAAGATTCACCTCCAAGGAACCTCATTTAGGGGAGAGATTGGAAGCAAATATCTGTGTCACCAGAGGCTGCTTTGGGCTGAGGTAAACCTTCTCCACAAACATCAGCCATTTTCCCTCCTTTCATCCCAAGGAGGGGCAGCCCCCCTTCTTCTGCCCTTTCCTTCCCCGTCCCCCCCAGGCAGACACCCCAGAGATCTGCCTGTTCTGCCCCTGATCCCCAAGGATCCCCCCCAGATCCCTCCAGGCCCCCTGCTGGCCTCTCAGGGGAGCAGAGCTGGACCCAGAGGGCTCCCCCTGGTGGAGAAAGGGGGAAGGAGAGCGGCCAGAGTGGAGGGGAGCCTCCTTCCCAGGCCAAACAGCCCCAAATGTCCCAACCTTTCCTCCAAGGGAGGCTGCTTCCACCCTCCCATCCTCTGGGTCGCCCCCTCTGGACCTTCCCCACCTCCCTCCGGCCCTTTTTGGAGGTCTGGTGACCAGAACTGCACCCGATATTCCAGATGTGGTCCCATCCTTGATTTACGCAAAGGCTTTCTGACATTAGCCTCCATGTTTTCAGTACCATTTTAATGATCCCTGACATACTGGTGGCATTTAAAAAAAATTGTATATTTTTGTATTAATACTTTTCACCAAGAAGATAAAAAGGAGACAAAGAAATCAAAGAAAAAAATCAAAAAGTGCAAGAAAAGAAAACAAGCTGAAGAAAATTAGTCAAGAAAAAAGACATAAAGAAGTGGCTTCTGATTTTCTTCACAGCACTTATAAACATAAATATATTTTAGCCTCCCTAAAGCAGCCGTTCTGAACCTTTTGACCCTGGAGGAACCCTTGAAATATTTTTCAAGCCTGAACATCCAGGCTCAAAGATACGCCAGAATTGTTTCACGCGTAGAATTGTAGAGATGCATTAACAATAATAATTAATAATAACTAATAATAAAAAATGAAACTCGCCCTTTCAATGTGATCCCCGTACTTATTTATTGCTGCACAAATATTCAACTCTCTGCAAAACAAATTTCATCTTCAGCTGAAATAAGACAGTTTCTGTCTTGGCTTTTGATGCTTCTGAAATAAGACAGAGCTGGTTCTCAGAAGTTGAAAACTGCAGCCACATTTTCAGTGCCTTCCTGTGAATGGCAGGAGACTCTTCTTTGCAGATATACTGGATCCTCTTTTTGAGACCACGATCAGTTCCTCTTTGCAACCACAGATTCAGCAACTGTTCCCTCACTGGGATCCCTTCCTTTCCCCCCAAGAGTCTCCCCAACAGAGGAACTGCAGAAGGAAAGATGGAGGAGGCTCCCTCCCTCCGTTTCTGCTGCTCCTTTTCTCGGTCTCCCTCGGGATCCTCCGCTGGCTTTTCCAGCTTCCTTTTTCCTGGGGAGGTTCAGGGGCTCCATCCTGGGGGGGGGGGTGAAATGGAGGGAGGCAGGTTGAGGGAGGGGAGAAGGGCAGGTAGTGATGGGGGCTTTCTTTCCCTTGAGCTCTGAGGAGGAAATGTGGGAACTCAAAGTCCTTGCAGGGAGAGGGGTCTCCGTCTATCTTGAGGATTTCCCAAAACCATCATCTTGCCCCTGTTTCAGGCCTTCACACATGGCAGAGGATGGACGGATGTGAGCTCCGGGGAAACAAGAGCAAAGGAGGTTTTGAACAGCATGGCTACGATGGGAGGACCTTCCTCACCTTCGACAAGGAGACCCTCACCTGGGTGGCTCCCGTCCCCCAGGCCCGGATCACCCAGAGGAAATGGGACGCTCTTCCAGGATATAATCAGAGAACGAAGTTCTTCCTGGAGGAATTCTGCATTGAGTGGCTGGAGAAGTACCTGTCCTACGGGAAGGAGACGCTGCTGAGGACAGGTGAGCCTCTGGATCCAGGCTGGACTTTCCTCCTTTGTGGCTGGATTTCTTGTCCACATTTGGGTTCCTGGTCTGCCGTCTGGCTGCCCAGGAGGGAATCCTCCCCCTCCCCTCCCCTCCCAGCCCCTCCCCATGACGCGGGAAGCCCTGATTGGTTTCCCTTGCCAGGCTGCCATTCCATGGACCGGGAAATGCAGCCTCTGCCTGGCGGGAGTCTGGGTGGATCAGGCAGGAGAAGCACTTGGGGGTGTCCTGTTCACAGCCCACAATGAGGCAACAGGAGCACTTGAGGTTCTTCAGTGAAATCCCCATTAGTCAAACTGTAGTCAAGGGTGAGGGGCATTCTTAATTTCCTCCCATTAACTCTCCTTCACCCCACTTCCCACAGGGGGCTCCCTCCCTGCCTTGCACCTGATGGCGCACCTCCCACGCCCACCACTAGAGGGCTCCACGTCTACCATTGAAATGACATTGTAAGTGCCCCCACTTGGGCAAAAAAAGGCCAAGATTGAGAGCTTCTTTCCTTCCTGGGTGGGGGAGGGGGGAAATTTCCAAAATATCTATGGCTCTGATTTAGTGAGCCTTTCCACAGAACGACCCCTTTCCCACCTTCAGGAGCACACCTTCAGCTCACAGGGGGTTTCACATTATTATTATTTTTTTAAACACGTTTTATTAAAATTTTCAGTTTTTACATCCAGATAATTAGGAAGCAGCATGGTGATAGGGCAGACATGTCAAACACAAGGCCCGTGGACCAGATGCGGCTCGCAAAGTGGTTTCATGTGGCCCGCGAAGCCATCCTGGAAACAGTGAGGGAACGGCCCCCGCTGCCTTGGCCCTGGCCCAGGCTGGCCGGGAGCCAATGTACAATTTTGTGGTGGCCATCTATGCTGAAACATTTTCAGTCTTAGCTCCACAAGGCCGTCTGGAAACAGCGAGGAACCAGCCCCTGCCGTGTCGGCCCCACCCCCTGGGTGCATGCTGGGGAGGTGTCACCCTTTGTGAGGAATGAAGAAATGGACCATCGCCTGGAAGTGGCCAGCAAATGGCCCTCACCTACTTCATAGATCTGGCTTGATGGGCTCTAGGGGAGAGGTTTTGGCAGGCAGTGGGACGTTCTCTTCACAGCGCCAAGAGCTGAGCCGGGTGGCGCGAATCTGATGAGAAGTGCAATGCCGCCTAGCCCTCAGCCTGCCCAGTTTCAGCAGGTAGCAAGGTGCAAAGCTGACGAGCTTCGCACCGCCCGACTCAACCTCTCGGCGCTGTGAGGAAAGCGCACCGCTGCCTGCTGAAACCACACCCACTCCACTCCATCCATGCCCACCCAGTAGGCCACACCCACTCTGGCCACACCTATCCAGCCCCCCCAAGGGAAACCGCAATGCTGATGCGGCCCTCAGTGAAATTGAGTTTGACACCCCTGTGATAGGGCAATCAATAATTGAACAACAAAATCATTCATATCTGCCAGGTTACGTCGTTAAAATTTCCCTCTGTATTTCCCTTAATTATTATATCATATTCAGATTAATACACTTCTAGGTAAAGCGCAATCAATCAATACATTTACCAATACCATTTTACTTATACCTATCCAAGTCCTGCTTTTAAGTTTTGTTGTTGTTGTTGTTGTTAATTGCGAAGTTGTGTCCGACCCATCGTGACCCCATGGACAATGTTCCTCCAGGTCTTCCTGTCCTCCACCATCTTCTGGAGTCCATTTAAGTTCACACCTACTGCTTCAGTGACTCCATCCAGCCATCTCATTCTCTATCGTCCCTTTCTTCTATTGCCCTCAATCTTTCCCAGCATTAGGCTCTTCTCCAGTGAGTCCTTCCTTCTCATTAGGTGGCCAAAGGATTTGAGTTTCAACTTCAGGATCTGGCCTTCTAAAGAGCAGTTGGGGTTGATCTCCTCTAGGACTGACCGGTTTGAACGCCTTGCAGTCCAAGGGACTCGCAGGAGTCTTCTCCAGCACCATAATTCAAAGGCCTCAATTCTTTGCGCTCAGCCTTTCTTATGGTCCAACTTTCACAGCCATACATTGCAACTGGGAAAACCATGGCCTGGACTATACGCACTTTTGTTGGCAGGGTGATGTCTCTGCTTTTTAGTATGCTGTCTAGATTTGCCATAACTTTCCTCCCCAGAAGCAAGCGTCTTTTAATTTCTTGGCTGCAGTCCCCATCTGAGGTAATCTTTGAGCCCAGAAAAATAAGTTAAGTTTTATTTAATTCCAATTACCATATTCCGATTTAGCCTTTCATAGCCATAGTATTTAAACTTCGGGTAACCCTAATTTCCCTCATTTCATTACAAGGTCATTATCGTGTCTAGAGTACATATATTATTCCAAAAATTACACTCTTGCTTTCTTTCACAAATATATTCTATTTCTCGTCCTGATAGGTCCTCATTTATTGATAAAATATCTTTTCATTTTCACAAATCCATTTCCATCTTACAGTTCCAAGCTATAATCTAATAGTTACTTTTCATTTCCATTATAAATCTAAATCCTAAATATTAAACCAGTCAATATCTCTAAAAATCTCCGTCATTAAGGTTCCTCCGTAAGGTGTTCACATTATAATGCTTTCCTATGGTTTGTTATTCATTTACCATCTAGACCAGTGGTTCTCAACCTTTTTAATGCCGCGACCCCCCCCAACCGGTCGTAAGTCAAGGACTACTCAACCGGTCGTAAGTCGAGGACTACTCAACTGTTGCAGCACCGTTTGCAGAATGGGACTTTTGGCGGGCTCAGCAGGGCAGAGACAGTCTGGACAATTCCTATGGGCTTTTGAAAGCCAATAGAATTAGGCTCTATTCAAGAGAGTCTATTCTATTGGCTTTCAAAAGCCAATAGAATAAAAGGGAGTAGCACAGCTAAGGAAAAGGGGAAAAAAATGGCGGACTGCATTGTTTGGCGACCCCCGTGAAATGGTCGTTCGACCCCAAATGGGGTCCCGACCCACAGGTTGAGAACCACTGATCTAGACTTCCCCCTTGCTCTACCCCAGACATGTCAAACACAAGGCCCGCCAGCCGGATGCAGCCCGCAAAGTGGTTTCATGTGGCCCGCAAAGCCATCCTGGAAACAGTGAGGGAATGGCCCCTTCTGCCTTGGCCCTGGCCCAGGCCACCCGGGAGCCAAGGTACAATTTTGTGGTAGCCATCTATGCTGAAATGCATTCAGTCTTAGCTCCACAAGGCCGTCTGGAAACAGCGAGGAACCAGGCCCTGCTGCGTTGGCCCCGCCCCCTGGGTGCATGCTGGGGAGGTGTCACCCTTTGTGAGGAATGAAGAAATGCACCATCGCCTGGAAGTGGCCATCAAATGGTCCTCGCCTACTTCACACATATCCGTCTTGATGGGCTCTGCCCCGGTCCCACCCCTTTCTGCCAGAGACACTCAGATCTGTCCCACTCCTACCCAGGCCCCCACAGGCCCCCTTGACGCGAATGATGTAGAGCTGGCCCCGCCCACCCAGTAGGCCACACCCACTCCATCCACACCCACCCAGTAGGCCGCACCCATCCTGGCCACACTCCCTCCCCACCCTGCCCCCCCCCCGAGGGCAACCGCAATGCTGATGCGGCCCTCAGTGAAATTGAGTTTGACACCCCTGCTCTGCCCCTTCCCCTCTGGGGTCCTTGATCCCTCCAGGATCAGCTGGTTGAGATCAGGGTCCCTGGGGGAATCCCCCTCCCCACAATTGCCAGCAGCTCTTCCCTATCAGGGAGGACACCCTCTCGCTTCCATTGGCATCCCCTCTCTCTGCCTTCCTTTGAGACACAGGATATTTTTTTCCCAGATTAACCAGGGTGGGATTTCAAAAGCCCTGAGCCCCTTTTTGCTTTGATTGTCAGTCTCTCCTCCTCCTCCTAAAATTGTGTTTGTGTCCCTTGGAAAGAGGCCTGGAGCAACCTCAGATTCTGGGGAGCAGGGGAAGACCCCCAAAGTAGGGAGAAACTTCTGTGTTGTTGTTGTCTTGAAAGGGAACATAAAAGAGCAGCTCCACTTTCCCTCCCCTGAAGGAAACAATCCAAGATCACTCAGAGTTCAAAGCAGCCAGAGAGGAATTTCCTTGGACCCTCAATTTGCTGCTGGAGGTTTTTCAGGCTGAGTCCCTGGGAAGGACTCAGCATCAGGAGTTCTTGTGGTTGAGCATTTTCCAGATCTGGAGCTTTTCCCAAAACTCTTGGAGACGCTGCGGGTGTGGAGTGGGAGGTAGTGGGAGGTTTTCCTGCCCCTCCAGGTTTCCCACCCACCTTTGAGATTCTGGAGGGGGTCAGAGTTAATTCCGGGGGTGCCGTTTCTGCAGAGCCCCCAGTGGTGACCATGAGCAGCAGGACAGAGGTGGTGGATGGGATGGAGACGCACGTCTGCCGCCTGTATGGCTTCTACCCCAGGGAGATCGATGCCTTCTGGACGAGGGATGGGGAGGTCTGGCTGCCGGACACCCTCCGTGGGTCCGTGGCCCCCAACGCGGATGGGACCTTCCACACCATGCTCAGCATCCAGATCGATCCGAAAGAGAGGGGCCGCTATCGCTGCCACGTGGAGCACGACGGCCTGCAGGAGCCTCTGGCCCTGGCCCTGGAGGGTGAGACGCTGCAGGGAGGGAAAGGCTGGGCTCTTTGGCAGGCTGGAGGGATGTGGGAGGGAAATCTCACCCCAGCTGTGTCCAGATGTGAGCATACTTGAGCTTTAAGCCATTGGGTTTTCCAATGTTTGAGGTTGGTGAACCTGCAGGGACCAGACCATAGAACTGGCTTCAGGGGATATAAAGGAAACTCCCTAATTCCATCACAAGATTTGGCAGATCCTGATGAAATCCTCTTAGATCCTCTCTTAGCTTTTGTCTCTCTTGTTTCTTCCCTCCAGCAGAAAAACAGCAGTTGTTCTGAGCGCCAGAAACAGATGTTTGTTTAAAATTCTTAAAGTACAGGAATCAGAAGGCGTCTGGTAGCCCCTTTTCTGAAGACAAATTTTAACTAAAATTGATCAACTGCAGCTGAAATGCAGACACTGGCTGGACTTGGTGCACCAGGAGTCAGAAAAAGGGCTACTAAGTCTGAGTTTTTGCCCTCAGAGACTAACATGGTTTTCCGCTTTAAAGGTCAAAATGTCACTGTGTGTTGCTGCAGTAAGACAGAAATTATACATTTTTTTATGATCCGATATGGGAATTCCTGAGGCTCAGCATAAAACCCCAGAAAAAAAAGCCCTCTCTCAAAGACCTCTGCACAGGCTCATAAGTGTCCCTGACCTTTTTTACACTGGACTTCTAATGTTGCAGAAATCAAATTCAAATCTTTTATTAACGATTGTCACCACACTACCAAAAATGTTCAAAGTTAATTTTTATGCTACTATCCCAAGCAAAACACAATACTCCTTTTATTTTTGTGGCTTTTAAGCAAGCATCAATTCACGGTTGGCATAACTGCTTTCAGTAGGAGTCCTGAATTTTGTGCAAGAGAAATTTAAATTTAAAGTTTCCCTCCGCAAAGCTGACTCCCCAAAGCAATACCACTTTACAATGCCTTGGTAAGGCCACATTTGGAATATTGCATCCAGTTTTGGTCACCACGATGTAAAAAAGTTGTTGAGACTCTAGAAAGAGTACAGAGAAGAGCAACAAAGATGATTAGGGGACTGGAGGCTAAAACATCATCATCATCATCATAATAATAATAACAACAACAACAATAATAATAATATAATTATTATTATTATAATTATTAATGATAGGCTCCTTGGATGCAATCCCAAAACAACTGGAGTACCACTTGAACACCATTGACATTGACAAATTCACCATTAATCAATTGCAAAAGGCGGCCTTACTAGGAACTGGTTCCATCCTGCGACGATATCTGTAATACCATCAAACATCCACATCTGCCTATCCCAGGTCCTGGGTAAGGACTCGATAGGTAGACAAAATGCCAAATCCAGTCTGAATATCGCTGACTGTGCGATGATCCATGATGATGATGATGATGATGATGATGATGATGATAATAATAATAATAATAATAATAATAATAATAATAATAATAATAATAATAAGAAGAAGAAGAAGAAGAAGAAGAAGAAGAAGAAGAAGAAGAAGAAGAAGAAGAAGAAGAAGAAAAGAAGAAGAAGAAGTTGGAAGGGATTTTGGAGGTCATCAAGTCCAACCCCCTGCTTAGGCAGATAACCCTATACCATTTCGGACAAATGGCTGTCCAGTTTCTTCTTAAAAACTTCCAGTGTTGGAGCATTCACCACTTCTGGAGGCATGTTGTTCCACTGGTTAATTGTTCTCACTGTCAGGAAGTTTCTCCTTAGTTCTAAGTTGCTTCTCTCCTTGATCAGTTTCCATCTGTTGCTTCTTGTCCTGCCTTCAGGCACTTTGGAGAATAGCTTGACTCCCTCTTCTTTGGGGCAGCCCCTGAGATACTGGAACACTGTTATCGTGTCCCTCCTTGTCCTTCTCCTCATTAAACTAGACATACCCAATTCCATCAATCTTTCCTTATATGTTTTAACCTCCGGTCCCCTAATCATCTTTGAATGAGATGGAAAGGCTGCTGGAATTGGGTTTGTCTAGTTTAATGAAGAGAAGGACGAGGGGTGACATAATAGCAGTGTTCCAATATCTCAGGGGCTGCCCCAAAGAAGAGGGAGTCAAGCTATTCTCTAAGGCGCCTGAAAGCAGGACAAGAAGCAACGGATGGAAACTAATCAAGGAGAGAAGCAACCTAGAACTAAGGAGAAACTTCCTGACAGAACAATTAACCTGTGGAACAACCTGCCACCAGAAGCTGTGGGTGCTCCATCACTGGAGTCTTTTAAGAAGGGATTTGTCCAGAATGTTATGGGGTCTCCTGCTTGAACAGGGAGTTGGACTAGATGACCTCCAAGGTCCCTTCCATCTCTGTTATTCTTTTATTCTATTTCTGCCATTTGTGGGGCTGTCCAGAAGTTGGATATCGCCATCTTTTATTTTTTATGCGGAAGTTCTGGAAGTACAAAATATCATATATTTTTTTTGCTATTTCTGGACTGGCCAAAGAATATGCAAGTATATACTTTAAAAAACGATAGTTGATATGAACGCGTTTCCTTTAAAATAATAAAATTCAAACACTCAAACTGAAGAAAAAAGGAAGCCTGCAGAGCTATCCAATTACACTCAAGAGTCATCACATACTGGAGCAGCCTATAAAAAGATCACAGACATTTTTGTTTCACTTTTTTTTTTTAAATATGATTTCAGCTGCCTTCATGCTGGGCTGGGGAGAGAAGAAGGCAGCATCAGGAGGACACGTCCTCTAACAGTGGTTAGCAAGGAGCCCTCATGCTACAGTTAGAGGCCTACGAAGACAGCCAGCCCTGTAGACTTTTTAATTTGAGGAATTTTCATTCTTTTGACTGAATTGAGACTCTCCTTTAATTGGGATGATTGTTTGGGGTTCTCCTCCTTCAATTACCTGCTCTTTCTCCCAATTCAGAACCAAAATCCAACCTGGGGCTCATCATCGGCTATGTTGTGGTTGGCCTTGTCCTGATGATGTGTGCGATTGTTGGGATCTTGGTATTTCTTAGTAAGTATCCTTTTCTGGGTGATGGAAGGAAGATGGGGAGGTTCCTCCCAAGTCTCTCTCTTTGGGGAGCTTCTTCAGGGCTTCCTCCTGTCCTGCTTTCCCAGCCCTCTTGGGGAGCCTCTGAGATCTCGGCCTCTTGCTGGGACTCCAGTCTTGACTCGGCTGAGTCTGAGGGTGGGACAATCCTGCCTTCTTCTGCGTTGGGAAGAGGCATCCCAGTTCCGTCCCTTTCAAAGACTTCGGTGGAAGAGCAGCAGAGAAGGATTTCCATGAGAATCTTCCTCCCCTCCCAGCTGCTGCTGCTTCCCCCCTTTCCCTCCCTCCATCTTGGAGGCAGCAGGTCTCTCTTGGGGCAAATCAGGAGATACATTTGCATTTTGAAGATCTTTCTGTCTTTATTAATGAGGCAAAGTGACTGCAAAATATCTCCTGGGGTTCTTCCTTCCAGAGAGGGAGAGATTGGATGGTCTCTGGTGGATTCTTTCCAGCTTTCACTGATTTTTGTCCTTGCAGAAAGACGTCAAGATGACGGCACCGCAACATCAGGTGAGCGATTTATCCTCTTTCCATGTGATTTCCAACTCAGAAGAGGCCTCAGAGGCACGATCACTTGACGGTTGTGCGTGTATACATGGGTGGTTTTAAACACAAAAGAAGCTCATAAAGCCACAGAGTCATGCTCTTTCCTCCTAAGAACTAGTCTGGGGAAAGAGGGCTCCTTTTTATAACAGCCAGGCTGTTCTTGGGACTAGAGACCCCCCCCCCAAAGGACAACATCGGGCACAGGAAACCCTCAAGAAGGTGAGAAGACCCACCTGGGTGGAAGATTTCTCTCATTGAGAAGCTGCTTTGTTTTCCAACTAGGACTGGGGTGTCAAACTCAATTTCACTGAGGGCCGCATCAGCATTGCGGTTGCCCGGGGTGTGTGTGTGTATGGCCAGAATGGGTGCAGCCTACTGGGTGGGTGTGGATGAATGGGTGTGGCCTACTGGGTGGGCGTGCCCAGTTCTACATCATTCGCGTCAAGGGTGTCTGTGGTAGCCTGGGCAGGAGTGGGACAGATCTGAGGGTCTCTGGCAGAAGGGGTGGGACCGGGGCAAGCGCCAAGGCATGGTCCACCGGGGCAAGTGCCAAGATGGCCACCACAAAATTGTACCTTGGCTCCCGGCCGGCCTGGGCCAGGGCCAAGGCAGCAGGGGCCGTTCCCTCACTGTTTCCAGGATGGCTTCGCGGGCCACATGAAACCACTTTGCGGGCCGCATCCGGCCCCCGGGCCTTGTGTTTGACATGTCAGAACTAGGAGGAACTTACAAAAATCACTTTCCTTGCTCTGGTTTGTTCCTGTAGAGGAGAAGGGAAAATCTCCCTGTTGGATCCAGGCAGGGAAGGCAACCCAGAGTCTGCATGGTGGAGCCTGGCCCCCTTTGGAGGAGAGAGAGCCCTGAATTCCTTGGTGTGAAATACGCAAACCACTGGTAATGCCATGATCCCCAGCGGTTAGAGACTCTTCTGGTGGCATAGCTGAGACCAGGCTGAATCTGGAAAGTGGGCGGTGGGTGGGTTTCCCCTCTTAGAGGTGTGCCCAGCTGGGTTTAGGGTTTGGCCCCCACCGAGACCCCAGGACAGGGGAGGTGGGGTGGCAGTGGTCCTCTGAGAATCTCCGCCGGTTTTCAGAGGCCTTAATCCCCACGTTTCTGGTTGTGACTCCCCGTTTCTGAATCTGGGCTCACGGGATCAGTTGGGATTGTGGCTGCTGTACTAGCCTCCCTGCTGCGTGGCCACCTCCCTGCCTGAGTGCAGTGGAGTGTCTCAGGATTATGGTCCTGGGAGTCTTCATTCTGCCATCCCTGTGTTTGGTCTCGCGAGGGGCCCAGGAGTTCATGGCCACCAGGGTGGATCTGGACCCCTGCCAGATCATCTTGGACCCGGCTTGGGACCGTGGTCGCACACCAGGTATGATCTTGTTGTCAGAGCAATGGCAATGTGATCTGGTGGGGGAATCGAGTTCACAATGTAACGTTTTAATATTTTACATGGCATTTTTTAGACTCGTATCGTGCGCTTCCTAGAGTCATGAATAGAGAGATGGATAGCATAGAAGGCTAATAATAAAATAAACGAACAACCTGGTCCTTTGAGGGATTCACAAAGCTGCAGAGATTTAATGGGGAAGAGAGAGAGAGAGAAGGGGGGGGGAGGGAGGGAGGGAGGGAGGAGCAGGGCAAGGCAAAAACTCACTCTGTGTCTGTCTCTCCAATGCAGGGAGGAACCAGGCCATTTAGCAGCCCCCTGGCAGGTGAGTAGCCCCCGTGGGAGCTGTATGGAGGGGGGGGGGAGAGGAAGGAATGGAAGTTGAGGGCTTTGAGGTCCAAGGACCAATTGACGGTGAAGCTACATTGGGGAATTCCTCTTCTCTCCTAATCTACTCAAACACTGCAAGGGTGAGGAATTTGGGGGCGATTCAAGTGGGCTCTGGGGAGGGGCCTGCCTTGGATCACGAGACCTGCAAAAAAGGAGATTTGAGTGTCACCAGGGCAAGAGGCACCTGGCGGATCCCTCCCTTGAGGCGCTGCTTCTGCTCCTTCCCGGGGCTGATCTTGTCTGATCCCTCAGCCTGGACGGTGGGATTCCTCCTCTGGGCTCCCTCTCAGACTGACCCTGCCTGCTTTTTCCCTCCTTTTTTGCAGCCGGAGTAGACACTTCCAGCATGAGGAGAGAGGAGAGAAGACGGGAATCAAGACTTCTTCTGAATTAGGCCGGACTCTCAGGAGGCGCCCTTCAGGCCCTTCCACCATGCTGGAACCAGGATGTATTTGGGGTCTTTCATCACCGCTTTTGTCGCTACCTCAGTATTATATTGTATTTTGTTACGACTGAGGGACAGAGGAGATAAGAAAATCTTATGTGTTTAGGATTGTGGAATCGAAAGGATTCAAACGAGCGGGTGTAGTAGATATTACTTTACTTTTATTTTATTTTTTTATTTTTTTATTTTATTATTTTATTTTATATTTTATATTTATTTTATTTTATATTTATTTATTTATTAATTATTTGGATCCTGCCGAAGGTACTGAAGATATCCAACACACCTGTAGTAGATGTTATTTTATTTTTATTTTTTATTATTTTATTTATTTTTATTTTATTTTATATTTATTTATTAATTATTTGGATCCTGCCGAAGGTATTGAAGATATCCAACACACCTGTAGTAGATGTTATTTTTAATTATTTTATTTATTTTTATTTTATTTTTTATTTTTATTTATTTATTTATTATTTGGATCCTGCCGAAGGTATCGAAGATATCCAACACACCTTCCTCCTCCTATTTTTCCCCACAACAATTCACCCTGTGAGGTGGGCTGGGCTGAGAGAGAGTGACTGGCCCAAGGTTCACCCAGCTGGCTTTCATGGCTAAGCTAAGGCTGGACCTGAACTCGTAGTCGCTTTCTAGCCTGGTGCCTTAAAACCACTAGACCAGGGGTAGGCAACCTTGGCTCTTTTATGACTCGTGGACTTCAACTCCCAGAATTCCTGAGCCAGCCATGCTGAGGAGAAAGGGAGAGGTTTCCAAGCTGAGCCATGCTGGCTCAGGAATTCTGGGAGTTGAAGTCCACGAGTCATAAAAGAGCCAAGGTGGCCTACCCCTGCACTAGATCAAGCTGGCTTGTATACCTTGCAATAGTTTTGTAACAGAGCTTGTAGCAGCTACGTTGTTATTTCTGATGGCCTTTAATAGGTTTGTGCTGATGAACAGGTTTTGGAGAAGGGTTCATAGCGAATGGGGAGAGGAATAGGATGAAGAGTTGCTGGTTTTACTTTAAGGGAGAGAGATGTTAATCTTCATCATAACTGCCTGGATTGAAAGTGGAAGTTTTTTTTCCTTATTTTTCTTTATATTAGTTGTATAAAGATAATGTGTACCATGTGTTGCCATTTATGTATTTTCATGGCTTAGAAAAACGGAGCAGGAGCCCTCCCCCATCTTGAAAAGCTGATTTTTGCCACCAAAGTTGGTTATTTGATGGCTTTGTTCCCCGTTTTTTGGAAGGGAAGACTAGGAATGACCCAAGATGACCTTTGGACGATGATGCACAGAGAAGAAAAGGGACTGGATGTCTGCAATTCTCAGTAAGGACTAATCGGAAGGTCTAATCTCTTGCCATCCTTTCCCTTCAGCTGCTCCTCTTTCTTAAGCACACCTGGGTTTTAATTGCATGTTTTGAAGCTTTACAATCTCTTGACTCGTGACTAGTTTTACTTCTGAGGTATTTTATAACCTGGACTTTTACAACTTTTTTTCTCCTCTTTCACTGTTTACTGTTAAATTCAAATTATTATTTTTTTAATTGTAAGGAAGTTGCAGTCGATTTTACATTTACATTTACACAGTATTATACTATAAATCTTGTTATTTCTAGCTTTTTTCTTTTCTTTTTCTTAAGAGTCTCGATATTTATCTCTTAATTTTTGATGGGAAGATTCCCTTTTCTTCAACTCTGGGGGGGAACAAACCCTTTCTCTGTGGAAGCTGCTGTTTATCTGCTTCTCTTGTCCTTGAAGAGAAAACGAAAAATGGTTTTTCATATCTTTAAAAGGAGATAAATTATTTTGGGAGATAATCGAAAAAAGAACGCTCTCCAACTTAGGGGTTTTATTTAAAAATATAAACAAAAAAATTCAACGAGCAATTCTGCAAAGCTAAGAGGATTTCCAAATGCAGGAATTGGGCCAAATTTGATTTGTTCTGGTTAAGATGCCAAGAAGAACGTATTTGGTTTGCCAGAAAAGATTGAAAAGAATAGGAATATAAGAAACTCTGAGACAACAGACATGACCAAGGATGGACTGGATCTTCTTGGCAAGAGAAATGCTGTGTTGTTGAGGACAATTATTCAACAACGGATGTTGCAGAGATACTTACAACAGAGACTTATGAAGTTTGGAAATGAGATGCAGTTGTTGGTAAAGTTCCTAATTAAAAACCTATGGAAAGGTTTCACTATTAAGAACCAAATGAAGGTATTTGACCCTGGACTCAGAGATAACGATCGGAGTGATTTGCAGCAAATAAGGAACTGTGTAAACTTTCAATGAATAAATAATAATAAGAGACTGTTAACAGAGTGCTTTGAATTTTTAACTTTGCTGTTGTTCAACTGATTAACTATTTATCCTTCCACTTATGTCAGGGGTGTCAAACTCAATTTCATTGAGGGCCGCATCAGCATTGCAGTTGCCCTGGGGGTGGATGGGGAGGTGTGGCCTACTGGGTGGGCGTGGATGGAGTGGATGTGGCCTACGGGGTGGGCGTGGCCAGCTCTACATCATTCGCGTCAAGGGGGCCTGTGGGGGCCTGGGCAGGAGTGGGACAGATCTGAGGGTCTCTGGCAGAAAGGGGTGGGACCAGGGCAGAGCCCATCAAGCCGGATATGTGAAGTAGGCGAGGGCCATTTGCTGGCCACTTCCAGGCGATGGTGCATTTCTTCATTCCTCACAAAGGGTAACACCTCCCCAGCATGCACCCAGGGGGCGGGGCCAACGCGGCAGGGGCCGGTTCCTCGCTGTTTCCAGACGGCCTTGTGGAGCTATGACTGAATGCATTTCAGCATAGATGGCTACCACAAAATTGTACCTTGGCTCGCGGGTGGTCTGGGCCAGGGCCAAGGCAGAGGGGGCCATTCCCTCACTGTTTCCAGGATGGCTTTGCGGGCCACATGAAACCATTTCGCAGGCTGCATCTGGCCCCCGGACCTTGTGTTTGACATGTCTGACTTATGTAATCTATGACAGTCAATTAGGTTAGAAATAGATGTGCAACATTATACATTTTTGACCTCTTTTGCAGGGGGGGGGGGAAACTAATCTATTGTTGCAATAGATTTCTGAGCATTCAACTAGGTTGACCAAATATTTGATCATCCAGAGTTTGACAAATAAGCACAGCATTCAAAAACACTGAATTTTTCCAGATTGCCACTTATGGATTTTCATGCTTTTGAAAAATGGAACATGAGATCGATTGCACAGCCAGGATGCTACCTCCTTAACAATTGCACATATATTGTAAGTTTGTCAAAATTGTTTGCTGAAATGAATGATCCTGTTTTCTTCTCACCTGAGTTGCTGTCTGTTTGGGGCGGTTGAAAATAGGGATTTTGCTGCTCAGAGAGACCAATTTTACTTTAACTACAGAAGAGAGCAGAATATGGTTCAAGCCTTGAAGAAATCATTGCATCTTACTCACACTTTGCTCATCCTGGGAAGTGTAAAAGCAGCAGCATCAATTCATTATTGACTAAATTTGGCCCTGATAATAACAATGATCATAACCGGAAGAGAGAGAGATTATTTTACTCCAACGATTCCCCAGAAGAACCGCCAAAGGACAGAGCAGCCATCTTAGTTTATTTTGGGAAAACTGAAGAGTGTGAAACTTCCCAAAGATTCATGTCTCCCCCAGAGAATAAAAGGAAATAGGGAATTTATGTACTATATTTGATACCTCTGATCTTTTCCTCTAGAAAGACGAGACACCTTGAAGATGCAACAAAAGCTTTTCATGCAGAGCAAAGATCACTTGGGTTCTTTCACCTGGAACATAAGATTCATTGGGCTGGGAGGGACCTCAGAGGTCTTCTAATCCATCCCTCAGCTCAAGGCAGGAGACTATACCATCGTGGTCAAAAGGTTGTCCAATCTATTTCTGAACAGTGGAACAACCTGCCTCCAGAAGCGGTGAATGCTCCAACACTGGAAGTTTTGAAGAAGAGACTGGACAGCCATTTGTCTGAAATGGTATAGGGTTTCCTGCCTGAGCAAGGGGTTGGATTGGATGACCTCCAAGGTCCCTTCCAACTTATTATTATTATTATTATTATTATTATTATTATTATTATTATTATTATTATTATTATTATTATTATTATTATCAATCATCGCACAGTCAGCCAGATGTTCAGACGGGATTTGGCATTTTGTCTACCTATCGAGTCCTTACCCAGGACCTGGGATAGGCAGATGTGGATGTTTGATGGTATTACAGGTATCGTCGCAGGATGGAAGCAGTTCCTAGTAAGTCCGCCTTTTGCAATTGACTAATAGCGAATTTGTCAATGCCAAGGGTGTTCAAGTGGTGCCCCAGTTGTTTTGGGATTGCACCCAAGGAGCCTATGACTATTGGTACTACCCTTGCTTGCTTTTGCCACAGTCTTTCTATTTCTATTTGTAGGTCTTTGTATTTTGTTATCTTCTCCAGTTCTTTCTCTTCTATTCTGCTACCTCCAGGCACTGCCACGTCCACTATCCAGACTTTTTTGTCTTTCTTATCGACAATTGTTAAGTCTGGGGTGTTATGTTGCAGGTGCTTGTCTGTTTGAATTCTGAAGTCCCAGAGCAGTTTAATTTTATCATTTTCTATGACTTTCTCTATTTTATGATCCCACCAGTTTTTGTTACAGGCAAATGATATTTTTTGCAGATCTTCCAATGCACCATTGTTGCTACTTTGTCATGCCGCTGCTTGTAATCAGTTTGTGCAATCTTCTTGCAACAGCTTACCAAATGGTCTACTGTTTCTTCAGCTTCTTTGCATAGGCGGCACTTACTGTCTGTTGCTGTCTTCTCAATTTTGACTTTGTATGCATTTGTCCTTAAGGCTTGGTCTTGTGCAGCCAGAATTAATCCCTCGGTCTCTTTCTTCAATTTTCCTGATCTTAGCCATTGCCAGGTTTTATTATTATCTGCTTTCCCAGCTATTTTTTTAATGTATTGGCCATGTAGTGCTTTGTCTTCCCAGGCCTCTATTCTGTTCTTCATTTGGTCTTTCTTGTAGGCCAGTTTGGTCTCTCCAGTAGTTAGTAAGCCTTCCTGATATACTAATTTCAGTGCATCTTCATCATTGTTCTTCAGATATTCTTCCAGAGCCATTTTTTCTTCTTCAACCATCTGATGTAATTGTAGCATTCCACGCCCACCTATTTGCCTTGGTAGATAAAGTCTATCAATGTCACTGCGTGGATGAAGGGCATGATTCATTGTCATTATTTTTCTGGTCTGCCTATCCATTGCTTTTAGTTCTGCTTGAGTCCAGTCAACTATTCCAGCTGTGTACCTAATTACTGGGATTGCCCAGGTGTTGATTGCCTTTATGGTATTTCCTCCATTGAGTTTGGATTTTAAGGCTTCTTCACTCTCTTGATGTATTCACCTCTAATCTTTTTCTTGACTTCAGTGTGCTTGATGTTGTCAGCTTGAAGGATACCCAAGTATTTGTAGTATTCTTCCTCATCCAGACTCTTAATGTTATTTTCGTGGGGCATCTTGATTCCTTCAGTTTTCACTCTTTTTCCTTGTTTGATAGTAAGTGTGGCACATTTGTCCAAGCCAAACTCCATTACAATATCTTGGCTATATATACGGACAGTGTTGAGCAGCGATTCTATTTCAGATGATGTTTTTCCATACAGCTTCAGATCATCCATATAAAGGAGGTGGGATAGTCTGGCAGATGTTTTTGATGTTTGATAGCCATGTCCTGAGTTATTCAGTATTGTTGACAGAGGAAACAGTGCAATAACAAATAGTAATGGTGATAATGAATCTCCTTGAAATATTCCTCTCTTGATATTAACCTCTCCCAGCCTCTCACCATTGATCTGCAACTGTGTCTTCCATTGTGCCATCGATCTTTGCACAAATTTTCTGATGTTTCTACTGACTCCTGTTATTTCTAGGCACTTTATTATCCAATCATGTGGCAGAGAGTCAAATGCCTTTTTGTAGTCAATCCATGCCACATTCAGGTTGGTCTTCCTTCTCTTGCAGTTTTCCAAGATCATTTTGTCTATTAGGAGTTGATCTTTTGTTCCTCTGCTATTGGGGCGGTTTCCTTTCTGCTCAGGTGGAAAGAGATTGTTTTCAACTAGATGCTGTTGTACTGCATCAGCTACCACACCAGTTAGTAATTTGAAAGTTGTTGGTAAGCAGGTAATTGGCCTGTAGTTACCTGGTGTTGCCCCTTTTGCTGGATTTTTCATTATTAGGTAGGTTTTCCCAGTTGTTAGCCACTTTTCAATTTCTCCTCCTTGTAGTATATTGTTGAACTGCTTGGCAATGAGTGGGTGTATAACAGTTAGATGTTTCAACCAAAACCCATGCAGTTCATCTTCACCTGGTGCTGACCAATTTTTGATTTTCTTTGCTCTTTTTTCTACCATTTTTGTTGTTATTACTAGTTCTTTCATTTCAACTTCTGTTTTATTTGCATCCACCTCTTTTAACCAAGCCGCATCCTTGTTGTATTTCTTTGGGTTATCCCATATCTGCTTCCAGAACTGCACTGTTTCTTCCTTGTCAGGTACTGACTGATTCCTTGCAGTTTCTCCATTGATGGATTGGTAGAAACATTTCTGATTTGATTGAAATTGGAGGTTCTGCCTATAGTTTGCAATTCGAGCTTCATATCTACTGATTTTCCTGGCTATAGCTGTTATTTGTTGCTTTATTATTTCCAGTGCTTCCTTGATCTTCCTTGTTTCTAAGTGGTATTTCTTGATTAGGTATTCTTTGGTCTTCTTGTTCTTCAGCTTCTTTTCTTTCATCTGTTCTAGCTTGCTTGCATGTGATCTTAACTTGCTGATCTTATTTTCTAGTCTAACCTTCCATTTTTCTGGTGCACTGTTTGTTTGTTTTTCTTTTTTGTTGATTTTGCATCCCAGGTATTCTGTTATAACTGCAGCTGTGCTGTACATTAGTTGGTTTGTTTCTTGCAGTGAATTGGTGCTTATACTTGATATTGCAATATTTGCATCTTTTAATGCTTGTGCTAGCTGTTTCTTTGGAACAAGCTTCAATGCAGGTAGCCTTATTCTGTTGTTTTTGTGCTGTTCTAGATGCTCAGTTATTCTTTGTTTCAATTCTTTTATTTCTTTAGTTAGAGGGTTTTGTTCTTCCTGAGGTAGAGGTGCCTGGTTTCCAAATGAGAACAGTTGTATATCTCTGCTAGATTCCTTCACTGCCAACTCCCCCTGGTTTGCCTCTACATTCTGAATTACTTCTGGTAAGGCTTTGATTTCTTTGCCCTGGGTAAACCTTTGCAGTTCGTCCAATTCTGTTTCTGTGAATACTTTATTTCGTGTTATAAATCGGCGTTGATCTGCTAGTCTCTGTTCTGTTATTTCTGATTCTGGATGTTGTTCTTTCCAGAACTGGTGCATTCGTTTTAGATATCCTCTTCTTGTTGGACTTGATCTGTAGTAACAGATCATTATTTCTTTGTTTTCCATCACTGTGTATCTGCGACGGGTAAACACCTTTTCTTCCAGTAGTTCTGCAGCTGCTGGCCCTGGTTGCTCAGCCAACAGTCCTGAGTCCTGTAACCCATTTTTCACCAGATATCCAAGAACTCCAATATCTAGTGCGGACCTTGTTAACCCTGGGCGACGTCCGAGCCGGTATGGCATTCTGAAATTTATGTCTCACCATATTTTTTATGGGAGAGACACTCTTTGTCTGACTCCTCTGATGAGACCTGTCCAGTATGGTTGAACCTCTGGCATAGCTCTCATCTTCCTCAGAGTACACAAGCCCCACAACCACGTCAAGGTAGTGCCTCACTGGGGGATTGTTATTATTATTATTATTATTATTATTATTACTATTGATCAGTGCACAGTCAGCCAGATGTTCAGACTGGATTTGGCATTTTGTGTACCTATCGAGTCCTTACCCAGGACCTGGGATAGGCAGATGTGGATGTTTGATGGTGTTACAGATATCATCGCAGGATGGAAGCAGTTCCTAGTAAGGCTGCCTTTTGTAATTGATTAATAGTGAATTTGTCAGTGCCAATGGTGTTCAAGTGGTGCTCCAGTTGTTTTGGGATTGCACCCAAGGTGCCTATTACTATTGGTACTACCCTTGCTTGCTTTTACCACAGTCTTTCTATTTCTATTTGTAGGTCTTTGTATTTTGTTATCTTCTCCAGTTCTTTCTCGTCTATTCTGCTGTCTCCAGGCACTGCCACGTCCACTATCCAGACTTTTTTTGTCTTTCTTATTGACAATTGTTAAGTCTGGGGTGTTATGTTGCAGGTGCTTGTCTGTTTGAATTCTGAAGTCCCAGAGCAGTTTAATTTTATCATTTTCTATGACTTTCACAAAGCTGGAATAGTGGACTGGACTCAAGCAGAACTAAAAGCAATGGATAGGAAGACCAGAAAAATAATGACAATGAATCATGCCCTCCATCCATTATTATGGATCATCGCACAGTCAGCCAGATGTTCAGACTGGATTTGTTATTATAATTATTAAGTGATGGAACTCCCACAACTCTGAGAGGCAAACTATTCCATTGAATAAATATTCTCACTCTTAGAAAAATTCTTCTCCTTATTTCTAGGTTGGATCTCTCCGTAACAAGCTTCCATCCCTTATTTCTTGTCCTGCCCTCATGGCTTTGGAGAAGAAGTTGATCCCTTCTTTTCTGTGACAACTCCTGAAGTAATGGCAGACAGTTATCACGTCTTTCCCCCCCCCCTCCATCCTTCTCTGCGATAAGCTAGAAATACTCTCTCAGTCTCTTCATACGATTTAGCCTCCAGTCCCTTTATCGTTTTGTCACTCCTCTCCGCACACTTTCCAGGGTTTCAGTATCTCTCTTGTATCGTGGTGACCAGAGTTGTACACGGTATTCCAAGTGTGGCTTCACTAATGCAATATAAACCGCCATTATCGCTTCTGGGGATCTTGATGTTATTGACTGCGACGCCTTTTTTTGGCAGCTCCACCTGATCTGTGGTTGGGAGGGTCTCTGCGGGGTCTCCCCTCCCCCTCCCCAGTGCCCCTCCCCCCAGGCCTAGATAATCCTCCTGCTTTTCCCAGCCCCCCCCCTCATTTCTGCCCCTCCCCCCCCAAGAGGCGGAATGCCTGGAAGGGGATTTCCTGATGGAACTTTTACTTTCCTTTTCCCCCCCGCCTGTCCGGCCGGTTGCGCCTGGACGTCTGCCTAGCAACAATGACGACATGGCGATGCCTTTTTTCTACTGGTTGGGTTTGGCCAATCACCCGCTTTTGTTCTGGGTGGTTGCATAGTTGATTACCCGGAGCGCGTCTTTCTCTTTCTGCGACTTCTGGAGAACCGTGGCGGGATGGCGCTGCGCTCTCTGTCGCTCCTGGTGTGGGTGGCGGTCGCTCTGCGGGAGAGCTGCCAAGGTGAGTCCCTTTGGGGGCGTCGGGGGTTCCGCCTCCTTTATCTCCTGGTGGGAATCCATCCAGGGAATCTTTCTCTCCCCCTTCTTCCCCCAAAAGATTATTCCCAGGAAGAGAATCCCGATTCGGTCCTCTCTCTAGTCCGCTCCCCCTCTGGCCACTCTCAGAAGGGACCCCAAAGCGTAGATGGGACATTGCTTCCACTCTCTCTCTCCCCCCCCCCCAGAGAGCCCCTCTGGGAACAGGACAAGGGCGGCCCCTCCAGAGGTCAGTCAAGTCTACCTGGGCGCCCCCGAGCGCAGTTCTTTCCCCCTTTCCAAGTGGAAGTTGTCGGAAAGCGGCTTTTGCACGTGATCAGGTCAATTTACAAAGCTCCTGTTGCGTTCGCGCAATTCCTGGGTCCTGCCTTTGGAGAGGCTTTCTGGCTCTTTGTGGCTTCTGGTGCTGGAGGACCCGGCTTGCTTCTCAGCTCTGTTCTGTGTGTTGGGAGGCGCAGAGGGTGCTGCAGTTGAGCGCTTGGGTTAAGGCTGCCATGTGAATCCAACAGCATTAAGAGTCTAGAGCAGGAATGGGGAACCTTGGCTCTTCTATGACTTGTGGACTTCAACTCCCAGAATTCTGGGAGTCGAAGTCCACAAGTCATAACAAAGGCCCAGGTTCCCCACCCCTGCTTTGGAGAGAAACAATCCTTGAATAATCTTTTGTCACTTTCTCTTCCATCTCCCCCCACCAGTCCTAAACCCAAATATCCCCCCCCTTTTTCTAGGACAGGGAAGGATTTGCTGCCCCAAATTCTCCTCCTTCCATTTCAGAAGCCACCGGCATGGGACAGTTTGCAAAACTAAAAATATTTAAAATTTATTATTCCTTAGCCGTTAGAAAGGGGGGTCTTGGGGTGTCCCTCGTTGCTCCTCAGAGAAACTATCAATGCAGCAGCTTTTCAAAAACAGTCAGGATCTGAAGGATTAGATAGTCTGGGTTGGAGGCAGGAGGAGAGAAGCCCCTCTGGATGGGGAGCCTGAAATGAAGGGCTTGCTTGGACACAGACAGGCCCCAACTGACCAGCCCTTCCTGATCTGAGGAGGATTCAGGATTGTGAGGATGCCCAACCTGTTTTAAATTCACATGTTTCTCCTCTCAGGCAGACTTCAGTCTCCCTCACTGCTCAGCCCCACGAGGGGAAGGAGCGGGTTCTGGATCACGGCGGGTCCGATCCCCCCTCCTTCTGTCGAGAAAAGCTCTGATCTGTTTGAAATCTCCCCGGAACAGGAAGTGGATCTGGGGATCCCTCTCCCCAAAAGCTCCGAGAAGCCGCTGGGATTGTGGGGAGGAGCAGGAAGGAGGCCGAAGCCTTTGCCTTGGGAGACTGGGAAGGGCTGGGAGACCATACTGGAGGGTCTGGGCAGTGGGACTGTTTCTTTCCCTGGGCTGCGCAGGTCCTGTTCTTTCGCAAGTTAGGCCCAAATAAGTCCCGTGAAACGATCTTGAAAATGATTTTTAAAATCCTTGGTGCCCTGGCAGAATTTCTGATCTGAAGAGCTTTCAGAATGGACCCCAACAAGTACTGTAGCCTTGGAGATTTTCCAACTGAATTGATTTCCTAGGAGCATCTTATTTTCTTTTGATTATTTTAACAAGCTGTTGCTTTTTTTGTTCTTTGGGCGGCCTTAAGAGTCTCTTCCCTGTTTGTATTTTGACAATTAAAACTAAATCGTGATTTGATGTGTTTTTTTTTGTTTTTGTTTTGTATTTGTTACTAAAATTCAGCCTAGTTCACGGCTTGTGAATTTACTCTGTCCTCCAAGGCAGGGCTGAACAAGACTTTTGATGATCTTCGGTCAGGCGTTTGCAGGATAGAGGCTGAAATATTTTTATACATATTTCTTTGATTCACCAGGTAACAGGACTTTTGACAGGCAGGCTAGTTTAGGGAGAGGATCCCAGCTGAGCTCCCCCCTCCCCCACAAATGGGCATTGGCAGCAGGAACTTCCAAGCAGCCTCAGGGAGGGCAGGGGGTGAGGCCAGGCTGGAGAGGTCCCATGGGGTTCTGCGGGGTGAGGGGAATTCTGGGAATTGAAGTCCAAATGGCTGAGTCTGAGAAACTCTAATTTACATTGAGAGTCCCTGATCCTGTGAAGAATTGGACAGTCACGATCAACCCACCTCCCAAGCTGGCGGGGAAGCATTTCTGCCTTTCTTTGTGCTGACAAAGTACCTCAAAAGAGGACAAGTTTCAGAGAAGGTGAAGGAAGCGCTTGAGATTCAGAATAAATCTGGTTCCTTTCTGGCACCTGAGAATTGGGGTTTCAGACCCTAATTGGGTTGCTGCAATGAAGAAATCTCAGGATTCCCCCATTTTATAAAATCCCTCCCTCAGATCTGCACTTATTAGATCTGCCCTCAGTGAGGTCAGAATGGTTTTTTTGGTCTGTGAAGGGAAGGTTGGGGTGACCGGGTGGAGCTTCTGGTGGTGGAATCTCCCCTTTTCTTCCTGTGGGGCCACTGCAGCCTCCTCGGGGCAGAGACTGAGCAGTCCAGAAGGGGGTTATAGGGAGGCCTTGCTGGATGGGGGGGGAAGGGCACAGTTGGAAGGGATCACGGAAACTTTGGGGATCCTGCTCTCCCCCCCCCCCCAACCTCTCTGCTCCTTGGTCTCTCGGTCGCTTCCTCTTTTCACCCTCCGCTTTTTCTTTCTCTTCCATCACTTCCCCCTTTATTTCTTCTTTGCCCCTCTTGGTCTCTTCTTCCTCTGTCTTCCTTCCGGATCTGAAAATGGGGCCAGCTGTGTCCCAGAGCAACAGGGTCCCCCAGCAGGAGCCCCCTAACTCTGCCCCTCTGGGTCCATTCCAGGCGCCTCCTCGCACTCCATGAAGTATTTCTACTCCTTCATTTCGGAACCCAGTCAGGGGCTGCCCCAATTTGTCTCTGTGGGGTACGTGGACGGTCAGGTCTTTGCTTACTACGACAGCAACAGCCAGAGGGAGCAGCCTCGAGTCTCCTGGATGGAGGAGGTGGGGAAGGACGACCCCCAATACTGGGACAGAAACACCCAGATATCACGTGGCACTGAGGAGGCGTTCAGAAGAAACCTGGAGACTCTGAGGCGTCGCTACAATCAGAACGAAAGTGAGTGATGGGTCGGGTGGCTCCTCCTGCCCCATAATCCCCTCCCCAGGAACAGAAAGGGGGGGAGAGAGGGAGGGGGTCTTTTCAAAGGGAAAGGCTGCTTCCACACATTTTTAAAAAAGATTTTGTAATATATTTATTCTTTTTTTAAAAAATCAGTATAAGGTTGCCCTTGCCTCCATAACTGACACTTTCTGCGAATTGCAGTTAATGAAAACATATTTCAAGTTATCCCTCTATCTGTCTGAATATTGATAGGATATGGAGCTTGATAGAAACTGAGGTAAAAAGAGACCGCAATCTTCGCTCTGGCCTTGGTGACCTCCTGCCGTGGGGGAGGAAGGGAATCACAGGTTCCCCCCCCTTAAAAAAAAAGCAGGTGGATCTTAAGGAGATCCTGGTGGAAGCAGGTCCTCGTCCTTCTATCAGTTTTCACCCCAGAGAAATGAGGGATGAAGCGCAGATCCACCTGGGGAGACTAGATCCCCTTCTTCACCCCCTTTTTAGAGGGATGAGTGGGGCCCCAAATGCCAGGAGTTTCTTTTCACCCTCCAGTTGGAAGGAGAGGCCAAATGGGATGGGGGGCTCTTGGAGGGGGAGGCACAGGGCCTCTTCCAGCATCCTCCCAATCTTGAGGAGAAAAGGACAGAAAAATAAGAATGACGGGAAAAAAAAAACATTTTGGGGCACTTTCTGAGTCCCTCAGAGCCGTCATGGCTTCCCATCCTTGGTCCCTCAGGCTGAACTCCTGCGCTGCCCTCTTGGTGGGGCTGCCCTGGAGGGGGGAGGCCTTCTTCAGCAGCCCCCCCCACCTTCTGCCATCTTTGGGGCACAAGATTCACCTTCAAGGAACCTGATTTAGGGGAGAGATTGCAAGCAAATATCTGTGTCACCAGAGGCTGCTTTGGGCTGAGGTAAACCTTCTCCACAGACATCAGCCATTTTCCCTCCTTTCATCCCAAGGAGGGGCAGCCCCCCTTCTTCTGCCCTTTCCTTGCCCATCCCCCCCAGGCAGACACCCCAGAGATCTCCCTGTTCTGCCCCTGATCCCCAGGATCCCTCCAGATCCCTCCAGGCCCCCTGCTGGCCTCTCAGGGGAGCAGAGCTGGACCCAGAGGGCTCCCCCTGGTGGAGAAAGGGGGAAGGAGAGGGGCCAGAGTGGAGGGGAGCCTCTTTCCAGGCCAAACAGCCCCAAATGTCCCAACTTTTCCTCCAAGGGAGGCTGCTTCCACCCCCCCATCCTCTGGGTCGCCCCCTCTGGACCTTCCCCACCTCCCTCCTGCCCCTTTTGGGAGGTCTGGTGACCAGAACTGCCCACAATATTCCAGATGTGGTCCCTCCCTTGATTTATGTAAAGGCTTTCTGACATTAGCCTCTGTATTTTCAGTATCATTTTAATGATCCCTGACATACTGGTGGCCTTTTAAAAACTTTTATATAATTTATATAATTTTTATTAAAACTTTTCACCAAGAAGATAAAAACTAATGTAAAGGAGACAAAAGAAAGAAATCAAAGAAAAAAGAAAGCCATGAGAAGTGGCTTTTGATATTCTATTTTAACTTCTCTAAAGCAGCCTTCCTTAACCTTTTGACCCCGGAGGAACCCTTGAAACATTTCTCAGGCCTCAGGGAACCCCTGAACATCCAGGCTCAAAAATAGACCAGAATTGTTTAATGCATAGACCTGTAGAGATGCATTAACAATTAATAACTAAATAATAAAAGGTGAAACATGGTTTTCAATGTGATCCCTGTGCTTTTTTTGCTGCACAAATCCTGCTTTCTGTGCCAAACATGAGAGGAGCACACACAGATTTCATCTTCAACTGAAATAAGACAATTTCTGCCTTAGCTTTTGATGCCTGTGAAATAAGACAGAGCTTGTTCTCGTGTGTCAGAAGTTGAAAACTGCAGCCAGATTTTCAGTGCCTTCCTGTGAATGGCAGGAGATTCTTCTTGGGCAGAAATCCAGAATCTTTTTTTTTTCCCCTGAGCAGATCAGGGAATCTCCTCTGGGAGGGCAGGATCAGACTCAGCTCAGGAGGATCTCCCTCTCCCTCCAAAGGGAAGGTCTCAGGCTGAGCAGAAGCTGCAGAGAAAGGATCCCCTCACCTGGTCACTCATGGGTGTGGAAAGGGAGGAAAAGGACTGGTCAGTTTAGTTCACCTGTACTTTGAGAGTTTCTGGCATCCTTCCTCACTCTCAAGCCCAACCAGAAGTAGAAATATTTCAACATTTCCTTTTGTTTGTTTTTTTTTCAAACATTCAGTTTTCTTTTAAATCCATGAATTCAGTCACTTGAAGTTGAAAGATCTTCTCCAGGTCCTTGCTGAGCCTGTAAAGTTCAAACTCATTTCAAAGCTCAATAACCCTTTGGGGGGTGCAGATCAGATTGGGCCACTTTCTGATATTGCTAAGGAAAATATTCCTTTATGGCTCTTCAGGGCTTCATTCCCACACATTGCACTAAGCCATGGTTTGTTTTTGCTTAGTCCAAAATGGAAATCAGCCCTCCTCACTTGGTGCTGTTTGGGAACATAGACCAAGATTTATGGTCACAGAGATCCTTGCAAGCTTTTTTGCAGATCGACCAGATCCTCTTTGAGGCCATGAGATTGTCAGTCCCTCTTTGCAGCTGCAGATTCAGGCAAATGTTCCCTCTCTGGGATCCTTTCCTTTCCCCCCAAGAATCTCCTCAACAGAGGAATGGCATAAGGAAAGAAGAGAGAGGCTCCATCCCTCCGTTTCTTCTGCTCCTTTTCTCGGTCTCCCTCGGGATCCTCCGCTGGTTTTTCCAGCTTCCCTTTTCCTGGGGAGGTTCAGGGGCTCCATCCTGGGGGGGGGGGGAATGCAGAGAGGCAGGTCGAGGGAGGGGAGAAGGGCAGGTAGTGATGGGGGCTTTCTTTCCCTTGAATGCGAGGGAGAAAAGGGGGGTGTCAGTGCCTGTGTCAAAGTCCCTTCAGGGAAGTGGGTCTGTGTCTATTTTGAGGACTCCCTGAACCATCATCTTGTCCCTATTTCAGGCTTTCACATAATACAATGGATGTATGGCTGTGAGCTCTATGCTGATGGGAGAAAAGGAGGATTTGATCATTATGGCTACGATGGGAGGACCTTCATCACCTTCGACAAGGAGAGACTCACCTGGGTGGCTCTCCAACCCGAGGCCCAGATAACCCAGAGGAAAGTGGATGCTATTCCAGGATTGAATCAGAGAAAGAAGGCCTACCTGGAGGAAGAATGCATTGAGTGGCTGGAGAAGCACCTGTCCTACGGGAAGGAGACGCTGCTGAGGACAGGTGATTCTGTGGATCCAGGCTGGACTTTCCTCCTTTAGGGTTGGATTTTTTGGATAGGTTTGTCCCTTTTGGGTCCCTAATGTAGAGCCTGACTGCCCTGGTAGGAATCCTCCTCCTCCCCTCCCAGCACCTCTCCAGAATGTGGAGAGTCATTAAATAACCAGAAAATGCAGTGTTGACTTGCCAGGTGTCTGGCAGAAGCACTTTGGGATGTCCCGTTCACAACAACAATTCAGCAACCAGGCCACTTTGAGTTCTTCGGTGAATCCACCATTAGCCCAAACGGAGCCTAGTGTGATGTGTGGCCTTCATCTTCTCCCAGCAGGGGGCTCCCCCTTCCTTGCATCTGATGGTGCACTTCTCACCGGCACCATTAGGGGGCACCAACTATTAATAGAATATTATCAGTGCCTCCACTTGGGCAAAAATGGGCAAGGTTAAGGGGGGGAACCCCACAGTTCCTGTGGGGATTTTTGTCTTATACCTCAAAAATAGCTTCCTTATCTTTGACTTTAGTGGCTTCCCCAGAAAACAATCCTTTCCTCACCCTCAGGAACACATCCTCATCCCATAGGGCTCCCTGCTCATATTGTAATATTTTCCCCTTTTTCCTTTCCTGTGAGATTACTTTCCAATCAAGATCAGCCCTGCCCCTTTCTCTCTGGGCTCCTTGATCCTTCCTTGATCAACTGGATCAGCTGGGGGAGATCAGGCACCATGGGGGGATCCCGCTCCCCAAATTGCCAAAAGCCCCCCTTTTCCATTGGCATCCCCTCTCTCTAACCTCCCTTTGAGACACAGAATCTCTTTTCCACATTAACCAGGGTGAGATTCCAAAAGCCCCGAGCCTCTTGCTTTGATTCTCATTCTCCCCCTCTTAAAGGTTTTGCCATAGGCCAGTGATGGTGAACCTTTTAGAGACTGAGTGCCCAAAATGCAACCCAAAAACCACTTATGCATCGTTGAGTACCGGGTGGGTGTGGCCAATTGGCTGGGTGTGGCCCATTGGGTGGACATGGCTTCGGTAGTAACAGCAGACTGGGTGGGACTAAAAAGTTCAATCAATCAATCCCAAGTTTTCAAGATCTTTTTTTTTCCCACGAGAAGTTGAAATTGACTGATTGAACTTTTTTTTTTTTTTTTGCACATGGTGGCGGAGGCCTAAAGCGAAAAGGTTTTATAAAACCCAGCTGAAGGCCTAGGACTGGGGTGACAGTGCGCGTGCCCACAGAGAGGGCTCTGAGTGCCATAGATTCGCCACTACTGCCATAGGCTAAATAAGTAAATAATCCTGAAATTGTGATTGTGTCCCTTGGAAAGGGTCCTAGAACAGCCTCTGATTTGGAGAAGTGGACTCCAAAAGTAGTGAGAAACATCTGTGTGGTCTTTTTTTTTTTAAAAAAGAAACTCCTAAAGGGCAGCTCCACTTTCCCTCCCCTGAAGGAAACAATCCAAGATCACTCAGAGTTCAAAGCAGCCAGAGAGGAATTTTCTTGGACCCTCAATTTGCTGCTGGAGGCTTTTCAGGCTGAGTCCCTGGGAAGGATTCAGAAACAGGAGTTCTTGCGGTTGAGCATTTTCCAGATCTGAAGCATTTCCTAAAACTCTTGAAGACGCTGCAGGTGTAGGGTGGGAAGTAGTGGGAGACTTTCCTGCCCCTCCAAGTTTCCCCTCCACCTTCCAGGCTTTGAAGGGGTTTAGAATTAATTTGGGGGGGGGGGCGTTTTCTGCAGAGATCCCAGTGGTGACCATGAGCAGCAGGACAGAATTGGACGATGGGATGCAGATACGTGTCTGCCGCCTGGATGGCTTCTACCCCAGGGAGATCGAGGCCTCCTGGACAAGGGACGGGGAGGTCTGGCTGCAGGACACCTTCCGTGGGTCTGTGGCCCCCAACGCGGATGGGACCTTCCACGCCTGGCTCAGCATCCAGATTGATCCCAAAGAGAGGGGCCGCTATCGGTGCCACGTGGAGCACGACAGCCTGCAGGAGCCTCTGGACGTGGTCCTGAAGGGTGAGACGCTGCAGGGAGGGAAAGGCTGGGCTCTTGGGCAGGCTGGAGGGTTGTGGGAGGGAAATCTGACCCCAGCTGTGTCCAGATGTGAGCATACTTGAGCTTTAAGCCATTGGTTTTTCCACTGTAGAAGGTGGTGGTGGACCTGCAGGAATTGGTTCATAGAATTGGCTTCAGATGATATAAAGAAAGCAACAGATCCCATCACAAGAGTTGGGCAATCCTGATGAAGTGCCCTTAAATCCTACCTTAGCCTTTCTTTCCCCCGTTTCCTACCTGCAGCAGCGGAGTTATGCCGAGCATAGATACACTCTTGTTTAATTTTAGATTTGTTACAAAAATCAGGAGGTGTCTGGTAGCCCCTATTTTGAGCACCAAATTGTGTTAAAGGTGCAAGGTTTGGGTGGAGGATACCTGGCTGGCTAAAAAACATTTTGTAATAGCGGTTGATAGGAGACTGGATAGGAGTCAGAAGCATAAAGTATACACATGCCTGTGCGTGTGTGTATGTGTGTGTGTATGTATATCCAATGTTGAAGGTAATTTTCTCCCTGTCTTCTGCCCTGATCCTCAAAGAGAATGTCCAGCCCCATCAATGCAGATTCAGAGTCATTGAAAAAGCTCCAATTGAGGTTGATCTGGGACTGGAAACTGAATCCTCTGGATATGAATAGAAGATATGAATTACCCTGTTTAGCCTTCAGAAAAGAGTGATGGAGATGTGACGGAGGGGAATATGTGATGGGCCTTCCCTGGAATCTTCCCCGTGTAGGCGTTACCTCCGCAGAGGCTGCCAAAAACCAGGCCGTCCCAGCCCCGTCCCCCTTTATCAAGCCCTGCAGTAGTGTTCTCTAGGGGTTGATAAGATGTCTCTTCCAGCCAGAGCTCATGCAGAGTTAGGAGGTAGCAGGCTCTTGTCAAGAAGGGGCTTCCAGGAATGAAATAACCAGCCACAATAGTCAACGTTATGATGATATCCACAGCCCAAGGCAGTTATAGCAGCAGGAATAAAGGATTCCTCAGCGATCAAATGGGATTTATTTATTTATTTATTTATGAGACTTATATACCGCTTTAAGTGCAAGCACTCTCTAAGCGGTGTACACCAGTAAGCAATGTATATATATATTTACATTGCCCCCAACAATCTGGGTCCTCATTTTACCTACCCCGGAAGGATGGAAGGCTGAGTCAACCTTGAGCCGGTGAGATTTGAACCGCTGACCTGCTGAACACAGTCAGCTAAAGTAGCCTGCAGTACTGCACTCTATGGATGGAGGAAAACCCCGGCTCCAGACGGTAGTAGAAACAACAACAGTCACTGTGCTATAGCAATAGCTCGCCCCCCAGGGCAACTCTCCCCACAAAGTTAAAAACCTGTACCAGTAGCAATAGTCACAGTCCAAATAGCCTCCAGGCTTTGCAGCAACAGTAGCCACCACCAGTCCCTCCTCTCCTTCTGTTGCTTCTTCTCAGTCAGGTCTCGGCGTCAAAGCCCTCCCCCCCTTTATCTTTATTGTTAAAATCCGAGGCTAGGAGCCTCAGCCAACTCCTTTCTACACACTCTCCCTTGCCTCCATTTGAGATATCCCCCTTCCGAAGGAAGCAATAAAACTCCACTCTCTCTCTCTCTCTAGCCTCTGTTTAAAATATCCTCCTTAGGAAGAAAAGCAAATAAAACTTCCATTCCCTCTTTACCGTCACCTGACGAACTGCAACAGCCACCCCGTCCCTTCCCTTCCCTTTTCTGTCTTTTTCTTCCGCCCACACCGGCCACACCCAAAGCCAGCAGCAGCTGTCCCAATCTCTCCCCAACCAAGCTCCTGCAAACACTCTCAGACAGCCTCGCTACACTCCTAATCCCAGTGTGTGTGTCACAAGAGGATTCCCACATCCTGGGTTTCTTTCCTGGCAAGTGAAAAGCTCCTTATGCAAAGGCTGAAACAATTTCTATCCTGATGACTGAGAGTCTTTGAAGGAAGGATTATTTCCCCTCTTCTCCTCTAGGGGGACAGACCAATCCTACAAGAGGTAAAGAAAATGAAAACTATACTTAAAACATAGATAGGCGATATGAATCCTTTCATTTTTAAATAATAAGATGCAAATATTCAAGCTTAAAGATACCATTAAGCATGCAGTATTGCAAGCTAACGCACTGCGCACTCCAGGAGATCGATCCTGACCAGCTCACGGTTTACTCAGCCTTCCATCCTTCTAAGGTCGGTAAAAGTAGGGAACCAGATTGTTGGGGACAGTATGCTGACTCTGTAAACCTCTTAGAGAGGATTGTAAAGCACTGTGAAGCGGTATATAAGTCTAAGTGCTATAATGCTATTGCCCTCCCTCCCCTTCAGGGAAGAGCCCAAGATCACCCAGAGTTCAAAGCAGCCAGAGAGGAATTTCCTTGGACCCTCAATTTGCTGCTGGAGATTTTTCAGGCTGAGTCCCTGGGAAGGACTCAGCATCGGGAGTTCTTGTGGTTGAGCATTTTCTAGATTTAGAGCATTTCCTGAAACTCTTGGGGACACTGCAGGTGTGGAGTAGGAAACAGTGGGAAATTTTCCTGCCCCTCCAAGTTTCTCATCCACCTTCCATGCTCTGGAGGGGCTCAGTGTTAATTCCGTGGTTTCTGCAGACCCCCCCATGGTGACGGTGAACAGGACGGTGGTAGAGAATGGGATGGAAATCCACGTCTGCCACATGGATGGCTTCTACCCCAAGAAGATTGATGCCTCCTGGAGGAGGGACGGGGAGGTCTGGCAGAATGACACCCTCCATGGGTCTGTGGCCTCCAATGCAGATGGGACCTTCTACACCTGGCTCAGCATCAGGATCGATCCGGAAGAGAGGGGCCGCTATCGGTGTCACGTGGAGCACGACGGCCTGCAGGAGCCTCTGGATGTGGCCATAAAAGGTGAGAAGCTGCAGGGAGGGAAAGGCTGGGCTCTTTGTAGCTGAAGGATTGTGGGAAAGTAATTTTCTGGCAGAAATCTGACTCCAGCTGGGCCCAGATGTGAGCATACCTCAGCTTTAATCCATTAGTTTTTCCATAGTAGAAGTTGGTGAGTCTGCAGGGACCAGTCTATACAATTAATTGGCTTTATATGATGTGCAGGAAGCAACAGGTCCCATCACAATACTTGGCCAATCTTGATGCAATATTCTTAGATCCTCTCTTATAGCTTCTGTTCCTCCTGTTTCTTGCCTCCAGCAGAGAAGCACCGGTTATGTTGAGCATAGATTTACTTTTTTTCGTTTTAGATTTGTTATAATAATCAGGAGGTGGTCTGGTAGTCCCTGTTTTGAGTACCAAATTTTGTTAAGATTTGTGAACTGCAGCTGATGTCATCAAATGGATAAAGTGGCTGGACTGATGCATCAGTACTTAGACAAGGGGCTGCTGGTCTCATTTTTCTCCCATCAGAAAGTAGCACAGCTTTCTCCTTTTACAGTGCAACATCCTTCACTTGGGAAACAAAAATGAAAGATGCAAGTGTTGAGTGGGGGATACTTCGCTTTTGACAGAAGACCAGATATGCGTCAGAAGCATAAAGTGTATACACATTCACACAGAGAGACACACACACAGACACAGACACAGACACACACACACACACACACACACACGCAGGTCTTGGCGTATTCGGGTCTTTTCCCATGTAAGATTGAGAGTATCTTGGCGCCCTTTCGACGGGGTCCCACTCGTCATCTTCAGGCTGGGGTCTTCGGCTTCGTGCTTGTGCGAGCAAAGTGTGATCGGAGCTGCCGTCTCTCTATAAATATTGGTGGGGGTGTGTGGAGTGCTGGCTTAGTTGCTGTAGGTGGGTTGGTTGGCTGTGTTGGAGTTATTGTTTGTGGATTGTTCGGCTGTTTCGTAACATCCTGAGTAGCTGAGGTGCTGGCTGTGTGCCCATTAGTCTTTTGTGTTGTAACGACCTGGGTAATGGGCTGTGTGGTGACATCCTGAGATCTAGTGTAGTGATATCCTGAGTTCTGTGTTGCAACATCCTGGGTGGTTGGCTGTATTGTAACATCCTGAGCTTTACAACGCAGCTCCAATCACACTTTGCTCGCACAAGCACGAAGCCGAAGACCCCAGCCTGAAGATGACGAGTGGGACCTCGTCGAAACGTTGCCAAGATACTCTCAATCTTACATGGGAAAAGACCCGAATACGCCAAGATCTGCATATCTGTACCCGTGAAAATCTACGATATATATTGGACAAGCCCCATTAATATAGATTCAGAATAATCGACAAAAAACTCCGACTGAGATTGATCTGGGACAGGAAACTGACTCTTCCTGACAGAACAATTAATCAGTGGAACAACCTGCCTCCAGAAGCGGTGAATGCTCCAACGCTGGAAGTTTTTAAGAAGCGACTGGACAGCCATTTGTCTGAAATGGTATAGGGTTTCCTGCCTGAGCAGGGGGTTGGACTAGATGACCTCCAAGATCCCTTCCAACATCATCATTATTATTAGCCAGTTTAGTCTTCAGGAAAGAGTGATGGAGATGAGGGGTGGGATATGTGATGGGCCTTCCCTGGAGTCTACCTCCTAATCCCGGTTTGTGTGTCACAAGAGGATTCCCACATCCTGGGCTACCTTCCTGGCAAGTTAAAAGCGCCATATGCGAAGGCTGAAACAATTTCTATCCTGGCCAGATGACTGAGAGTGTTTGAAGGAAGGATTAGTTCCTTTCTTCTCCTCTAGGGGGACAGACCAATCCTACAAGAGATAAAGAAAATGGAATTCTATTCTTAAAACACAGATAGACGTTATCAGTCCTTTCATTTTCTAATAATAAAATGCAAATTTCCAAGCTTAAAAATATAAGACAGAACTGCCTGATTCCACCCAGAGTCATGACATATTGGGGCAAACTATAAAAAGAACCAAAACAAAAAAACATTTTAACGTTTCACAAAAAATGTTCATATTTCGTTGTGGAAGTTTTTATTTCTATAAGCAGCTGAGCCAAGATTTCAAACGGCTGCTTTTTTTTTTTTCTGATCAAGTAAAGATGAATGTCAGCTATCTTCATGCTGGGCTGGGCTGAGACAAAGGCAGCAAGGCAGCATCACTTCCTCTAACAATGGTTGCTGGAATTGGGTATGTCCAGTTTAATGAAGAGAAGGACGGGGGGGGGGGGACATGATAGCAGTGTTCCAATATCTCAGGGGCTGCCCCAAAGAAGAGGGAGTCAAGCTGTTCTCCAAAGCGCCTGAAGGCAGGAAAAGAAGCAACGGGTGGAAACTAACCAAGGAGAGAAGCAACCTAGAATTAAGGAGAAACCTCCTGACAGTTAGAACAATTAACCAGTGGAACAACCTGCCACCAGAAGCTGTGGGTGCTCCATCAATGGAGTCTTTTAAGAAGGGATTTGTCCAGAATGTTATGGGGTCTCCTGCTTGAGCAGGTGTTGGGACTGGAAGACCTCCAATGTCCCTTCCATCTCTGTCATTCTTTTATTCTATTTCTGCCATTTGTGGGGCTGTCCAGAAGTTGGATATCGCGATCTTATATTTTTTTTATGCTGAAGTTCTGGAAGTACAAAATATCAATTTTTTTTTGCTATTTCTGGACTGGCCAAAGAATATGCAAGTATATACTTTAAAAAACGATAGTTGATATGAACTCTTTTCCTTTAAAATAATAAAATTCAAACACTCAAACTGAAGAAAAAAGGAAGCCTGCAGAGCTATCCAATTACACTCAAGAGTCATCACATACAGGAGCAGCCTACAGAAAGAACAAAGACATTTTTGTTTCACAATTTTTTTTTTAAATATGATCTCAGCTGCCTTCATGCTGGGCTGGGGAGAGAAGAAGGCAGCATCAGGAGGACACGTCCTCTAACGGTGGTTAGCAAGGAGCCCTCATGCTACAGTTAGAGGCCTACGAAGAGAGCCAGCCCCGTAGACTTTTTAATTCGAGGAATTTGCATTCCTTTGACTGAATTGAGACTCTCCTTTAATTGGGATGATTGTTTGGGGTTCTCCTTCAATTATCTACTCTTTCTCCCAATTCAGAACCAAAATCCAACCTGGGGCTCATCTTCGTCTACATTGTGACTGTTCTTGTCCTGCTGGGTGTGATTGTTGTTGGGATCTGGTTTTTCAGTAAGTATCCTTTTCTGGGTGATGGAAGGAAGATGGGGAGGTTCCTCCCAAGTCTCTCTCTCTTTGCGGAGCTTCTTCCGGGCTTCCTCCTGTCCTGTTTTCCCAGCCCTCTTGGGGAGCCTCTGAGATCTCGGCCTCTTGCTGGGACTCCAGTCTTGACTTGGCGGAGTCTGAGGTTGGGACAATCCCGTCTTCTTCTGAGCTGGAAAGAGGCATCCCAGTTCCGTCCCTTTCAAAGGCTTCGGTGGAAGAGCAGCAGAGAAGGATTTCCATGAAAATCTTCCTCCCCTCCCAACTGCTGCTACTTCCCCCAATTCCCCTCCTTCCAATTCAGAGGAGCAGGTCTCCCTTGGAGTAAATCAGAGGATGTGCTTGGAGTCTGAAGGTCTTCCTGTGACGGTTAATGAGAGTAGCCAGGAGAGGCTGTGTCTAAACAACTGTAAAAACCTCTCCTAGCGCTCTTCCTCTTACAGCAGGGGTGTCAAACTCAATTTCATTGAGGGCCGCATCAGCATTGCAGTTGCCCTCAGGGGGCTGAGTGGGTGTGGCCAGGGTGGGTGCGGCCATTGGGTGTGTGTGGATGGAGTAGGTGTGGCCTACTGGGTGGGTGTGGCCAGCTCTACATTGTTCATGTCAAGGGTGCCTGTGGGGGCCTGGGCAGGAGTGGGACAGATCTGAAGGTCTCTGGAAGAAGGGGGTGGGAGCCTGCCAAAAGCCCCATTCTGCAAACGGTGCTGCAAGTTGTCTGCAGCGAAGGCGAGCTGTCTGGAAGTTTCCACCCCTCCCTGCTGAGCAACTACTAAAAATGTAAGTAAAAGAGGGCCAGGGGTGGGAGGTGGGACGCCGGCGGGCGCAGGGAGGGTTGCTGGCGCGCGTGGGGCCCGGCGGGTGCCTTACCTCCCTTGGGCTGGGCCAGCTGGTGGCCCAGCCGGTGGTCACCCTGCGCCGTTGCTGCCCCTTGCTAGCTACGCCTCGGCCGGTGCAGGGGGCGGTACCACGCATGCGTGGTGCTCCCGGGCAGGGAAAGTCCTCGACTTACGACCGGTTGGATAGTCCTCGACTTACGACCGGTTGGGGGTTGCGGCATTAAAAAGGTTGAGAACCACTGTAATACACCTTCCATGTGTTCCCTCTGTGTCTGGTTCTGGAGAATGCAGAATAGATTGGGTACAGTTTGGCTTCATAGTGAAGGCACCTGGCAGAATCCAGGAGACAGTGAGTTCTAGCCCCATCTTATTCATGATGAACTGGCTGGGTGGGACAAGTCTTTCTCAACCCAACTCACCTCATAGGGTTGTTGTTATGGGGAAAATAGGAGAAGGAAGGACTATTAGTTAAATTCACCCCCACTGCAAATGGGGAATGGCTAGTGCCTGCGTGATATCCATTAGCCCTGCCCCATTCTTGCATGGTGCAGCCCCTTGTCTCTGTACCCCAGGGCATGGCGGCGGCCATTTTTGCACCTTGCAGCACAGTGGCCCATTTTTGCACCCCGGTTTTTGCGTGCAGCACTCAGAGGCGCCTTCCTGACCCCCCGAGGGCACTCAGAGGCGCCTTCCTGACCCCCCGAGGACACCACAATACTGATGCGGCCCTGGCATTTTGCGATAAATAAATGGGTTTTGGTAAAAAGAACAGAAAGGTGGTGGTGGGGGGAAATAAATAACTTTACTCGGAAGGAAGTCAGAGAAAGGATAGAAAAATCTATTGAGATTGTGTCTCAAATTGATACTGTCTACCCCAGTGGTTCTCAACTTTTTTAATGCCGTGACCCCCCCCCCCAACCAGTCGTAAGTCGAGGACTACTCAACTGGTGCAGTACCGTTTGCAGAATGGGACTTTTGGTGGGCTCAGCAAGGCAGAGACAGCCTGGACAATTCCTATTGGCTTTTGAAAGCCAATAGAATTAGACGCTATTCAAGAGAGTCTATTCTGTTGGCTTTCAAAAGCCAATAGAATAAAAAGGAGTAGCACAGCTAAGGAAAAGGGGGAAAAAAATGGCGGACTGCGTTGTTTGGCGACCCCCGTGAAATGGTCGTTCGACCCCAAATGGGGTCCCGACCCACAGGTGGAGAACCACTGGTCTACCCTTTTATGGCTGCTTTTCCACCTTTGGCGCTTTAGAGCCCCTCAGCTCTGGAGAGGGACATAGGAAAACCAACAGCGATGCCATGAGCCCCAGTGGTTAGAGCAGTGGTTCTCAACCTTTCTAATGCCGTGACCCCATAATACAGTTCCCCATGTTGTGGTGACCCCCAACCACTTATACATCACCGGGTGCCAGGGGTGTGGCCAAAGGGGGGAAAAATGGCGGACAGCCTTGTTTGGCGACCCCCGTGAAATGGTCGTTCGACCCCAAATGGGGTCCCGACCCACAGGTTGAGAACCAGTGGGTTAGAGACTGTTCTGGTGGCACAGCCTGGTCTCCTCGGAGAATGTCTTGAACTTGCAGAGATTGAATGGCGAAGAGAGAGATTTGTCCTCCTCAGAGGACCCGAACAAGGCAGAGACTCACTCCCATGTCTTTTTCTCCAATACAGGGAGAATCCGTGGTTAGCAGCCCCCCCTCACAGGTGAGTGGCCCCTGCTGGAGGTTGTGTGGAGGGGAGGAGGAAGGGAGGGGAGGGATTTGAGGTTGAAGGACCAGGTGATGGTGAAAATACTGTTGAGAAAAGTATTGGCATTGGAGCTGTGGGGAAGGTCTGCCTGTTGTCCACCTTCTTATTCTTCAAGGCCAGATTGTGGCCCCTCTCAAGATCTGACTGTCTTGAATCAGGAGGTCCAGAGACCTACAAAGAGGAGATTGGAGTGTCCCCGGTGCAAAGGGGAAGGGAGGGAGGAGGCAGAGGAGGGACTTCCTGAGGGTCTTCTGCAGTCATGGATGGAGAGGGGGCTTCTCTCCCCTCCTTAAGCCCATCTGCGAATCCCTCCCTCCAGATACTGAAGGGAGACCTGGACTCTCTGGAGGCCATGAACCCATTTGAGATTGTCTGGGGGAGGGGGCAACATAAATTAAAATTGGATATGCGTATTTGAGGAGAGGCATCCAGACTTGTGGGGCAGGTTCTCACCCACCTCAGGAGCCAGTTCCCAGCCCTGTCCCTCCCCTCTTGTAAATCCCACACGGCTGATCCCTCCCTAGAGGCTGCTGCTTCTGCTCCTTCCCTGAGCTGATCTTTGCTGATCCCTCAGCCTGGACGGGTGATTCCTCCTCTTGGCTCCCTCTCAGACTGACCCTGCCTGCTTTTTCCCTCCATTTTGCAGCCCAAGTGGACCATCCAGCATGAGGAGAGAGGAAAGAAGAGGGCAATCAGGCTTCATTTTCATGTGGAACCAGGATATATTTTGGAATTTCCGTCACTGCTGTTACCATTGAATCAGTGACTTTGTTTTGTTATGATTGAGGAGCCGAGAGGCCTGATGTTATCTCCTTTTTCCCACAATGGATTTAACACCTGGGATTGGCCTGTTTGGGCTGGCGTTGGGGTTAGGGCGGGGTTGGGGTCAGGATTGGGGTTATCCCCCAGTAACATTTTCAGTATTTAGCAAACAGAATATTTTCTGGGCACATATATTTAAATAACAATAATTCATATAATAGATAACAATAGTAAATACGATTAAGTTATCATAAGCAGTATTAATTAATCAATCCATAACATCCTTCTTACTAATATGTATTCAGAATTACATATCACATTCTTTTCTCTCCAATTCGTTTTTCATTGATAAAAGTTATCCCATGTTCTAAGGTAAACTGAGTCTTCTTTCTCTTTAATCTCTAAAGTCAATCTATCCATTTCTGCACATTCTAGAATTTCTTTGATTAATACTTCTTCAGTTGGTAAGTTTTCATTTTTCCAATGTTGGGCGAATACAATTCTTGCTGCCGTTAGTACATGTAGTATTAAATATTTGCAATCTTTCTCATAATTAGCTCCTATTATTCCTAACAAAAATAATTCTGGCTTAAAATTTATTTGTTTTTTAAGTCATTTTCTCCAACCTTAAATGTATTTTAACCCAAAATCTTTTTGCTGTAGGGCATGTCCACCAGATATGATAATAAGTACCTGGTCTTTGCAGTTCCAACAGTTGTTTGAAGTATTTTTAAACATTTTTGCTTATCTCACTGGTGTCATATGCCACCTGTGAAACATTTAATATAAGTTTTCTTTATATGCCACTGCTTTAATTAATTTCATATTTATTTCCCATAACTGTTGGACCTGATTTGCAATTTGAGGAATTGAGGAATTTAGTTTGTGACTGAGAGATGTGGAGAAGTATTTGGTTTATGATAAAAGATCAGAAAGAATACAAATATAAGAAACTCCAAGATTATTCAAAATGGATGTTGCAGAGATATTTACAACAGAGACTTATGAATTTTAGAAATGAGATGCAATTATTGGTAAAGTTCCTAATTAAAATCCTAAGGAAAGGATTCACTATTAAGAATCAAACATGGCCCAGAATTTGAGGGAAAATTTTTATAAAATGTTTTATAGATGGCATCTGGATCCTAAAAAGCTGTCCTGTATGTACCCGAACCTGCAACCTAAATGTTGGCGATGTGGTTGCTTGGATGCAACCTATTTTCATGTTTGGTGGACATGTAAAGTTATTAAAGCCTTCTGGATTATGATTTGGTGGAACATTCAAAAGGTTTTTAAAAGGAAGATTAAGTTTACTCCCCAACTGTTTTTTTTGGGAATTTTTGTGGATTTTAATGTTAAAGAAACTATTTTAATGTTGAATTTAATAACAGCAGCAAGATTACTGGTGAGTCAATATTGGAAGAAGGATGCTCTGCCTTCTTTAGAAGAATGGGTATTTAAGGTTTCTAATTTAGCAGAAATGGCTAAAATTTCTGCTTACTTAAAGGACCATTCACAAGAGAGATATTTTAATGTATGGAGAAGATGGATAGAATATGTTCAGAAGAAATATGGAACTACAAAGTTTCACTTATTCTATGAGTAATGATTTTGTTTATAAACTTATGATGTTAAAGTTTGAAGAGAGTTAAGGGTTTTTATGATATTGTTTATTGTATAATTAGTAAGCTTAAATAGATTATGTTTAATATGTTTGCATAATCCTGTATTTTGCTCTGGGAAGTCGCGGGGGGTGGGGGGTGGATGGGTTGAAGTTTAAGTAGTTCAGATAAAGTAGAAATAGTTTTATTGTATATAATATTAATGTTTTAATTTTGAGAGAGGAACTGCTCGGGCATTTCCCCTGGACCGCATCAAGAGGGAGGAGAAGAAGGTGAGAAGTAAGTAGGAAGGTGGAGGTGAAGGAGGAGAGGGGGTGAGTGAAGAAAAAGAGGGAAAGAAGTAAGTTGGTTTGAGGTGGGATGCGGTTTGGGGGGGAAATGGGCGGGCAAGACCGAATGCGGTGTCTATCAATTTGTTTTGTTTTTTATCTGAAGTATTTGTAAGATCGTTATGTATTGTAAAATTGAAAATAAAAATTTTTACAAAAAAAAGAAAAAGAAAAAATCAAACATGAGTATTTGACTCTGGACTCAGAGATAATGATCGGAGTGATTTGTGGCAAATAAGAATTTGTGCAGACTTTCTATGAATAAATTATAATAACAGACTGTTAATTTCACATATGTAATGTATGATAGGTCAATTAGGTTGCAAATAGATAGAAAAGATTATAAATTTTGGACCCCTTTTGCAAGGGGGAAAAGCTATTATTGTTGCAGTAGAGTGTTCAACTAAATGTTCAAACTGCCAGCCCACGAGCTGGATGTGTCATGAGGAAACTGCGCCCGGCAATGGGGAAAAAGCTCTGATACGTCGTGCGACATCGCCAGTTTGACATGTCTGAACTAAGGGGACATAGTATATGTTGTTCTCTTTTTTTAATTGAATATTTTTTGCAATGGTTTGGTTTAGTTTTGTTCTGTCTCTATTCAATTCTTTTCTTTTGGATTTTGGATTTTATTTGGAATAAAATAAAATGGTGAATTCTAAGAAAAATGGAACAGGAGGTCTACAGTTTGGCCTGGCTGCTTCCCCACTAACCGTCGCACACATATTGTAAGAATACGGAAATTGTTTGCTGAAAATAAATAGCTTTGCTTTCTTCTTACCTGAGTTGCTGCCTCTTATTGGAACTTGGAAATAGCAAGGATTTTTCCCTCCTTGTTGCTCAGAGACCCCAATTTCACATTGAGTGGTAGGAAGGGGAGGAACTAAGGCAAAACCTGGAAGGAGCAAGAACTGTGGGGAGAGGCTCTCCTCTGTGCTCCTTGGGGAGGAGGCAGCCATTTTGCTTCTGGGTCCAGATCTTTTCTCCAGCATCACCAGCTGATCTTCTGCAAAATGGCCGCTTGGTCTTGGCTTGGTGGGGGTAGCAACAGAGGCGGCTTTTCCCTCAGATCCACCTTTGCCTCAAGCTGAGGGCCGAGTGGCTGGTCTCTGGGCCTCCTCAGGGGCCCTTTGGGAGATGGGAGCTCAGGGACCAGCCGGAGCCCTCCTGGCCCCCTTGCAGGAGGGCAGCTTCTCCTGCCTCTGAGAGGTCCTCTCTGGGCTCTTCAGGGGCCCAGTCGGATGCCCCGGCCCAAGAGTGGGGAGAGCCTTCATTGATGGGAAAGAGGTCCCCCATATTATAGTGGATGCTTTCTGGATGAGGAGTGAAAAGCATTGGGACTTTCCCTCCCAATTCCTTTTGGGGTGTCCCGGATGCCTTCAAGAGCGGCCATCTTTGAGAGCCTAAAAAAGCAGGTGTGTCCAACCTACAACCCGTGTGTCATGCCTCCGTCCGAGCCTGACTCTGAGGACCACATGGAGTTCCCTGTTGAGGCCCAGGAGGGGGTGTCTGTGGCTTTGGAGGACTGTGGGGAGGAGCAGGCTGAAGCAGGCCAGGGCCCTTCAAGTTTGGAACAGGGAAAGCAGAGCTCAGGCGAGGAGCAAGGCCCCTCCCCACCAGATCCCAGAGCAAGAGCAGAGAGGAGGAGAAGAGCGTCACGCCCCACTTCACAAGGCACACCTGGGGAGTAGGTATTTAAGGAGACGCTGTGGGGTGGGGCATTTGCCGGGAACAAACGTGAACTCTTGTGATGTGAGCTCTTGTACCTGGACTCTTTGTATTTTGGATCAAGTTTGTTTCCTGCTGCGTTCTCCTTGCTGTCTTCAGTTTTGCAGTTTGCAGGTTACAGCCAAGCTGGGCGTTGAAAAGATCATACTTCGTTTGTTATCTGTTTTACTTTAAAGAACTGTTTAACTCCGTTGACTGTTTTATTGAACTTGTGCCAACATCTGTGAGGGCTGTTGGCTGAAGGTTGGCAGTGCTTTACAAAGACAATTATTCTGACCAGCTAATTGCTTTGCTTCTGTTCGGGGCCCTGGGTCACCACACTGTGAGATACGTTCAGCCTTGGTCAACCAGTAACGCAGCCCCACAAAATGCTTAATGTTATAATAAACAATATAAAAATTATAGAAGTGTATATTAACTATATTATATAATTTACTGTATATGCAGCCCAAGACCATTCCTTTTCACTCAGTGCTGCCCAGGAAAGCCAAAAGATTGGACACGCCTGCTTTAAAGTATTTTGCGAGAATTCAGTCAATATTTTGAGTGTCTTGTAACGATTCAAAAGTTTTAGAAATGTATTTATTTATGACTGGCCAGCATGTCTTGAAAATGCCACAAGAGCCTTTGAGCATTTTCATCCAGAGCGAAGATCACTCAGAGTTTCTGACCTGCAACATAAAATCGTAGGGCTGGGAAGGACCTCAGAGGTCATCCAGTCCAACCTCCGGCTTAAGGCAGGAGAATTTATACCATCCTGGGCGAAAGGTTGTCCAGTCTATTTTTGAAAAACCTCTCCCCCACAACGCTGGGAGGCAAACTGTTCCATTGATTAAATGTTCTCACTCTTAGAAAATGTCTCCTTACTTCTAGATTGGATCTCTGTTTAACAAGCTTCCATCCACCCATGGCTGCTTCTTCTGCCTTCTGGTTCTTTGGAGAAGAAGTCGATCCCCTCTTCTCTGTGACAGCCCCTCAAGTCCTGGAAGACACGCACACACACACACTCCTTCACTGCGATAGCTAGAAATATTTTCCTCAGTCATCTCTTCTCTGACAGCCCTTCAAGTCCTGGAAGACACACACACACACACACACACACTCCTTCACTGCAATAGGCTACACACACACACACACACACACACACCCCTTCACTGTGATAGGCTAGAAATATTTCCCTCAGTCATCTCTTCTCTGTGACAGCCCTTCAAGTCCTGGAAGACACACACACACACACACACACACACTCACACTCCTTCACTGCGATAGGCTAGAAATATTTCCCTCAGTCATCTCTTCTCTGTGAAAGCCCTTCAAGTCCTGGAAGACACACACACACACACACACACACACACACACACACACACACACCCCTTCACTGTGATAGGCTAGAAATATTTCCCTCAGTCATCTCTTCTCTGTGACAGCCCTTCAAGTCCTGGAAGACACACACACACATTCCTTCACTGCGATAGGCTAGAAATATTTCCCTCAGTCATCTCTTCTCTGTGACAGCCCTTCAAGTCCTGGAAAACACACACACACACACACACACACAAACACACACACACTCCTTCACTGCGATAGGCTAGACACACACACACACACACACACACTCCTTCACTGCGATAGGCTAGAAATATTTCCCTCAGTCATCTCTTCTCTGTGACAGCCCTTCAAGTCCTGGAAGACACACACACACACACTCCTTCACTGCGATAGGCTAGACACACACACAGACACACACACACACACACACACACACACACACCCCTTCACTGCGATAGGCTAGAAATATCTCCCTCAGTCATTATAACATTTAGCCTCCAGGCCCTTTATCATCTTTGATGCTCTGCACTCTTTCCGGGGTCTCTTTTGTATCGTGGTGACCAGAACTAGACCCAGCATTCCAAGTGTAGCTTCACTTCTGCACTATAAACTGACACGGTGGTTGATGTTATCCCTCTGTTGATGCAGCCCAGGAGTGCATTGGCTTTTTTGGTAGCTCTACCCGATCCCCCACTGCGAGGGGATCTGTGGGGTCCCCCTCCCCCTAGGCTCAGAGGGACCCCCCCCCGCTTTTCCAAATCCCGCAGTTCTGCCCCTCCTCCCCCCGCAAGACACGGAATCCATCAAAGGCGATTTCCTGAAACTTTCGCTTTCCTTCCCCCCCCCCCTCTTGTCGCCGGTTCCGCCTGGGCATCCGCCTAGCAACAGTGACGACAGGACACCTTTTTTTTCCCCCTACTGGTTGAGTTCGCCCAATCGCCAGCTTGCTGTCGATTGTTGCGCTGGTTGATCGACGGGAGGCGCCTCTTCCTTCACCTGCGGGAATTCGGGAGGGCGGGGCGCAGGTTGAGGAGCGGGGCCGGGATGGCTCTGCGCTCTGCGCCCGTCTTGCTCCTGGCGTTGGTGGCGGTCGCTCTGTGGGAGGGCTGCGTCGGTGAGTCCCTTTGGGGGTGGCGGTGGGGGGGGGGGTTCCGCCCCTTTGATCTGCCAGGGAAACTTTCTCTCTCCCCTCCCCCCCTCCCAAAAAAGGTTATTCCCAGAAAGAGAATCCTGATTCGGTCCTCTTTCTAGTCCGCTCCTCCTCCCCCCCCCCTCTGGCCACTTTGAGATCGGGCCCCAAAGTCCTCTCTCCCCCCCCCCCAAGAGAACCCTCTGGGAACAAGGACAAGGGTGGCCCCTCCAGATCTCAGTCAAGTCTACCTGGGCGCCCCCCCCCCACAAGCGCAGTTCTTTCCCTCCCGAAAGTGGAGGTTGTCGGAAAGCGGAGTTTGCACGTGACCAGGTCAGTTCACAAACTTCCTGGCTGCCTTCGCACAACCCCTCCGCGTGGATCGTGTTTCTTGCCTTTTGGCTCTTGTTGGGGGCTCGCTGTGGCTTCTGGTGCTGGGAGGACGTGGCTTGTTTCTCTCTCTTTTTTTTTTAATTGAAAAAGTTTTATTAACAATTAACAAAATTTTTTAACCCCCAAGCCCCCCCCATCCCCTAAACCCCCCCAACCCACTTTCCAGAGCCGAGTACAGGGTTATTACAAACATATTAAGCAAAGTCTAATTAACTTTAACAAATTATACAGTAACCAAATTCATACTTAACCCTTATTTTATTTATTTATTTATTTATGAGACTTAAATACCGCTTTAAGTGCAAGCACTCTCTAAGCGGTGTACACCAGTAAGCAATGTATATATATATTTACATTGCCCCCAACAATCTGGGTCCTCATTTTACCTACCTGGGAAGGATGGAAGGCTGAGTCAACCTTGAGCCGGTGAGATTTGAACCGCTGACCTGCTGAACACAGTCAGCTAAAGTGGCCTGCAGTACTGCACTCTAAGTGCTGTGCCACCTCAGCTCTTATAAACAAATATTATAAACAAATCCATTTTAACACAATTATTATAAAGTACCATAATAACAATAAATAAACTAAATAATTTCCATTATAAAATGCTATTAATAATAATTATTATTTAAAATTTAATCATAAAATAAATGGAACTTTTTAGTTCCATATTTCATCTGAATATAATCTATCCATCTTCTCCATACAATAATCTTTCTTGTGTATGATCCTTTAAATAAGCAGAAATTTTTGCCATTTCTGCTAAATTAGAAACCTTAAGTGTCCATTCTTCTATAGTAGGCAACGAATTTTTCTTCCAATATTGACCTACCAATAACCTGGCTGCTGCTACTAAATTCAACATTAAAATAGTTTCTTTAACATCAAAATCCACAAAAACCCCTAGTAAAAATAGTTGAGGAGTAAACTTTATCTTCCTTTTAAAAATCTTTTGAATGTTCCACCAAATCATAATCCAAAAAGCTTTAATATTTTTACAAGTCCAACAAACATGAAAATAAGTTGCGTCAGAACTACCACATCTCCAACATTTAGGCTGTAAATTAGGATACATACAAGACAACTTTTTAGGATCCAAATGCCACCTATAAAACATTTTGTAAAAATTTTACCTTAAATTTTGAACCATAGGATCTGGGTCCCTCAGTTGAAGCCTCCTAACTCTGCCCCTCTGGGTCCCTTCCAGGCGCCTTCTCACACTCCCTGAAGTATTTTGTCACCTCCATCTCGGAGCCCAGTCAGGGGCTGCCCCACTATGTCATTGTGGGGCATGTGGATGGTCAAGTCTTCAGTTCCTACGACAGCAACAGCCGGAAGATGCAGCCTCGAGTCTCCTGGATGGAGAAGGTGGGGAAGGAGGACCCCCAGTACTGGGACAGAAACACCCAGATGGCACGTGAGGAAGAGGAGGTGTTCACAAGAGACCTGGTGATTGCGAGGACTCGCTACAATCAGAGCAAAGGTGAGTGATCGATCGGGGGGCTCCTCCGGCCCCATATTCCCCTTATCAGGAACTGGAGGGGTGTAAGACGCTAAGAAAAAGACGCAGGCATGTCTTGAGCAGAGGTTTGAAGCTGCAGGACCCAGCTTGACAAACTCTTGAGTTTATTGCTTCTTATATACTTATTATATACATCAGCTTAACCATTAGAATCTGACAAAGGTTTCTTCATTGGAAAATGTCGTCATGTAAGCAACTATTTTCTAGTAACACATTACATGGTCAAAGACCAGATAAGAACAAATACAGGTAGATCAAAAAGAGAAAGAACTGACAAAGACAGGAAGAGATAGGAAGGAACTTAAGTGTATTATCGGTTTAGGTAGGTGAGGCATTAAGTCAAAAGGGGATGACCTTCTGGCTGCTTCCTTGGGACAAAGGGTATCAAGAGGTTATGAGGTTTGTGGGGGGGTAAGCACGGCAGTTTGCTGCGCATGCATTTTTCCCCATGGGGGGAGGGGAAGCAGGCCCCTTCAAAGGGAAAGGCTGCTTCCACAGATTTTAAAAAGTTTTCAATATGTTTATTCTTTTTTTTCCAAATTAGTATAAGATAATTTTAATCTTTATTAAACTTTAGTCTTCATTTAATCTTCATATCCACTTTAATATGAGCCGGCAGTATACGGCAGCAGCCAAAAAAAAAAAGCTAATACAATCCTGGGTGGTATAAACAGAGGCACAGAATCAAAATCACGTGAATCACTTTAGTATCACTTTATAAAAATCCTAGTAAGATCACAGCTGGAATACTCGCACCAATTTTGGTCACCACACTACAAAAAAAAGGTGTTGAGGCTTTGGAAAAAGTTCAGAGAAGAGCAACTAAGATGATGAAAAGCCTGGAGACTAAAACGTATGAAGAATAGTTGCAGGATTTGGGTTTGGCTAGTCTAGAGAAACGAAGGACTAGGAAAAAAAGAAGGACATGGTGGCAGTATTCCAATATTTGAGGGGCTGCCACAAAGAAGAGGGGGTCAATCTGTTCTCCAAAGCGCCTGAAGGCAGGACATGAAGCAACGGATGGAAACTAATCAAGGAGAGAAGCAACCTGGAATTAAGGAGAAACTTCCTGACAGTGAGGACAATTAACCAGTGGAACTACCTGCCTTCTGATGTTGTGGGTGCTCCATCACTGGAGGCTTTTAAGAAGAGACTGGACAGCCACTCGTCTGAAACGGTATAGGGTCTTCTGTTTGAGCAGGGGGCTGGACTAGAAGACCTCTAAGGTCCCTTCCAGCTCTATTCTGTTCTAAGATTGTCTTTGCCTCCATAGCTGACGTTTTCTGCCAGTGGCAGTTAATAACAATATTTTTAAAGTTATCTAGCTGTCTCTATATTTACATTGATATAAACTGAGGAAAAAAATAGATAGAAACCTTCCCCCCCCCCAAAAAAAAGGGTAAATGGATTCTAAGAAAATCCTAGGAGAAGCAGATCGTCGTCCTTCTGTCTGTTTCTACCCCAGAGAAATAAGGGATCAATTGCAGAGCCACCTGGGGGAACTAGATCCCTTTCCTTCACCCCCTTTTTGGAGGGATGAGGAGGGGGCCCAAAAGCAAAGGAGCTCATCCTCCATTTGGAAGGAGAGGCCAGGAGGCCAAGTGGGGTGGGGGCTCTTGGAGGGGGGGGGCACAGGGCCATTTCCAGGATCCTCCCAATCTTGAGGGGGGTCCTTTTCCCTGGAGGAAATGGGGGTGTCAGTGTCTCCCTCCATGTCAAAGCACCTGCAGGGAGGCAGTGTCTCTGTCTATCTTGTTGTTAGTTGTGAAGTCCATCGCGACCCCATGGACAACGTTCCTCCAGGCCTTCCTGTCCTCTACCATCTTCTGGAATCCATTTAATTTCACGCCTCCTGCTTCAGTGACTCCATCCAGCCATCTCATTCTCTCTCGTCCCCTTCTTCTATTGCCCTCCATCTTTCCCAGCATTAGGCCCTTCTCCAGGGAGTCCTTCCTTCTCATCAGGTGGCCAAAGTACCTGAGTTTCAACTTCAAGATCTGGCCTTCTAAAGAGCAGTCCGGGCTGATCTCGTCTAGGATTGACTGGTTTCCCCTAACCATCATTTTGCCCCCGGTTTCAGGCCTTCACACATGGCAGAGGATGGTTGGCTGTGAACTCCGGGGAGACGGGAGCAAAGGAGCGTTTCAGCAATACGGCTACGACGGGAGGACCTTCCTCACCTTCGACAAGGAGACCCTCACCTGGGTGGCTCCCGACCCCCAGGCCCGGATCACCCAGAGGAAATGGGACGCTCTTCCAGGATATAATCAGAGACGGAAGGCCTACCTGGAGGACGTCTGCATCAAGTGGCTGGAGAAGCACCTGTCCTACGGGAAGGAGACGCTGCTCAGGACAGGTGACCATCTGGATCCAGGCTGGACTTTCCTCCTTTATGGCTGGATTTCTTGGATATGTTTGTCCCCTTTGGGTCCCTGGTCTAGAGCCTGTTTGCCCTGGTGAGAATCCGCCTCCTCTCCTTCCAGAATCTCTCCAAGCCCTGTTGGGTTCCCACTGTCAGGCCGCCATTCAACGGACCAGGAAGTGCAGCTTCTGCCTGGCAGGTGTCTGTGTGGATCGGGCAGCAAAAGCACTCAGGGGTGTCCTCTTCACAATCACAATGAGGCAACAAGGGCATTTTGTGTTCTTCAGGGAAATCTCCCATTAGCCAAACTGTAGTCAAGTGTGAGGGGCTCCCTTAATTTCTCCCCATTAACTCTCCTTCTCTCCATGTCCCACAGGGGGCTTCCTCCCTGCCCTGCACCCGATGATGCACCCCTCACTCCCACCACTAGGTGGCTCCACTTCTTTTTTTTTAATTGAAAATTTTTAAGTTTTACAAAAAAAAAAATTCCCCTCCCCCACACCCTTCCACCCCTCCTCTACCCTCCCCCGATCTTCCCAGAGCTGAATACAGGCTTAATTTAAAAATTTTTAAAAGAATCTTAAAACATATATAAACCATAAGCAAATCTAGATAACGTTAATTTAACAAATTGTAAAATAATTAACAACAATCTGTAAAAAAAAAAAATACAAGAAGAAAGGAAAGAAAAAACAGAAAAAGAAAAAATAAAAGAAAAAAAATATCGATGAAATATTTTAAACTTTAGTTATACATTATTCAAAAACTAAATAATATTTTTTTTATATCCAACTTATATTGTATAAAATCTATCCATCTTTTCCATACCAGAAGGTACCTCTCTAGGTGGCTCCACTTCTATCATTAATAAGAGATCATCAGTTCCCCTATGGTGATCTCCCCAGGGGGGAAAGAAAGCCCCACAATTTCTATGGAGAAACCTCAAACTTATCCCCACAATTCCGACATAGCGAGCCTTTCCTCAGAACACTGATGGCGAACCTTTTAGAGACCGAGTGCCCAAACTGCAACCCAAAACCCACTTATGCATCGTCGAGTGCCGGGTGGGTGTGGCCCATTGGGTGGGCGTGGCTGTGGTAGTAATGGCAAACTGGGTGGGACTAAAAAGTTCAATCGATCAATTCCAACTTTGCAAGATCTTTTTTTTCCTGTGAGAAGTTGAAATTGACTCATTGATTGAACCTTTTTTTTTTTTTTTTGCACACAGCGGTGGAGGCCTAAAGTGAAAAGGTTTTATAAAACCCAGCTGAAGGCCTAGGACTGGGCCGATGGCGCGCGTGCCCACAGAGAGGGTTCTGAGTGCCGCCTCTGGCACCCGTGCCATAGGTTCGCCACCACTACCTCAGAACAATCCCCTCCCCACCATCAGGCACACCCCCTCACCTCATAGGGGGACTCATAATTGTTTCCTGTGATTATTGTTACTGTTATTATTTTCCCATCTAGACTCCTCCTCCCCCCCACCAGATCAACCCCTTCCCCTCCGGGCTCCTTGATCAGGATCAGGTCCAGGATCAGGATCAGCTGGGGGAGATCAGCACGCATTAGGGCAGGGGTGTCAAACTGCTGGCCCACGGGCCGGATGCGTCATGCCAAAACAGTGCCCACCCCATTGCCGGCAATGGGAAACAAGTCGCGATACGTCACAACACGTCACATGACATTGCGAGTTTGACACCCCTGCGTTAGGGAATAACCACCCTGTACATTGACAGGGGTAGGCAACCTTGGCTCTTTCATGACTTCAACTTCCAGAATTCCTGAGCCGCCCATGCTGAGGGGAAAGGGTGAGGTTTCCATGCTGGCTCAGGAATTCTGGGAATCGAAGTCCAAAAGTCATAAAAGAGCCAAGGTTGCCTACTCCTGCTTTACAATAACCAACAACCCCTGCCTGCCTAGAAGGACTGTCTCTCTCTTCCAGGGACTTCACCTCTGTCGCTGCCTCCCTTTGATAGGCAGAATCTCTTTTCCAAATTAACCAGGGTGAGAGTCCAAAAGCCCTGAACCCCTTTTTGTTGTGTTCTGGCTTTCTTCCTCTTGAAATTGTGGTTGTGTCCCTTGGAAAGTGGCCTGGAGCAGCCTCAGATTCAGGGGTGCAGAAGGAAACCACAAAAGTAGAGAGAAACTTCTGTGTTGTTGTTGTTGAAAGGGAACTTAAAAGAGCAGCTCCACTTTCCCTCCCCTGAAGGAAACAATCCAAGATCACTCAGAGTTCAAAGCAGCCAGAGAGGAATTTCCTTGGATCCTCAATTTGCTGCTGGAGGCTTTTCAGGCTGGGAAGGACTCAGAATCCGGAGTTCTTGCGGTTGAGCATTTTCCAGATCTGGAGCATCTCCCAAAACTCTTGGAGATGCTGCAGGTGTGGAGTGGGAAGTAGTGGGAGATTTTCCTGCCCCTTCAAGTTTCCCATCCACCTTCCAGGCTCTGGAGGGGCTCAGAGTTAATTCCGGGGGTGCCGTTTCTGCAGACCCCCCAGAGGTGACACTCAGCAGGAAGATTGAGGTGGAGGATGGGATGGAGACACAAATCTGCCGCCTGGAGGGCTTCTACCCAAGGGAGATCGAGGCCTCCTGGACGAGGGACGGGGAGGTCTGGCTGCAGGACACCCTCCGTGGCTCCGTGGCCCCAAATGCAGATGGGACCTACCACTATTGGCTCAGCATCCAGATCGATCCCAAAGAGAGGGGCCGCTATCGGTGCCACGTGGAGCACGACGGCCTACCGAAGCCTCTGGACGTGGCCCTGAAGGGTGAGAGTCTGCAGGGAGGGAAAGACTGGGGTCTTTGGCAGGCTGGAGGGATGTGGGAGGGAAATCTCACTCCAGCTGTGTCCAGATGTGAGCATACCTGAGTCTTCGGTTTTTCCCATGTTTGAGGTTGGTGTACCTGCAGGGAACAATAAACAAAATTGGCTTCAGGCTGCCAAATTCCACCCAGAGTCATGACATATAGAGGCAGCCTATAAACAGAACAAAAACTGTTGTTTAACACATTTTGTTTATATTATTGTGCTGGTGAAGTTTTTGTTTTGTAAGCTGCTGAGAGTCACAAGGTTGCAAACAGCTGTTTTTGAGCTGAAGAGCTAAAGATGAATTCAGTTGCCTTCATGCTGGGCTGGTGTGAGAAGAAGGCAGCGACTTGAGGTCACGTCCTAACAATGGTTAGCAAGGCGCCTTCATGCTTTCCTTAGAAGGACATGAAGAGGAGCCCATGGAGTTTTTAATTTGGGGAATTTAATTGGGATGATTGATTGAGGTTCTCCTTCAATTATCTGCTCCTCCTCCCACTTCAGAGCCAAAATCCAACCTGGGGCTCATCATCGGCTGCGTTGTGGCTGGCCTTGTCCTGCTGGGTGTGATTGTTGGGATCTTGGTATTTCTTAGTAAGTATCCTTTTCTGGGTGATGGAAGGAAGATGGGGAGGTTCCTCCCAAGTCTCTTCCTTTGGGGAGCTTCTTCAGGGCTTTCTCCTGTCCTGTTTTCCCAGCCCTCTTGGGGAGCCTCTGAGATCTCAGCCTCTTTCTGGGACTCCAGTCTTGACTTGGCTGAGTCTGAGGTTGGGACAATCCTGCCTTCTTCTGTGTTGGGAAGAGGCATCCCAGTTCCGTCCCTTTCAAAGTCTTTGGTCAAAGAGCAGCAGAGAAGGATTTCCATGAAAATCTTCCTCCCCTCCCAGCTGCTGCTGCTTCCCCCCTTTCCCTCCCTCATCTCGGAGGCAGCAGGTCTCCCTTGGGGCAAATCAGGAGATACTTTTGGTTTTTGAAAATCTTTGTGTCTTTGTTAATGGGTCAGATTGACTGTGAAATATCTCCTGGGGTTCTTCCTCTTGCAGAGAGAGAGATTGGATGATCTCTGGTGGATTCTTTTGGGCTTTCACTGATTTTTGTCTTTGCAGAGAGACATCAGGATGGCCACAGAGCAGTACCAAGTGAGTGACTTGTCCTCTTTACATGTAATCTCCAACTTAGAGCAGGGACCAGAGATGCCATCACTTGAAGGGTGTGTATATGTGTGTGTTTTTAAACACAAAAAGAATCTCAGGAAGCTGTAGAGTTGTGCTATCTTCCTCTTCCTCAAGAACTAATCTGGAGAATGAGGACTCTTTTTTTAAAACAGCCAGGCTGGAGTTCTCAAGGAGAAACATCTGGGACAGGGAACCTTCCAGAAGATGAGAAGACCCAGCTGGTGGAAGGTCCCTCTGGCTGAGAAGCTGCTCTGTTTCCCAAGTGGGCGGAAAGGAAAGTCTTGGCCAAATGACAGTCAGAAGCTCCCTAAAATTTGTTGGAATATTCATGAACAGGAAGAGTCATGTGGTAACTCAGTCAGCCAATGGGAAGAAAGTGCTACTGAGTCTGTGCAAAAGAGTATTGAGTTAGGAGCTGGATTTCCAGTCTCAAAGTTTTGTCTCTGGTCTGTCTCTGTAAGAAGTCTTCATTAAGCTATGTTGCTGTAAAGAAGAATGCTATTGTAAATATTTTTATATACATATAAAGTTATTTGAATCAACTAAATGCAGTCAGCTGTGAGAGCTTCTGATTTATTTTTCACCAATAGAGAAATTAAAATTCTCTAACAAAATTAGGGATCAAGAGGAGGCATTTTGAGAAAAAAGGAGCTTTGGGGGATGCTAGCTGGATCTATTCTTGGTCTCGTGCCAGAAGACTCTGTAAGTATGAACTAGTTGAAAAAAAGAAACTTTGGATCCCTCTGGATCCTCAGATCAGCTGTGCCTTCTGGGTGGATAATCGTTACATATTGTTCCATGTGGCTGTAGATATAAATTTTAAGAATTCTTTCTGATGCTTTTTAACCAAAGCAGTTTGGTTCAAACTCCATTTCGGAGTCCTAGTGGACAATCACCTAAATATGAGCCAGCAGTGTGCTGCAGCTGCCAAAAAGGCCAACACAGTGCTAGGCTGCATTAACAGAGGGATAGAATCAAGATCACATGAAGTATTAATGCCACTCTACAATGCTTTGGTAAGGCCACACTTGGAATACTGCATCCAGTTTTGGTCACCACGATGTAAAAAAGATGTTGAGACTTTAAAAAGAGTACAGAGAAGAGCAACAAAGATGATTAAGGGACTGGAGCCTAAAACATATAAGGAACAGTTGCTGGAATTGGGTATGTCTAGTCTAATGAAGAGAAGGACAAGGGGGGACATGATAGCAGCGTTCCAATATCTCAGGGACTGCCCCAAAAAAGAAGGAGTCAAGCTATTCTCCAAAGCAGGAGAAGAAGCAACGGATGGACACTAATCAAGGAGAGAAGCAACCTAGAACTAAGGAGAAACTTCCTGACAGTTAGAACAATTAACCAGTGGAACAACCTGCCTCCAGAAGCGGTGAATGCTCCAACACTGGAAGTTTTTAAGAAGAGACTGGACAGCCACTTGTCTGAAATGGTATAGGATTTCCTGCCTGAGCAGGGGTTGGACTAGATGACCTCCAAGGTCCCTTCCAACTTTATTGTTGTTGTTATTATTATTATTAACTCTCCCCACGTATTTCTGCTCCTGTGATTGTGAGCGAGAGAGAAAGGGAGGGAGGGAGCTGGAGTCAGAAAGAGCTGAGTTTCTCCATCTATCAGCCAACAGAGTGAACTTCTTTACTCTCTTTTTCTTTCTCTCTTTTCCAGCAAGTGAGGAAGGATCCAACAGTTCCAGCCAGGGTGAGTCGGAGGGAGCTGCTGCTGCTGCTTCAGGAGCCATTTTGTCCCTTTGCAAGATGTGGGGGGGAAGAAAAGAGGGAAAGGACCCCACTTTTTAAAGAGCCTCTTAATCCATCCTTCCTGTCTTCTCTCTGTGTCTGATTCTTTTGAAATAATTAGCCTGGTCTCCTCTGAGAATTTCGTGAAACTGCAGAGGTTGAATGGCGAAGAGAGAGATTTGTCCTCCTCAGAGGATCCAGACAAGGCAAAGACTCACTCTGTGTCTTTCTCTCCAATGCAGGGAGCAACCAGGTCATTTAGCAGCCCCTTTGAAGGTGAGTGGCCCTACTGGGGGCTGTATGGGGGGGGGGAAGAGGGAGGAAGGGAGATAAACATAAAGAACCAACTTATGGCAAAGTGTGCTGCAGCTGCCAAAAAAGGCCAACACATTGCTAGGCTGCATTAACAGAGGGATAGAATCAAGATCCTCTGAAGTGTTAATACCACTTTATAATGCCTTGGTAAGGCCACACTTGGAATACTGCATCCAGTTTTGGTCGCCACAATGTAAAAAAGATGTTGAGACTCTGGAAAGAGTGCAGAGAAGAGCAACAAAGATGATCAGGGGACTGGAGGCTAAAACATATAAGGAACGGTGGCAGGAATTGGGTAGGTCTAGTTTAATGAAGAAAAGGATAAGGAAGGACATGATAGCAGTGTTCCAATATCTCAGGGGCTGCCACAAAGAAAAGGGAGTCAAGCTATTTTCTAAAATGCGTGAAGGCAGGACAAGAAGCAACGGGTGGAAACTAATCAAGGAGAGAAGCAACCTAGAACTAAGAAGAAACTTCCTGACAGAACAATTAACCAGTGGAACAACCTGCCTCCAAAAGTTGTGAATGCTCCAACACTGGAAGTTTTTAAGAAGAGACTGGACAGCCATTTGTCTGAAATGGGTATAGGGTTTCCTGCCTAAGCAAGGGGTTGGACTAGAAGACCTCCAAGGTCCCTTCCAACTCTGTTTATTCAAGTCTAGTCTATTATTATTGTTGTTGTTATTCTTTGGAAAATCCCTCTTCTGTTCATTGGGGCTCTGGAAAGGTGGGGGGATCAGCCTGCCTCCAAATTTTTATCCTGAAGGCCAGATTGTGGCATTTCTCAGTATCTGACAATCTTGGATCTCTGGAGACCAGGAATCCATGTGCACTTGTCTCTTGAAGGCAGAATGGACTAAAATTGGATTTGTGTTTTGAGGGGAGGAATCCATATATGTGGGACAGGTTCTCACCCACCTCAGGAGCCAGTTCCAGCCCTGCCCCTCCCCTCTTGTAAATCCCACTCCGCTGATCCCTCCCTTGAGGCTGCTGCTTCTGCTTCTTCTTCGCTGGGTTGATCTTTGCTGATCCCCCAGCTTGGATGGTGGGATTCGTCCTCTGGGCTTCCTCTCAGACTGACCCTGCCTGCTTTTTCCCTCCATTTTGCAGCACGAGTGGACACTCCCAGGATGAGGAGAGAGGAGAGAAGTGGGGATCGGTCTTTTTCTGAATTAGGCCAGACTCTCAGGAGGAGCCCTTCAGGGTCTTCCAACATGCTGGAACCAGGATGTATTTGGGGTCTTTCATCACTGCTTTTATCATTGAGTCAGTGACCTTGTTTTATTGAGGAACAGAGAAGAAAAGAAAATCTTATGTGTTTATAATTGTGGAATCAAAAGGATTCAATCTGGGTTTAGTAGATATTATTATTATTTTGTTTGTATTAGCTGCTGAAGATATCAAAGGTATTCAGGTGGGACTTGAACTCACAGTCGCTTTCTAACCTGATCCCTTAACCACTAAACTGCCTTGTACAGCTTGTAATAGCTTTGTAACATAGCTTGTAGCAGCTACGTTGTTATTTCTGATGACCTTTAATGGGCTTCTGCTGATTGGAGAAGATTTCATAGCAAATGAGGAGACGAATAGGATGCAGAGTTGCTGGTTTTACTTTAAGGGAGAGTGATAAACTGTTAATCTTCATTATACATGCCCAGATTGAAAGTGGAGGGTTTTTTTTTCTGTGTTTTTATTTTTCTTTGTATTAGTTGTATAATACAATAGAAAGAATGTACAATATGTTGCCATTTATGGATGTTCATGGTTTAGAAAAATGGAACAGGAGCCCTCCCCATCATGACATGCTGAGCAAACAGGAGATTATTTTTTTCTCCTATTTTGCTCCCAGTTTTTCAAAGGAGACACTAAGAATAGCAATAGTACTTAGACTTATATCCACTTCATAGTACTTTACAGCCCTCTCTAAGCCGTTTACAGAGCCAGCATATGGCCCCCAACAAACTAGGTCCTTATTTTACCGATGGCCAAGATGATATCCATATTTTACCGATGGCCAAGATGACATCCAACCTTTGGACAATCATGCACAAATGGGGAAGAGGGGAGGGGCTGAATGCCAGCAATTCTTGGTCTGGTCTGTTACCATCTTTTCCCTTCAGCTGCTAAGTTTTCATAAGCATACCTGGGTTTTAATTGCCATTTTTCAAGCTTTACAATCTCTTGATTTATGAGTAGCTGACTTCTAATCTTGCTGGATTTTACAACTTTTTTTCCTGCTGTTTCATTGTTTACCAAAATTGCCATAAGGAGGTTGAGGTAGGTTTTACATTTACCTTTACAGAGGATTATACTATAAACCTTGCTCTTTCTAGCTTTTTTCATTCTTTCTTTTTTTAAGGGCCTCAATATTTAGCTCTTAATTTTTGATTGAAAAATTCCCATTTTTTTAACCCTGAAGGGAAAAAAATTCCTTTACCTGTGGAAGCCGTTGCTTATCTGCTTTTCTTGTCTTTGAAGAAAAAAACAAAGTTTTTCATGTTTTGAAAGGAGATAAATTATTTTTGCAAATAACTGAGAAAAGAAAGCTTTCCAACGGTAACAGGTTGTATTTGAAAATATAAACAAAAAATGTGATGGGTCAAGAACGGTTCTGTAAAATTAAGATGATACCCAAAAGCAGGAAATAACAGTTGGACCTGATTTGCAATTTGAGGAATTGGAATTTGATTTATTGCAAGTCATATGCAAAGAATGTATTTTGGTTTGCCAGAAAAGATTGAAAAGAATATGAATATAAGAAACTCTGAAACAACAGAGAAAAGACGAAGGATGGACTGCATTTTCTCGGCAAGAGAAATGCTGTGTTGTTGAGGAGAATAATTCCACAATGGATGTTGCAGAGATGTTTACCACAGAGACCTCTGAACTTTGGGAATTAGATGCAATTGTTGGTCAAGTTCCTAATTAAAAACCTAAGGAACGGTTTCACTGTTAAGAACCAAATGAGGGTATTTGACCCTGGACTCATGATCGGGGTGATTTGCAGTAAATAAGAAACTCTGTAGACTTTCTATGAATAAATTATAATAACAGACTGTACTAGAGTGCTTTGAATTTTAACTTCCCTGTTGTTCAACCTGTTAACTATTTTTCCTTTCACATAGATAATCCATGATAGGTCAATTTGGTTGCAAATAGATGTACAAGATTATAAATTTTGGACCTCTTTTGCAAGCGGGGGAGCTCTTATTGTTGCAATAGATTTCTTAATGTGCTGGAGTCGGTCTCTCACCTGGGCTGGTCACAGCCCCTCATAATCAGGAGGTGTGAACTCAATGACCTCCACTCCTTTCAGAACCGTCTCGTGGGTTCTTGGAGTTGGCTTCTCCACCTTTCTTCCTGGGTCGCTTTAAGGCTGGGCTTAGTGGATTGGCACTCCGTGGCTGAGTGTCCCTCTTTCCACACTTGAAGCACGCCGTGGATTGCAGTCTGGATCCAGATTCACCCTTCGCCAACTGCAGGGGTTCCTTATGCCTCCGGGGGGGGGGGGAGATTTGCACCCTCCATGGCCCATCATAGAGTAAGTGTCTCAGCCTATGTCGGATAGGCAACCTTCTGGGTGTCAACGCTGCAAATACTGTATATTCTTGCTTTGACAATATGCAGACCTGTCTGGTATTTTTAGAGTTAACGCAGGGCAGAAGAGGGTGGAGGGAAAAGAAACTGAAGTGGATCTTTGCCCTCCAAGTTAATTGGAAGATGTGAATCATGACCCCAAAACAGGGGAGGGGGAAATGCCTGGAATGTTATGTGCAAAGGAAGGGAAATTCAGATCTTAGTGCTGACACTCTGTAACACTAATAAAGGCTTTTTAGGTTAAAAAAATGCCTGAAAGTTCTTTGAAGTGTTTCGTTAATCAGACACATGACACTGAGAGTTGAAGTCCACGAGTTATAAAAGAGCCAAGGTTGCCTACCCCTGGACTAGGTGGATCTCCACTTAATCTGCCAGCACGTACCAGTGTTGTAGTGTCAGGGCGTGCACAGTCCTATCATGTGCCACAACCCAGCAGCAGACACTGCAAACAGTGGTTTGTAACAAATGGTGGTTTATCTACAACATCTACAATGCTATACAAGTATCACTAGGAACAAAATGCATACACATGCTACGAGCAGAATCTAACAAGCATGAAGTACAGCAGGAAAGGGATGGGAAGGGGGCAGTAGCAAAGCCCCTCTCCCTTTTTACACAGGCTCTATTACAATCCAGATGACAGTATTTCCACTACTTTCAGGTAGGTCTACTATAAAGTCCATAGCTATTTCTTCCCAGGGTTGAGAAGGGTCTGCCACAGGTTGCAGTAACCAGGGGTTTTCCCTGGGATTCTTTTCATTGTGGCACATACAGTACAACTTTTTACATAGTTTTCCACATCCCTTTTCAGCCCCGGTCACCAAAATTGCCGGCGGGTGAGGTGTAGGGTTTTCAAATATCCAAAGTGTCCAGCCTGTTTTACATCATGGCTGTGTTTGAGAGCATTAAGACGGAAGGCTTCTGACAAATACAGTTTCCCCCCTTTGTAAGCCAGGCCATCCCTGCACATTAGGGAGGTGTGATTATCTTTGAACCATTGATCGGTGAGGAGCTCTCATTTTATTTTCTTTACTCCAGAAAATAGAACAGCCAAAAACCCTGCTGACTCATTCCCATCATTGCATCAGCTGGCCAGCTCTTAAATCATCCCCTTGACATGTAGGGTGCGTGGGGCTCCGTGTGAGATGCAGGTGTGCTAGATGTCATCATTGAGACCATCTTTGAAGTAATCTTCAGGATGTCTTCAGGTCATGAGGCCAGCCAGCATGCCAACTCTCGGAACTCCTGGGTATATGTGGCTACCAACCGACAACCTTGGGTGAGGTGGTTGATCTGGGTTTGAACCTTGTGCTCTGGGTCTTTGAACTGTTGGTGAAAGGCTGCCATGAAGTGGTCATAGTTCCACAGCTAGGGGGCGCTATCATGGAGGGAGACCATCCATTCAGCAGCTGCACTTCGGAGTCCAGCATCCCCTAGGACAGGGGTAGGCAATCTTGGCTCTTTTATGACTCGTGGACTTCAACTCACAGGAATTCTGGGAGTTGAAGTCCACGAGTCATAAAAGACCCAAGGTTGCCTACCCCTGCCCTAGGGGCAGCTTCTATTCTATTCTATTCTATTCTATTCTATTCTATTCTATTCTATTCTATTCTATTCTATTCTATTCTATTCTATTCTTATTCTTCACCCCTAGCTAGAAAGATGATGCTGTTCTGGTGCTGACTGAAGTGCCAGGAAGCTATGAGGGTCTGAATGAGGAAGAACCAAATTCAACTCAACTCTAGCATGACCGAGTGGCATTGGAGTTTTGCACACACGCCCCCCCCCAAAACTGGTGGGTTGACTCTGGATAGTGTTGTGCTCCCCCAGATTCAGTTGCTACGCAATTCGGGGATCGTCCTGCTCTCAAGGCTTCTGCTTGAAGAGCAGGTGGCAGCCATGGCTTGGGGTAGGGACTTTGCCCAAATTCATCTTGTGCAGCAATTACACCCTTTCCTGGACCAGGAGGCCTTGGTCATGGTCTCTCATGCTATGATCAGTCCGTTTGCATAACTGTACTGTGCTTGACATGAGGCTGCCCTTGAAGACCACCCAAAAAGTTACAACTGGTCCAGATTCAGTAATGTCTCATGTTAAGCCCTTCCTAGATTTGCCCAGACGACACTCATATTTGTCATTGAAATCCTGTTCCCCATTTCTCCATGTTCATCAGCGAAAGCTCACTGTGACGATCAAAAATAACAACATAATTATTACAAACTATATCTACAGTACTAAAATCCAGTTTGAATCCTTTCGATTCTACAGTTAGAAATGCACAACATTTTCTTTATTGCTCTGATCCTCAGTCATCATATTAGTGCTATTCATTAATTGATAAAATCAAATATATCCTGGTTCCAGCATGCTGGAAGGGCCTAAGGAGCCCTAAGAGTCCAGCCTAATTCAGAAGAAGGTTGATCCCTTTTTCTTTCATTAAGACATTTAATTTAATAGCTGGAAGAGTAAAATTGTACAATGGGTCAGAAAACACAGTTGTAGTTGATTGGCTGGAGAGTGCAGGGCTCCTGCATGAAGCAATCTGCGTTATGATTGGTTGCTGGGTGTAAAAGAGGTGTTTCCCTTTTTCCCGCCTTTTTCCTTTTATGTGCTCTGTTATGCTCTTCAGTGATTTACCTGATAATTTACCTCGTGGTGTAGTGATATGCCTGACTATCTTGTTTGTTGTTAAGTATAAATGTAAAATATATTTATTTATACAAAACCACAAGTTCGTGTCAGCGTCTCTGACTCCATTTAGACACTGGCTGCACAATTTCCTGACAGTTTCCCTCTCTCCTTATGCTGGGAGTGTCCAGTCGTGCTGCAGAGAGGAGGGAAAAAGCAGGCAGGGTCAGCCTGGGAGGGAGCCCAGAGAAGGAATCCCACCATCCAGGCTGGGGGATCAGCAAAGATCAGCCCAGGGAAGGAGGAGAAGGAGCAGCCTCAAGGGAGGGATCCGCCGGGTGGGGAGGGCCAGGGCTGGAACTGGCTCCTGAGATGGGTGAGAACCTGCCCCATAAGTTATATAACAAGCATCAATGTCCCCCCTCAAATACAGGCAGTCCTCAACTGACAAGCACAATTGAGTCCAAAAGTGTATGTTGCTAAGTGAGAAAATTGGTTGAGTTCTGCCCCATTTACGACTTTTCCTGTCAGGTTTGTTAAAGGAACCACTGCTAAGTGTTGTTAGTCACCTGGTTGTTAAGTGAATCTGGTCTCCCCATTATTTATTTATTTATTAGTAAAATTTATATGCCGCCCAATCTCTAGGGACTCAGGGCGGCGTACAAAATTAAAACAATGAGTATAACAATTAAAAATGAATACATTCACACAGCATGTCCCAGCATGTCTTTGCTTGTCAGAAGGTTGCAAAAGGGGATGGTGTGACCCCAGGGACACTGCAGTGGTCAAGCATCTGAATGTAAATCACGTGACCATGGGGGTGCTGCCATGGTCGTAAGTGTGAAACATGGTCATCAGTCTCTTTTTTCAGTGCTGTTGTAACTTTGGTCACTAAATAAACTGTTGTAGGTCGAGGACTACCTGTACACGCATCCAAATTTTAGTTCTTGTTGCCCTCAGAGGAAAAAGTGCAAATGGATTCATGGCTTCCAGAGAGTCCAGGTCTTCCTTCAGCATCTGGAAGGAGGGATTCCCAGATGGGATCAAGGAGGGGAGAGAAGCTCTCTCTCCATCCAAAGCTGCAGGACTCTCAGAAAGCCCCTCATCTGCCCCTCTGTCCCTCATGCACTGGGGACACTCCAATCTCCTTTTTGCAGGTCTCTGAGCCTCCTGATTCAAGGCAATCAGATCCTTATAGGGGTCATCATCTGGCCTTGCAGAAAAAGAGTTTTCAGATTCTTCAGAGCCCCTCAGTCTCTCTCCCAGATTCCTCATCCTTCAGTGCTTCAGATGCATAGTGGAGAGAAGAGGGATTTCCCAAAGTATCTTCACCGTCAATTGGTCTTTGGACCTCAAAGCTCCCTTCTTCCCTCCCTCTCCCCCCATGCAGCCCCCACTGAGTAACTCACCTGGGAGGGGGGGGCTGCTAAATGGCCTGGGTGCTCCCTGCATTGGAGAGAAAGGCACAGAGTGAGTCTCTGCCTTGTCCTGGCCCTCTCTCTTCATCATTCAACTTCTCAGCTTCATGAATTTCTCAGAGGAGATCAGGATATGCCACCAAAACAATCTCTAACCACTGGAGCTCATGAAATTTTTGATGGTTTTTCTATCTCCCACCTCAGAGCTACTGAGCTCTTTGTCCCCCCCTTCCCCCGCGGTCCCGCAGATGGGCTGGCTGGCTTCGGTGTCACCTGGGCAGGCCTGGCCACGCATCTGGCCAGCGGTGCTGGCGGGCCCTTCCTTCCTTCCTTCCTTCCTTCTTTCCTTCCTTCCTTCCTTCCTTCCTTCCTTCCTTCCTTCCTTCTTTCCTTCCTTCCTTCCTTCTTTCCTTCCTTCCTTCCTTCCTTCCTTCCTTCTTTCCCTCCCTCCCTCCCTCCTGTCTTTCTTTCTTTCTTTCTTTCTTTCTTTCTTTCTTTCTTTCTTTCTTTCTTTCTTTCTTTCTTCCTTCCTTCCTTCCTTCCCTCCCGTCTTTCTTTCTTTCTTTCTTTCTTTCTTTCTTTCTTTCTTTCTTTCTTTCTTTCTTTCTTTCTTTCTTTCTTTCTTTCTTTCTTTCTTCCTTCCTTCCTTCCTCCCTTCCTTCCCTCCCTCCCTCCCTCCCGTCTTTCTTTCTTTCTTTCTTTCTTTCTTTCTTTCTTTCTTTCTTTCTTTCTTTCTTTCTTCTTTCTTTCTTTCTTTCTTTCTTTCTTCCTTCCCTCCCTCCTGTCTTTCTTTCTTTCTTTCTTCCTTCCTTCCTTCCCTCCCTCCCTCCCGTCTTTCTTTCTTTCTTTCTTTCTTTCTTTCTTTCTTTCTTTCTTTCTTTCTTTCTTTCTTTCTTTCTTTCTTCCTTCCTTCCTTCCTTCCTTCCCTCCCTCCTGTCTTTCTTTCTTTCTTTCTTTCTTTCTTTCTTTCTTTCTTTCTTTCTTTCTTTCTTTCTTTCTTTCTTTCTTTTTCTTTATTTCTTTCTTTCTTTCTTTCTTTCTTTCTTTCTTTCTTTCTTTCTTTCTTTCTTTCTTTCTTTCTTTCTTTCTTTCTTTCTTTCTTTCTTTCTCACTCTCTTCCTTCCTTCCTTCCTCTCTCTCTCTCTCTCTCTCTCTCTCTCTCTTTCTCCAAAGTCATTCTTATGTGTCCCTCCCCTGCTAGCCTTCTGCAAAGCGCAAACGGACACCGCGTCCTACTTGTCTTCTCCAAACTCATGCCCACCATCGCTTCCAAAGGCTGTCTGCTTGCTTACTCGCTGCACTCCCACCAAAATCTGCTTTTATAGGTTCCTCTCTCCCCGCCCAGCTCTCGCAACTGTTCTCGCGAGAGCGCTGCTGGATTCGGTTTCCCTACCCTCTCCAGTTTCCACTAGTCAGGCGCATGTGGAGAGGGGGAGGGGAGCGTCCCTCTGGCACACGTGCTGACAGAAAGGGCTCTGCGTGCCCAATCTGGCATGCGTGCCATAGGTTCACCACTCCGGGTATAGGGGCTTCTGCTTGAGCAGGGGGTTGGACTAGAAGACCTCCAAGGTCCCTTTCAACTCTGTTATTCTGAAGTTCTGAATTTCACATTATTAAGTTGCCAAGACTGAGAAATGCCTTGCTAGGATCTTAATTTTCCCAGCAATTTTGTGGCATCTGAATCACTGGGAGTACAGCAGGACATAAATATCATATATTATTATTGGCAAATCTCCAGGGCCTAGCCCAGGGGTAGGCAACCTTGGCTCTTTTATGACTGGTGGACTTCAACTCCCAGAATTCCTGAGCCAGCCATGCTGAGGGGAAAGGGAGAGGTTTCCATGCTGAGCCATGCTGGCTCAGGAATTCTGGGAGTTGAAGTCCACGAGTCATAAAGCGGCCTAGGCCTAGGCCAGAGATAGGTAACCTTGGCTCTTTTATGACTCGTGGACTTCAACTCCCAGAATTCCTGAGTCAGCAGGGCTCAGCTTGGAAACCTCTCCCTTTCCCCTCAGCATGGCTGGCTCAGGAATTCTGGGAGTTGAAGTCCACCAGTCCTAAAAGAGCCAAGGTGGCCTACCCCTGGCCTAGCCCCTCATTTTCAGAGAAGAGGAAATGTAGCTCCCTTTTCATAGGAATTTTGTCTTCTTCTTTTAACCCCTTCCAACAATTTTTCACAGACAGACTGATGGCCAAAATCTGGCCTCGGATTCTGCTTTCTCCAATAAGCAACTGAGTTGGAAGATCATTTAAAGGCAATTCATTAGAATACTTTAATAAAGAGGGGTCTCTCTAAGAAAGTAGAGAAGAGAGCCCAGTAGAAAAACTTACATTTTATTTTATAGTTTGTACAAGCAGTTGATTTTGTGCAGTGTAAAAGAAGGAACAAGAAGAGAACAAAAGTATTAAAACTTGAAGGGAAATGGAGACTTTTGTCAAGAGAAACAAAAAAGAAATCGTAGTTTTACCAATGCCCCTTTTTAATGTGGACCCCCCCTTCTCCAATCCTACACTATTCATATGCTGATGTAAAATAAATGTTCATGCACAACTTGTCCTATCAGTAAACAGTAGAAAAAAAACACAATTGTCCCATCCATATTTAAGATACTAATCCATGCAGAGAACCATCATAATAGGGGTGACAATATCAATTAAAATTCCATTCTTAACGGGTTTAAATATAGTCACTGGTGGGATTCCAATACCTGAACAGCCAGTTCTATTATGTGATGCAGGGCTGGGCCTCCGATGCCTAGAACGGACTTCCAGAAATGGCATCATACATTTCTGGTAGGCCGTTCTAGGCCTGGGAGGTCTCCTCCAGGCCTCCGATGCCTAGAACAGACTTCCAGAAGTGGCATCATACATTTCTGGTAGGCCGTTCTAGGCCTGGGAGGTCTCCTCCAGGCCTCCGATGCCTAGAATGGACTTCCGGAAGTGGTATCCATGCACTTCTGGTGGGCTGTTCTAGGCCTGGGAGGCCTCCTGAGGTCTAGACTGGACTTCCAGAAGCCAGCCAATTCCCCAAATTCAGATAAATTTAGCTACCCGGTGTGAACCGGTTGAATCCAACCCTGAATATAGTCCTTGACTCATGACCACAGTTGGGACCAAAATATCAGTCATTGAGTGAAGCACTCATTAACTGAGATGCTCATGTGACTGCTTTGTTTAACAATTTAAATCCTGGCACTCCCAGCTGCAATCATTAAGCAGTCTCCCAGCTGGTTAAATGGACAAAGAACTGCCTCCCCAGTTCAGCTCCCCTCCATGCATGGAAGGGAATTCCTCCCACAGGCTGCAGGATTGGAGCTCAGATCTGAAGGGGTTCAACTCTCCTTGCCTTGCAGCTCTTTCATTTGACTCCCAGAGATGACAGGGAGTCCTCTTGGCAGGTGGTGGCAGCTTGCAACCTTTCCTGCCGGGTTGCCCAGTGATTCTGGGGGGAAGGCAGTAATAGGTTTGCAAATGGTGATCATAGGATTGTGGGGTAATTGGCAACTGATCATAAATACAAGTAGGCTGCAAGCATCTAGATCAGTGGTTCTCAACCTTTTTAATGCCGCGACCCCAAACCAGTCGTAAGTCGAGGACTACTCAACCGGTCGTAAGTCGAGGACTACGTGCAGCACCGTTTGCAGAATGGGACTGTTGGCGGGCTCAGCAGGGCAGAGACAGCCTGGACAATTCCTATTGGCTTTTGAAAGCCAATAGAATTAGACTCTATTCAAGAGAGTCTATTCTATTGGCTTTCAAAAGCCAATAGAATAAAAGGGAGTAGCACAGCTAAGGAAAAGGGGGGAAAAAATGGCGGATTGCGTTGTTTGGCGACCCCTGTGAAATGGTCGTTTGACCCCAAATGGGGTCCTGATCCACAGAGAACCACTGATCTAGATCATGACCATGAGGCCATAGAGTGGTGACAAATTAGTGCTGGACCGTATGACCCTTTCTGAGGTCATTGTAATTCCAGACCATCATTCGATAAATAGTCATCAGTTGAGGACTACCTGTATCTATCCTTTCTTCCAGGTCTTTCCAAAGAAATCCTGGTTTCACCAGAATCAGGCACAATGAGGTGTATTTAAAAAACATTAATTCCTTGTCATTCGTCCATCTCCCAAGTACTCCTGTAAGAGGCAAAATTGTTCATAGAGAAGCAGCTTCCTCCATCTTACCCTGGCCGGAGCTGTGACTTCCTGGAAAAAGAAAAAGAAAATTGGGAGGTCAGTCTCTTGGCTAGAGGGGAATAGATGGAAAATCTCAGCTCTTTCTGAATCTAGGTTTCTCCTTCCTTCCCTCACATATAAACTAAAACACACAAACAGATACGTTTGAGGGACATAGGAAAGAATTATTATCATTTATATATCTCCACAAAGAACAAAAGTTCTGGACAAACCTTTGTCTGAAATGATATAGGGTTTCCAGCCTGAACAGGGGGGTTGGACTAGAAGACCCCCAAGGTCCCTTCCAACTGTGTTGTTCTATTCTATTCTATTCTATTCTATTCTATTCTATTCTATTCTATTCTATTCTATTCTATTCCATTCCATTCCATTCCATTCCATTCCATTCCATTCCATTCTATTCTATTCCATTCCATTCCATTCCATTCCATTCCATTCCATTTCCATTCCAATTCCATTCCATTCCATCATTCCATTCCATTCCATTCCATTCCATTCCATTATATTCATTCCATTCCATCCATTATTCCATTCCATTCCATTCCATTCCATTCCATTATTCTATTCTATTCTATATTCTATTCTATTCTATAGCACAAATTGCAGCTTCAGGAGCTGCTTTTGTATTTGGGCACACATACACACACATACACAGAAAACTGATGCAACCTCTGATCCCAGCTCTGAACTGGGACTAACATTTAAAGATCAGAAGTCATCCACTTGCTACCTTGAGGACTTAAAGCTGAGTCAAGGCTGAAGTCCCCCCAAAAGCCCAGATCTCAGAAGCTCCTCAAGGGGGCTGGGAAAACATGGGAGAATGAAGCCCAAAAGAAGCTCCCTAAAGGGAGAGACTCAGAAGGCTTTTTCCATCTTCCTTCAATCACCCAAAAAAGGATACTTACTGAAGAATATCAAAGTCCCAACCATCACACACACCAGGACAAGACCAGCCACAACGCAGCCGACGATGAGCCCCAGGTTGGATTCTGGAACTGAATTGGGAAAAAAAGAGCAGATAATTGAAGGAGAACCCCAAACAATAATCTCTATTAGTGGAGAGACTTAATGCAGCCAAAAGACTGGGAATTCCTCAAATTAAAAATTTTGAGGGGCTCCTCTTTTTTTTTTAATTGAAATTTTTTTATTTTTTCCATTTAAACATTATAAAAATACAATACAATTTTAAAATAAGATAAATTCATAACCATTGGTGCGACCCGCCCATTCCCCCCAGGCTGCGTCCACCCTTTCTTAAAACATTCCCTACTTCCCTCCTCTTTCTCTCCTCCCCTCCTACTCTTTTCCCCTCCCCCTCTCCTCTCAATACCCTACTTCCTCTCTACACCTTCTCTCCTCTCATCCCTATCAAAGGGGCTCCTCTTTATGTCCCTCTAATGGTAGCATGAAGACACCTTGCTAACCATTGTTTCAATAAATCCCTGGTTACAAATTAATGTTTGCAATAGTGGTGAATATCTGTGAATATGTAAATAATAATAATAATAATAATAATAATAATGATGATGATGATGATGATGATGATGATGATGATGATGATGATGATGATGATGATGTTGGAAGGGACTTTGGAGGTCATCTAGTCTAACCCCCTGCTCAGGCAGGAAACCCTATACCATTTCAGACAAATGGCTTATCCAGTCTCTTCTTAAAAACTTCCAGTTTTGGAGCATTTACCGCTTCTGGAGGCAGGTTGTTCCACTGATTAATTGTTCTCACTGTCATGAAGTTTCTCTTTAGTTCTAGGTTGCTTCTCTCCTTGATTAGTTTCCATCTGTTGCTTCTTGTCCTGCCTTCAGGAGCTTTGGAAAATAGCTTGATTCCCTCTTCTTTGTGGCAGCCCCTGAGATATTGGAATACTGCTATCATGTCCCCCCCCCCTGTCTACATTTCTACATTTGTCTACATTTTTTCTACATAAATGTCTACATTTCTTTCTTAGAGCAGCAATTTGTTAAATATATGTGTGTGTGTGTGTGTTTGTAATTGATTTTTTACAATAATTATCTTTGTTGCTTAGTAAACCAGGGCTTTTTAACCAGTGGTACGGGTACTACCTGTGGTACATTGGCACCTGGCAGGTGGTACGTGACCATCCTAGAAAAGTGGTAGCAAGGGAGGGGGAATGAGAATGCCACCGGGCGGGCAGGCAGGTGTCTTGCTCGGCTGTGGCTTGGGGGGCACTTTTTTCAGTGCCATTGTAACTTCGAACAGTCACTAAGCGAACTGTTGTAAGTGGAAGACTACTTTATCACTTTTTTCCTTTTTTTTTTTGGTTATCAAGTTTTTGACACCTTGCTAGGCGACTGGTGGTACTCGGATATTGCCATATCCTAAAAGTGGTACAATCGGTGAAAAGGTTGAAAAGCCCTGTAGTAAACAACGTGTTGTCTGGGTTCACATACTTAACAATGATTAATAGTAATTAATTTCTATAATTCCATAGTTAACATGTTAGATAGTAATACACTTCCCTGAGATACATACAGAATTAGATATAGACATGTTTATACAAATAACAATAATATCAGTATATAACATCTTTTCTAACCAGCGTATCGTATTTGCAATTGTCTTCTTATTGAATCAATGCAGAACCTGTTTTTCAATTTCTTAAATTTAGTTTCCCATCAGTATTCAAAATATTCTTGTCAGTTATGATTTTCTCAAAGTTAATTACATTTAAGTGTCCAAACATTTCACTCCCAATATTTTTACATTTCCCATATCATAAAAAAGTGCTATTCTAATTATAAATCACATCCCTCTTACTATAAAATCCATTTATATCCAAAGGTTATCTATTCTTTTAATCATATTCAAATAAATGTTTGGTCAAGTAATACCCCATCTGGTACGTCAAATCATCTGTTCTCTTAAATGTAACTCTAGCCTTCTTCCTTTGCCAAGCCACTTTCCAAGTCAGTGCATTCAAATCACCAAGGAATTTTTCCTGTATTTTTGCGGACCTTGTTTGGAGTGGGAGAGACAATTTAGGTGGAGTGTTTTTGAGGGGGAATTTTGCCCATTTATATTCATTAAACAACTCCCACTTTCCTTCTCCCTCCTCTTTTCATTTTTTGTCTTCCAGACTCTAGTGATTCTCCTGACAACTCTATAATCCATTTTATCAGATCTTCTTTCTTGTCCTCAAATATGTTTTGAAGTCCTGAAAGATAAGGTGCCTTTTCCATTTCCGGTATTGTAACAAAATCTTGCAGATTTTTCTTTGCTTGTACCAGACTGTAAGTCCCTTTGCCTCCATCTTTGGTTTATAGTCTGTTTTCTGACATGTTTGTTCATTTTCTGGGAGTTTTTAAATTGTAAGCTTAAATTAGAAATTTGCTCATTTATGTTATCTAAATTGTTTTTAATGTCATCATGGTTTCTTCTTGTGTCTTCTTTATGTGAAAGAATTGTATTTTGAATTAATTGCAGCATAGCATGCATCTCCTCCTGGAAGGTGTTTACCTTGTCTTGAGGTGTCACTCCTGCAGATCCCTGATATACCAGGCTGGGGCTTCAGATAAGAATATTGGGTGTAGTTTCCTACCTCTTTTAGTTAGATATGCAACATCCATTTTATCTTACATTTAAAAGCAATATTTTAAATCTTTGCAGCATCCCCATGGTCATGTGATCAAAATTTAGATGCTTCGCAACTGGTTCATATTTATGATGGTTGCTGTGTCCTGGGGTCATGTGATCACCTTATGCAATCTTCTGACAGGCAATGTCTATGGGGAAGCCAGATTCACTTCACAACTGAGTTATTAATTTAACAACTTCAGTGATTCACTTAACCCACTGTGGCAAGAAATTTTATAATGGTTCTTCTGCTCAGGGATCCAACAATTATCAACCAGCCAAAATTTGCAGTTCAAAATATTCAACCACCTAAGAATAGTCCAAGAGACTCCCCCCTACAAAAGTAGCTAAAAGTCAAGATTTTTCTTTCTCTGCAAATAGTTCTTAAGCTTAAAAATCAAAGCTCAGTTGATGTTTATAATCCAGGAAGGTCAACAGTTTTTATAACAATTGTAGTTCTCACTTTGTGGTAGATAGCCCAATGTATTTTCCTCTGTTTCCAGCTGTTCTCTATTAAACTAAGAGTCACTGGGCATCAAAGGAACAAGTTGTTATTTGTTTCTGGGTGTCTTGCCAGTTTCTCAGTGAAGGCAATTGTAGTGCTATACTGTGATCCACCACTAGATGTCATTAAGTATTAATTTTCCGACTTTGAAAACAGAAAATTATTTTCTTGTAATTTCATCCCAATACTCTTTCAAAGAGAAAATCTTAATAATTTCAGTTTTCAGGTTTTTCCACACTATATCTTTATATTAGTTCCATTTCAATATATTTCTGGCCCCCATAAAAATTAAAATGCCGCTTCCATCTATGGAAGAGTGGGGCTACAATCCCTTTCCTTCTCACTTTTGGAGGTTTTTTTTTTTTTTTTTTTTTTTGCTTCTTGGGGGTCTTTTCCAGGCAATCCAGCTGTAAAATAGAAAAGACTGATATTCTCACCCAATTCCAAACACGTTATTCACAATCTGTTCTAGTTGATGCTTTTTTGCTTTGGTTGTCAGTAGCTTGGGCTAGTTACAGAAATGCAGCTAGCTTTTCTCCTGCCAGTTTGGAGGGCTTTCCCCAGATCAGCTGGATCAACCGCTGTCTTTCTGTGATTGATGGGGGTCCCCTCCTTCTTCATTGCCCCTCTGGGGCAACTTTAGACCCATTTAGAGTCCCCTGGCAGGACGAAACCAGCTGTGGGGTGCGGAGCCCCACAATTCTTCAGCCGTGTCACTACGACACAAACCTCCCTCAGCAGCAATTTGTTCTTTACAGGACGAAAACCATTTTAGTCTCTGATGGCAAAAAGTCAGAGTGGTAGCCCAAAGAAAATCTCTTTTGGGTGCTTAGCATAACTGCTGCTCCTTTGCTGGAGGCAGGAAACAAAGGAGGGACAGAGGGTAAGAGATGATCTAAGGCAGTGGTTCTCAACCTTTTTAATGCCGCAGCCCCCAACCGGTCGTAAGTCGAGGACTACTCAACCGGTCGTAAGTCAAGGACTACTCAATGTGTAGCACCGTTTGCAGAATGGGACTTTTGGCGGGCTCAGCAGGGCAGAGACAGCCTGGACAATTCCTATTGGCTTTCAAAAGCCAATAGAATAAAAGGGAGTAGCACAGCTAAGGAAAAGGGGGAAAAAATGGCGGACTGCGTTGTTTGGCGACCCCCGTGAAATGGTCGTTCGACCCCAAGTGGGGTCCCAACCCACAGGTTAAGAACCGCTGATCTAAGGGCATTTCATCAGGATTGTCAACTGTTGTGATGGGATTTGTTGCTTCCTTTAAATCACCTAAACCCAATTCTATGGACTGTTCCCTGCAGGTGCACCAACAAACTACATGAGAAAAACCAACCAATTAGAATTCAACTTCACATTTATATACAACTGGGGTCAGATTTCTTTCCCACAATCATCAAGCCTGAAAGAGACCCCAGCCTTTCCCTCCCTGCAGCCTCTCACCCTTCAGGGCCACGTCCAGAGGCTCCTGCAGGCTATCATGCTTCACGTGGCACCGATAGCGGCCCCTCTCTTTGGGATCGATCTGGATGCTGAGCCAATAGTGGTAGGTCCCATCTGCGTTGGGGGCTACAAACCCATGGAGGGTGTCCTGCAGCCAGACCTCCCCGTCCCTTTTCCAGGCGGCATCGATCTCTTTGGGGTAGAAGCCGTAGACCCGACAGATGTGTGTTTCCATCCCATCTTCAGCTGCCATCCTTCTGGTCATCGTCACCACTGGGGGCTCTGCCGAAACAACATCATCAGAATTAACTCTGAGCCCCTCCAGAGCCCGGAAGGTGGATGAAAAATTTGAAGGGGCAGAAAACTCTCCCACTACTTGGTTTTAACTCAAGGATTTAACATACTATAACTACAACATCTCCAGGAGTTTGGGGAAATCTGGAAAACGATCAACCACAAGGACTCCTGATTCTGAGTCCTTCCCAGTGACTCAGTCTGAAGAACCTCTGGCAGCAAATTGAGAGTCCAAGGAAATTCCACCGTGACTGCTTTGAACTCTGACTGATCTTGGGCTACTCTCTTTAGGGGACAGAAATTAGACTTTAGAGTTCCCTTTCAAAAAAAGGTTTCTCCCTACTTTGGGGTTCTCTTCTGCTCCCTCAAATCTTTGACTGCTCTAGGCCTCTTTCCAAGGGACACAACCACAATTTCAAGAGGAGGAGAGTGAGAATCAAAGCAAGTGGCTCAGACAGTTTGCAGTTCATGGCAGGGTACCAGATTATTTGACTTCTCCCCGATTTATGTACTCAGCCTACCAGATTCCAGAGAGGCGGCATGTTATGGCTTCTGTCGCTTCTATTTTTGGTAGGCCGAATGGAGTGTGCCTTTACTCCTATGACAACCCCATTGTGGAATAGCACTTAGACTTCTCGGTGCTTTACAGCCTTCTCTAAGCCCTAAGAGTGATGGCGAACCTTTTAGAGACCGAGTGCCCAAACTGCAACCCCAAACCCACTTATTTATCGGCGGGTGCCAGGTGGGCATGGCCCACTGGGTGGGCGTGGCTGTGGTAGTCATGGCAGATTGGGTGGGTGTGGCCAATCTGGGTGTGGTCACTTCAATGTAGCTCATGGGGAGGGATGCCTGTGGAGGGTGGGCAGGGTTGGGGGAGATCCAGGGTGTCTCTGGTAAGTGGGGTGGTAGGCAGGAGGCTCATCCTGTGGGGTGAGGCGAGGCAGGGTGGGGGTGCCATTGCTATGGGTCAAGGCAAGGGCCAGGGCAGCTGCTGCCTGATACCATCGCCCCCTGCACACAGGCCAGGGAGTGCATGGGGGCTGACGGTTTTCGTCAGCAGCCACAGTCCTCCAGCCCCTTGACTGGCACACTCTGGAGCTCAACAGCCCGCCATCAGCAGTTCAAAGAAGCTGCCTCTGAGCTGGATGGCCGGCCGACAGCTGAGTAGGCGATGCAGTGGGTTGTGCCTGGGAAAATGGGAGCATGCGAGACCAGGAGGGGAGGGACAGAGGGGAGGGAAACCAACCATGCCGGGATGCATCTGACCACGTGGGACCTCAGCGAGTTAGCAGGCGGCTGGTTGAAGAGGGACAGTTGCCATCTCCAAGGCATGGCATGCGTGCCCACAAACAGGGCTCTGGCACGCATGCCATAGGTTCGCCACCACTGCCCTAAGCCCCCTCTCAGCATATTGCCTCCAACTACCTGGTTCCTCATTTTACCAACCTCGGAAGGATGGAAGGCTGAATCGACCTTGAACCAGTCAAGATCGAAGGAGTTGAACTCCTGGCAGTGTGAGCAGCGTTAGCCTGCAATACTGCATTCTAACCACGGTGTCACCACAGCGCCAATCTTTTCTCCCCTGAAGTGAGGTTAGCCCAGTGCTTCTCAAATAGTGGGGCGTGCCCCCCCAGGGGGGGCGCGAGGCTCTGTAAAGGGGGGCTCGTTTGACCTCGGCAAATACTGTCATATTGGATTTCTAGATCGGATCATCCGACTCACTCGCAAGCGGCAGCCCGACGCGGAGGACAACATGACTGCCAACGCACGTGACACATGCAAAGGACCTGATTGGATAGACATGATGCTCTATCCTGATTGGCCAAACCTGCCCGTGTGACTTTTAGACCCGGAAATCGGTCCTCTGTACTGAAAAAAATTTTTTACAGTCGCGCGGGGGGCGCGAAATGTTTTCTTCTTCCTAGGGGGGCATGACAGAAAATAATTGAGAAGCACTGGGTTAGCCTCATCACTGTTGAACCTCTGGAGGTTCTTTGGTTATGTGGAGACCCCAGTTCCAAATGGGATAACTCAACACAATAAGTGTTATCCGCCACTATTTCTTTGACACAATTTCCATTGATAAAAATGAAAACAAAGTCCAAGAAACAGTGGCGAATAACATTTTTCACATTGAATTATCCCACATGGAATTGTCCTGGAGCAAGTTGTCCCATAGCAAGCTGGCCACGGTGAGTTGGCTGCGATGAGATGGCCATGGTGAAATGGCCACTGTGAGTTGGCTGCAGAGAGTTGTCACAGACCCTTAGGCTGATCATCTTCCTGTAAATCTTCTTTATCTTCCATGTCCGAGCTGGCCAGGACAAAATAACCTTCGGCTACTAATGTGGTTTATTTATTTATGAGACTTATATACCGCTTTAAGTGCAAGCACTCTCTAAGCGGTGTACACCAGTAAGCAATGTATATATATATTTACATTGCCCCCAACAATCTGGGTCCTCATTTTACCTACCTCGGAAGGATGGAAGGCTGAGTCAACCTTGAGCCGGTGAGATCTGAACCGCTGACCTGCTGAACACAGTCAGCTAAAGTGGCCTGCAGTACTGCACTCTAACTGCTGCGCCACCTCGGTACTTCCTGGCTTTGTATATGTAGAAGCCATTGTGAAGACAGACATGAGGTGATGTGTCCCAAAAGAGCCACGGGGTGAGTCTACAGGACAAAATAACCTTTGGCTACTAATGTGCTTTCACTGAATAGTAGTCCTGTTGTCTCATTGTGGGCAGTGAACAGGACACTTCCAAGTACTTTTGCTGTCTGATCCTCACAGAGACCCGCCAGGCAGAGGCTGCATTTCCTGGTCCATTGAATAGCGGCCAGCATCCAACTCTAGATAAGGGACCCAAAGGGGCCAAACCTGTCATAAAGGGGGAAAGTCCATCCTGGACACAGATGCTCACCTGTCCTCAGCAGCACCTCCTTCCCGTATAACAGGCACTTCTCTAGCATCTCAATGCAGATCTTTCTATCGTAAGGATGCATGCGGTAGCTGTCTCTGAGCTCCCGATCATAAGCTATCTGAAGAAACCCTTCTTTGCTCCCATCTCCCTGGAGATCACAGCTTGCAATCTCCTGTATGATGTGAACGCCTGAAAGGGGGACAAGATAATGGTTTGAGGAATCCTCAGGAGAGACAGGTATCTCCATTCTTGCAGGGACTTTGACTCAGGAGGGAGCCAGCAAGAAAAGGGATGAATAACAAAATGAAAGAAATGCATTCCCCCCCCCCCCATGAAGCTACTGGAGAGACATTCCCCTAAATATGAGCCAGCCGTGTGCTGCAGCTGCCAAAAAGGCCAACACAGTGCTAGGCTGCATTAACAGAGGGATAGAATCAAGATCACGTGAAGCGTTAATACCACTGTTCAATGCCTTGGTAAGAGCACACTTGGAATACTGCATCCAGTTTTGGTCACCATGATGTAAAAAAGATGTTGAGACTCTAGAAAGAGTACAGAGAAGAGCAACAAAGATGATTAGGGGACTGGAGGCTAAAGCATATAAGGAATGGTTGCTAGAATTGGGTATGTCTAGTTTAACGAAGAGAAGGACGAGGGGGGACATGATGGCAGTATTCCAATATCTCAGGGGCTGCCATAAAGAAGAGGGAACTAAGCTATTTTCCAAAGCACCTGAAGGCAGGACAAGAAGCAACAGGTGGAAACTAATCAAGGAGAGAAGCAACCTAGAACTAAAGAGAAACTTCCTGACAGTTAGAATAATTAACCAGTGGAACAACCTGCCTCCAGAAGCGGTGAATGCTCCAATACTGGAAGTTTTTAAGAAGAGACTGGACAACCATTTGTCCGAAATGGTGTAGGGTTTCCTGCCTGAGCAGGGGGTTGGACTAGATGACCTCCAAGGTCCCTTCCAACTTTACTACTATTACATTGAGCCTCCCCATTCACCCTGTCCCCAAATCGCACTTTGAAAGTCTCCAGATCATCCCCCCCTCCCCATTTTCCTCCATCTTCTCCTTCCTCCAAAGTCTCCTTCTAGGGCAAAAGGAGAAACAGGCGCACCTTTGCACAAGTTCATCTGTTGCACCAGTTGCGACCCTACCTGGACCGGGAGGCTCTCCTTACAGTCACTCATGCCCTTGTCACCTCACGCCTGGACTACTGCAACGCGCTCTACATGGGGCTACCCTTGAAAAGTATTCGGAGACTACAGTTGGTCCAGAATGCAGCCGCGCGAGTGATAGTGGGTGTTCCTCGGTACACCCACGTTACACCTATCCTCCATGAGCTGCACTGGTTGCCTATTGGTCTCCGGGCCCAATTCAAGGTGTTGGTTATTACCTTTAAAGCCCTATATGGCTCAGGGCCAGGCTATTTGCGAGACCGCCTACTACCTCATAGTTCCCTTCATCCGGTTAGATCCCACAGGCTGGGCCTCCTTCAGGTCCCGTCGGCCAAGCAGTGCCATTTGGCGGGGCCGCGGGGGAGGGCTTTCTCTGTGATGGCGCCCACGTCTTGGAACCAGCTCCCCCCCCAGAGATTAGGACCGCTCCCACCCTGTGGTTTTCCGCAAGCTGCTTAAGATCTGGCTTTTCCGGCAGGCCTGGGGTTTATAAAATCTGACCCCTGGATGAATGTTATTGTATTGTTTGTTGTTAAGTTATATTGTGTTTTTATTGTTAGCCGCCCGGAGTCCTGCGGGAGTGGGGCGGTCTATAAATTTTAATAAATAAAATAAAATAAATCTTTGTCTCAGATTCACAGAGTCCCAAATCCGCTTTCTGGAGGCTCAGTGCAGAGACAAATGTCCAGAAGTGGGGAGAGGGCAGAGGGGCCCCCCACCACCCATGTCAAACTCACAAGAGAGGCTCCTCACAAGCAAGCCTATTTGCTTGCAACCCTCCCCTAAATAAGATTCTTTGAAAGTGAGTCTTTGATCCCAGGGATAGAAAAGGGGGGGGGAGAAATTCCCTTCTGAAAGGAGCCCCACCAAGAGAGCAGCGTGGGAGTTCGGTCTGATTTGAAGCCACAGCAGCTGTAGCTGCTCAGGAAGGGCTCCAATTGGGGGGCTTCTGTCTTTTCTATCTCTCCCCCCCCAGGAAGGAATGGATGCATGGAGTGGATCTGTGCCCTTTCAAGAGCCCCCACCCCACCCTTACTTAGCCTCCTTGACCTCTTCTTCCAACCGGAGATGAAGAAGCACCTGCTTGAGCAGGCGGTTGGAATCATAATCACAATCACAATTATAATCATAATCATAAAAATTGGAAGGGACCTTGGAGGTCATCTAGTCCACCCCCCTGCTCAGGCAGGAAACCCTATACCATTTCAGAAAAATGGCTGTCCAGTCTCTTCTGAAAAACTTCTGCTGTTGGAGAATTCACAACTTCTGGAGGCAGGTAGTTCCACTGATTAATTGTTCTAACTGTCAGGAAGTTTCTCCTTAGTTCTAGGTTGCTTCTCTCTTTCTTCTCTTCCATCCTTCCTTGTCCTGCCCTCCGAATAGCTTGACTCCCTCTTCTTTGGGGCAGCCCCTGAGATATTGGAACACTGCTATCGTGTCACCCCTCATCCTTCTCTTCATTAAACTAGACATACCCAGTTCCATCAAACGTTCTTTATATGGTTTAGCCTCCAGACCCCTGATCATCTTTGTTGCTTTTCTCTGTGCTCTTTCTAGAGTCTCAACATTTTTTGTTTTTTTACATCGGGGTGACCAAAACTGGATGCAGTATTCCAAGTGTGGCCTCACCAAGTTGTTATAAAGTGGTATTAATACTTCACGTGATCTTGATTCTATCCCTCTGTTAATGCAGCTTAGCACTGTGTTGCCTTTTTTGGCAGCTGCAGCGCACTGCTGGCTCACATTTAAGTGATTGTCCACTAGGACTCCGAGATCCTTCTCACAGTTACTACTATTGAGCAAGATACCAGCTATACTGTATCTGTGCACTTGGTTTTTCTTGTCTAAATGTAGAACCTTATTTTTTCAGCATTGAATTTCATGTTGTTAGATAGCACCCAAGTCTGTCCAGATCCTCCTGTATCCTAAGCCTGTCTTCTGGAGTGTTGGCTATTCCTGCCAGTTTGGTGTCATCTGCAAATTTGATGAGTTCCCCATTTATCCCCTCGTCCAAATCATTGATGAAGATGTTGAAGAGCACTGGGCCCAGAACAGAGCCCTGGGGTACCCCACTACACGCTTCCCTCCATGTAGATGCGGTTCCATTGAGGACCACATGCTGAGTACAGCCGGTCAGCCAGCTACGGATCCATGTGGTGGTGATGCTGTCTAACCCACATTTTTCTATCTTCTCAAGTAGTAGGTTGTGATCTATTTTATCAAATGCCTTACTGAAGTCCAAGTAAATTATATCCACAGCATTCCTCTGGCCCACTAATTTTGTCACCTGGTGAAAGAATGCAATGAGATTTGTCTGGCATGATCTGTTTTTGACCAAACCCATGTTGGAGTAGAAGACCTTCAAGGTCCCTTCCAGCTCTGTTCTGATCAATTGTTTACTTACCCCTCAAATAAGGGGGTGGCAGAAATGCTTCTCCTTGGATAGAATGAGTCTGGTGGGGATCTGGTGTCCCCAGGGAGATCAAGGTGTATTTGATCCCTCATTTGTCTGGTGTGGAAATAGACAGAAGGACCTTCCACCAGGAGCCTCTTAGGAACCACTGGGGGGGGGAGCATGTCACTCCCTTCTTCCCTCACAGCAGGAGGTCCTCCAATGGCAAACCGGGCACGGCCAATGGTGGGAGCCTAAATGTCCCATTCCGTCCACCAAGGCCGAGTCAGTCTGTTTCTTCCTCTTTAGCTTGTTTTCTATCACTCCTGTGCTCTACTGCTTTTTTTTAAAACTTTAACATGTATTTATTTATTTGTTTGTTTGTTTATTGCATTTATGATTACCCATCCACCTTTAATAACGATAAATCTAAGGGACTGGCTTGGATAAAACTCAGCAGCACTTTTTCATGTGGCTGCTGATAAAAGCAGGATCACTAATGTGATCGCTAACATCCAATAACGTTTATGGAAGAAGAAGAAGGAGGAGGAGGAGGAGGAGGAGGAAGAAGAAGAAGAAGAAGAAAAAGAAGAAGAAGAAGAAAAAGAAGAAGAAGAAGAAGGAAGAAGAAGAAGAAGAAGGAAGAAGAAGAAGAAGAAGAAGGAAGAAAGAAGAAGGAAGAAGAAGAAGAAGGAGAAGGAGAAGAAGAAGGAAGAAGGAGAAGAAGAAGAAGAAGAAGGAAGGAAGGAAGAAGAAGAAGAAGGAAGAGGAAGAAGAAGGAAGAAGGAAGAAGAAGAAGAAGAAGGAAGAAGGAAGAAGAAGAAGAAGAAGGAAGAAGGAAGAAGGAAGAAGGAAGAAGGAGAAGAAGGAGAAGAAGAAGAAGAAGGAAGAAGGAAGAAGGAGAAGAAGAAGAAGAAGGAAGAAGGAGAAGAAGAAGAAGAAGGAAGAAGAAGAAGAAGGAAGAAGGAAGAAGGAGAAGAAGAAGGAAGAAGGAGAAGAAGAAGAAGAAGGAAGGAAGGAAGGAAGAAGAAGAAGAAGGAAGAGGAAGAAGAAGGAAGAAGAAGAAGAAGAAGGAAGAAGGAAGAAGAAGAAGAAGAAGGAAGAAGGAAGAAGAAGAAGGAAGAAGGAAGAAGGAAGAAGGAGAAGAAGAAGAAGAAGAAGAAGAAGAAAGAAGTAGAAGAAGAAGAAGGAAGAAGAAGAAGAAGAAGAAGAAGAAGAAGAAGAAGAAGAAGAAGAAGAAGAAGAGAGCAATAAACATATTTTCAGAATAACTTTTTAAAAAAGTTAGGAAACAGCCTTTAACCTGGAAGTGACCCACTTCCTTCCCCTCTCCTGCTATTGGTGGGGAATATGGGGCAGGAAGAGCCACCTGATCCACCACTCACCTTTGCTCTGATTGTAGTGAGTCCTCAGATTCTCCAGGTTTTCTCTGAAGTTATTATCATTGTTTCGAGCTATATCGGTCAGAACCTGCCAGTACTGCGGAATATCGTTCCTCATCTCTTCCATCCAGGAGACGCGAGGCTGAACGCTCCTGCTGTCGCTGTCGTAGTGAGCCAAGATCTGACCATCCATATGCGCCAGAATAACCAACTGGGACAGTTCCTGACTGGGCTCCAAGATGGCGAAGAGGGGAATCTTGAGGGAATGGGAAGAGGAGCCTGAAAAAGGACCCAGAGGGGCAGAGTTAGGGGGCTTCGGCTGGGGGACTCCATTGCTGTGGGACACAGCAGGCCCCATGATTAGATCTGGGAAGGAAGAGAAAGAGATGGGGGAGGGGTGGAGAGGAGAAAGGGAAAAATGAAGGAATAGATGATGGAAGAGGAAGAGGAGGCAGAGGCTGGAAAGAGGGAGGGAAGGAGAGGCAGAAAAGCAGCTTCTGAAGGGGTTGGGGGGAGAAGTTGAGAGAGAAAGGGAAGAGGAAGCAGGATCAAAGGGAGGACAGGAACGCCAAAATCTACCTGCCCCCCCTCAATTGTGCCCTTCCGTCTTCCAGCAAGGCCTCATACAGACTGCCCTGAGGAGGCTGCAGTCACTCACAGGGAGAAGAGGGGTTCCGCCCGCAGAATAGCAAGCAATAGCAACACCACAGACTTATATACCCATTCATAGTGTGTTACAGCCCTCTCTGAGCAGTTTACAACATAAGCCCATTGCCCCCCAACAATCTGCGCCCTCATTTTACCAACCTTGGAAGGACAGAAGCCTGAGTCAACCTTGAGCCTGGTGAGATGATAATAGTAATAGTAGTAGTAATAGTAGTAATAATAATAAAAACAACAACAACAACAATAATAATAATGTTGGAAGGGACCTTGGAGGTCATCTAGTCCATCTCCCTGCTCAGACAGCAAACCCTATACCAGGGGTAGGCAACCTTGGCTCTTTTATGACTCATGGACTTCAACTCCCAGAATTCCTGAGCCAGCCAAGCTGGCTCAGGAATTCTGGGAGTTGAAGTCCAGGAGTCATAAAAGAGCCAAGGTTGCCTACCCATGCCCTATACCATTTCAGACAAATGGCTGTCCAGTCTCTTCTTAAAAACTTCCAATGTTGGAGCATTCACAGCTTCTGGAGGCAGGTTGTTCCACTGATTAATTGTTCTAACTGGCAGGAAATTTCTCCTTAGTTGTAGGTTGCTTCTCTTGTCGGTTAGTTTCCACCCGTTTCCACCCGTTGCCTTCAGGTGCTTTGGAGACTAGCTTGACTCCCTCTTCTTTGGGGCAGCCCCTGAGATATTGGAACATGGCTATCATGTTCCCCCTCGTCCTTCTCTTCATTAAACTAGACCTACCCAATTCCAGCCACCGTTCCTTAGATGTTTCAGCCTCCTGTCCCCTAATCATCCTTGTTGCTCTTCTCTGTACTCTTTGTAGAGTCTCAACATCTTTTTTTACATCGTGGTAAAAAAGGAGGCTAAAACATATAAGGAACGGTTGCTGCAATTGGGTATGTCTAGTTTAATGAAGAGAAGGACGAGGGGGGACATGATAGCCGTGTTCCAATATCTCAGGGGCTGCCACAAAGAAGAGGGAGTGAAGCTATTTTCCAAAGCGCCTGAAGGAAGGACAAGAAGCAATGGGTGGAAAATAAGGTTCTACATTTAGACAAGAAAAACCAAATGCACAGATACAGTATAGCTGGTATCTTGCTCAATAGTAGTAACTGTGAGAGGGATCTCGAAGTCCTAGTGGACAATCACTTAAATATGAGCCAGCCGTGTGCTGCAGCTGCCAAAAAAGGCAACACAGTGCTAAGCTGCATTAACAGAGGGATAGAATCAAGATCACGTGAAGTATTAATACCACTTTATAACAACCTGGTAAGGCCACACTTGGAATATTGCATCCAGTTTTGGTCACCACGACATAAAAAAAAAAAAATGTTGAGACTCTAGAAAGAGCACAGAGAAAAGCAACAAAGATGATCAGGGGTCTGGAGGCTAAACCATATAAAGAACATTTGATGGAATTGGGTATGTCTAGTTTAATGAAGAGAAGGATGAGGGGGTGACACGATAGCAGTGTTCCAATATCTCAGGAGCTGTCCCAAAGAAGAGGGAGTCAAGCTATTTTCCAAAGCGCCTGAAGGCAGGACAAGAAGCCATGGGTGGAAACTAACCAAAGAGAAAAGCAAGCTAGAACTAAGGAGAAACTTCCTGACAGTTAGAACAATTAATCAATGGAACAACCTGCCTCCAGCTCTGAATGCGCCAACACTGGAAGTTTTTAGGAAGATACTGGACAGCCATTTGTCCGAAATGGTAGGGGGTTTCCTGCCTGAGCAGGAGGTTGGACTAGATGACCTCCAAGGTCCCTTCCAACTTTACCATTATTATTATTATTATTCTGGATGCATTCCTACCAGCAGAAAAACGGGGCAGAACCCCTTACACCTTGGAAGGGACTCACCGAGGCACATCTGCTGGAGAGCGACCACCCCCAGCAACAGGAGCCAGAGGGGCGCAGAGCGCAGAGCCATCCTGTCCGTCATCCTCAACCTGCGCTCCGCTCTCCTGCAGTCAACAAGGCAAAGAAAGAGGCGCTCGGGGCGATCAATAGCGCAATAATTCAGAGCGAGCCGGTGATTGGCTAAGCTCAACCAGTAAGAAAAAAACAACAACATTCCCATGACGTTTACGGTTGCTAGGCAGACAACCGGGCAAAACTTGTGAGGAAAGCTGCAAAAGGGAAGCGAAAGACGTTTCCTCTGAGTCAGGCGTTCAAGAACATCCCATTCCAGGAATTCCCCGTCGTGGGGGAGGGGCGGATCTGCGGGGGTCAAAGAGTCCGAGAGTTATCTGTTCCTGGGGGGGGGGGGGGGAAGAAGAAGGGACAAAGAGGCCGCGTCCCTTTCAGATCCCGCCCAGCCCCCGCCCCCCCCCCGCCCCGCAGTCGAGGATCAGGTGAAGATCAGGAACCGCAAGTGATCTTCCCTTGGGCTGAAAACGCTCAGAGGCTCTTGGGGCATCTTCAAGGCGAAGACACGTCTTCCTGTGGAAATAATAATGATGATGATGATGTTGATGTTGGAAGGGACCTTGGAGGTCATCTAGTCCACCCCCCTGCTCAGGCAGGAAACTCTAGACCAGTGGTTCTCCACCTGTGGGTCGGGACCCCATTTGGGGTCGAATGACCATTTCACGGGGGTCACCAAACCACGCTGTCCGCCATTTTTTTCCCTTTTCCCTAGCTGTCCTACTCCCTCTTATTGGTGGCCACACCCACTTGGGGGTCACCACAACATGGGGAACTGTATTATGGGGTCACGGCATTAGAAAGGTTGAGAATCACTGCCCTAGACCATTTCAGACAAATGGCTGTCCAGTCTCTTCTTAAAAACTCCCAGTGTTGGAGCGTTCACCCACTTCTGGAGGCAGGCGGTTCCACTGGTTAATTGTTCTCACTGTCAGGAAGTTTCTCCTTAGTTCTAGGTTGCTTCTCTCCTTGCTTAATTTCCACCCGTTGCTTCTTGTCCTGCCTTCTAGTACTTTGTAGAATAAGTTAGTAATAATAATAATAATAATAATAATAATAATAATAATAATAATAATAAAGTTGGAAGGGGCCTTGGAGGTCATCTAGTCCAACCCCCTGCTCAGGCAGGAAACCCTATACCATTTGGGACAAACGGCTGTCCAGTCTCTTCTTAAAAACTTCCAACATTGGAGCATTCACCGCTTCTGGAGGCAGGCTGTTCCACTGGTTAATTGTTTTCACTGTCAGGAAGTTTCTCCTTAGTTCTAGGTTGCTTCTCTCCTTGATTAGTTTCCACCCATTGCTTCTTGTCCTGCCTTCAGGTGCTTTGGAAAATAGCTTGATTCCCTCTTCTTTGTGGCAGCCCCTGAGATATTGGAACACAGCTATTATGTTCCCCCCTTGTCCTTCTCTTCGTTAAACGAGACATACCCAATTCTAGCAACCGTTCCTTATGTTTTAGCCTCCAGTCCCCTGATCATCTTTGTTGCCTCCTTGACCTCTACTTCCAACCGGAGATGAAGAAGCATCTGCTTGAGCAGGCGGTTGGAATCATAATCACAATCACAATTATAATCATAAAAATTGGAAGGGACCTTGGAGGTCATCTAGTCCACCCCCCTGCTGAGGCAGGAAACCCTATACCATTTCAGACAAATGGCTGTCCAGTCTCTTCTGAAAAACTTCCGCTGTTGGAGGATTCACAACTTCTGGAGGCAGGTTGTTCCACTGATTAATTGTTCTTACTGTCAGGAAGTTTCTCCTTAGTTCTAGGTTGCTTCTCTCTTTGGTTAGTTTCCATCCTTTCTTGTCCTGCCCTCCGAATAGCTTGACTCCCTCTTCTTTGGGGCAGCCCCTGAGATATTGGAACACTGCTATCGTGTCACCCCTCATCCTTCTCTTCATTAAACTAGACATACCCAATTCCATCAAATGTTCTTTATATGGTTTAGCCTCCAGACCCCTGATCATCTTTGTTGCTTTTCTCTGTGCTCTTTCTAGAGTGTCAACATTTTTTTTTTTTACATCGTGGTGACCAAAACTGGATGCAATATTCCAAGTGTGGCCTTAACAGGTTGTTATAAAGTGGTATTAACACTTCACGTGATCTTGATTCTATCCCTCTGTTAATGCAGCCTAGCACTGTGTTGGCTTTTTTGGCAGCTGCAGCACACAGCTGGCTCATATTTAAGTGATTGTCCACTAGGACTCCAAGATCCCTCTCACAGTTACTACTATTGAGCAAGATACCAGCTATACTGTACCTGTGCATTTGGTTTTTCTTGTCTAAAATCTTGTCCTGCCTTCAGGCGCTTTTGAAAATAGCTTGACTCCCTCTTCTTTGTGGCAGCCCCTGAGATATTGGAAGAGTGCTATCCTGTCCCCCCTTGTCCTTCTCTTTGTTAAACTAGACATATCCAATTCCAGCAACAGTTCCTTATATGCTTTAGCCTCCAGTCCCCTCATCATATTTGTTTCTCTTCTCTGCACTCTTTCTAAAGTCTCAACATCTTTTTTTTTTGATGATGATGATGATGCCTTTACATTTCCTGCGGGGAGTAAAGTGTGAGGAAGAGCCAGTGGGGTTTTTTTCAGAGCTTGAACCATCTTCTGCTGTGGTCAGCCTCCCCCTGAGCATGTACAGAGTGAGAATAAGGCCGTGCCTGGGGGGAAGAGGAAGGGCCTTCTGCCTCCCTTTCGTGGCCCTGTATTTCTACCGACGAAGAAGGCTGAGACCATTAAGGGGACCTTCCAATCTGTGGACATTGGCGTCTGCAGAGTGAGCCTCACCTTCAGATCCTCGCTTTTCTGTCTGATGTCACAGCAGGTGTAAAGCTGGTGGACAGAATGTTTCTTAGTGGTAGAAAGGCTTTTCCCAGTCGAAAACATTGCAACAGCTACTGCTCTTCTCAGAATTGCTCCGAAGCCTAGAAAGTGCCCTTTAAAAAAAAAAAATAAAATCATGCAAAGCTTTGCTTCTGCTGTCATTCTGACTTTTCCCAGACTTTCTGCCCTCCAGAAACATCCTTTTCCTGATTTTCCAACCAGAAAACTAGCAAACACAATCTTTCTGAAAGATAGTTTCCCCCCCCCCCAAGGCTTTTACCATTCAGGAGAACCACATTCATTAGCACTGTAGCGCAAAAGCGAGCGAATATAATATCTCTGAAAGGTAGAAAGGCTAGTCCAGTGATGGCGAACCTTTTAGAGACCGAGTGCCCAAACTGCAACCCAAAACCCACTTATTTATCGCCGGGTGCCAGGTGGGTGTGGCCCCCACTGGGTGGGGGTGGCTGTGGTGGTCATGGCAGATTGGGTGGGTGTGGCCAAGGTGGTCAGGTGATCACCTTGATGTTGCTTGTGGGGAGGGACACCTGTGGGGGCCGGGTAGGGTTGGGGAGATCCAGGGGGTCTCTGGCAGGTGGGGCGGTGGGCAGGAGACTCGTCCTGCTGGGTAAGGCAAGGCAAGGGTGCCATTGTCATGGCAAGGTGAGGCCGGTGCGGCTGCTGTCTGACACCATTAACCGCTGCACACGAGGCCAGTGAGTGCATGGGTGCTGGGATCTGTCCATGTGGGACCTCAGCAAGTTAGCGGGCAGCTGGTTGAAGAGGGATGGTTGCCATCTCCGGGGCATGGCGCATGTGCCCACAGAGAGGGCTCTGAGTGCCGCCTCTGGCATGTGTGCCATAGGTTCGCCACCACTGAGCTAGTACATAGAGAAGGGAGGGGACCCAGTGTGTTGGGCAAGAGAAAGAATGTTTTTGGGATTGGAGCTTCTTTTCTTTAGCCCAGTGGACCAGTTGTCTTCCGTGCACAGAGGAGACGGGAAGGCCTGTGATGGGCTGAAATTAGGAAGCTCAGAAATTCACAGGGGTGAGCTGCCTTGCCCTCTTTTGACACTTTCGCTCTATCGACTTAAAAAAAAAGTGCAGTTGCTCAGTGACCACAATCAGGAGAGATCGGGATAGTGGTCATTGAGCGAGGCAGCCACAAAAGTACCCCTGTTAGTGATCACAATGACTTATGACCCAAATTTAGGGCACCCTAGTGGTCATAAGCTGAGGACTACTTGTAGAAATCCAAAAGTCATCAGATTTGTGTAAAGTTTGCACTAGGCCAGGGGTAGGCAACCTTGGCTCTTTTATGACTCGTGGACTTCAACTCCCAGAATTCCTGAGCCAGCCATGCTGAGGGGAAAGGGAGAGGTTTCCAAGCTGACCCATGCTGGCTCAGGAATTCTGGGAGTTGAAGTCCACGAGTCATAAAGCGGCCTAGGCCTAGACCAGAGATAGGTAACCTTGGCTCTTTTATGACTCGTGGATTTCAACTCCCAGAATTCCTGAGCCAGCCATGCTGAGGGAAAAGGGAGAGGTTTCCAAGCTGAAGCATGCTGGCTCAGGAATTCTGGGAGCTGAAGTCCACGAATTATAAAAGAGCCCAGGTTGCCTACTCCTGCAGTAGGCAAAAAAAAAAAAAAAATCCAGGAAGCTGTGGTCAGAGTCCCATTGAATGTCTCTGAAACAATGATTGGGCATTTTCGGCATGGAGGTGGAACTGCTGCAAGCTGCTGGTTGCAAAGCCTGAAGCTAATTCAACGGAGTGGCGAGGAACGCAACTTGCTGCGAGAGGCTGATCCATTTTGCTTGTGCTGACCAAGCACAACCACTTCCTTTTTCACCAAAAGGGTGGGTTGGCAACAAACTATCAGGCCAAGCAAACAGAAACACACAAGAGGGAGTCTGCTCACTTCACTCAACAACCTTTGCAAGTAAGTAAACAAATGCAAACACATATGCTGGCGATCCTCAATTTACAACCACAATGGAGCCCAACATTTATGTGGCCAAGTGAGAAATTGGTTGAATTTTGCCCCATTTCACAACTTTTCTTGCTGCATTTGTTAAGTCAATCACTACAGTTATTAAATTACTAGCACGGTTGTTCAGCAAGTCTGGTTCTCCCATTGACTTTGGTTGTCAGAAGATTACAAAATGGGATCACATGACCCGGGGACGCTGCAACCGTCATAAATGTGAATCAATTGTGCAAGCATCTGAATGTCAGTCACGTGACCATGGGGATGCTGCAACAGTGGAAAATGGTCCTTTCACTTTTTTCAGTGCCATTGTAACTTTGAACGATCACTAAGTGAACTGTTGTAAGTTGAGGACTACCTGTACTTGC